CAATAAAAATGATGCATTGCAGCGATTCTGACGGCACACTGCAAAATTATGCTAGAAATATGGCTGATTTGATAAATCCAGTTGATGTGGATAATCCTGATGATAGCGAAGCAACTAGCACATGTCTTCGGAGAAATGAATCTCAAAATACCTATCACGGATCGATAAGCTATCTGCAACACTACAAACAAACACATGAATACATGTTTCAAGATATCAATAATGATCGGCCCAGCACTAGCAAACTATTTAAAGTGATTGATTTCATCTGGAATAAACATGAACTAAGCAAATTAGAAAATATCAGAAGAATGCTGTTACACTGTGATGATAGTGCCATAAACAACCATTTTGTAGAGTTGAAGGCAGTGCTCATGAAGTTCACTGCGATGACTTTGGAATCACGAAAAAGACTAAGCCAGGTTAAAAAAAGAAAGAGCGAAAGTAAGAACATTGTTGATGCAATTAGCGAGCACATGAAAGAGACATATCATAATACTATTAAGGGTTAGAGAAATGAAAAAGCTATTTGATGCAATATTTGCGCGAGCAACAAAGAGCACATATGATAAAAATATCCGTGACTTTTTCTATTTACTTGCTATCTCTATTAATATAAAAGATTATGCAAATGCGGCGAGTACAAATGAAATTACAGTTAGCGAAGTGCGCGAATTCTATTATATATGTACTGAGTTCAAATGCAGAGCTTTACGACCATTTCAAAATTGTAATCCTTTTTCACATACTCTGACGGGTTTGTTCTTTACTTCGCTGCATCTATTTCACGACACAAGGGTCCGTGAAAAATGCCTGTTGTTTCCCGAATTTGTCTGTTTGTGCAAGTGGTTAGAAAACTTCTGTGCTCTCAATCCAAGAGTATATATTCGCTACAGGATCTTTATTATTTACATCGTTAGCAGAATTGAAACTATTGTATCCAAGCTGAAAACTTTAAACAATGAAATTGCTCATTTATCGAATTCTAAGCGAGAAACTATTCTTACGATGGTATGCTACCGCTCTTTCACGAGGGATGTTCTACTTTCTAATCTCCTTCTTTTGTTACGTGTCAATAGCAATCATGTAAGCAAATATCAGTTGTTATCACAACTTGAATATTCATACCTTTATATGAATACACTATCATGTTTTGATGTAGAAAATGGCATGTTACAGAGCTTTTATGATCTTTTGTTTTTGACATTCACACCTTTTTTCACCAAATTTAGGTTTTCACATGCTAAATCATTGGATGCTTGGGATAAGAAGATGGGCATCAACTACATAAACAAAAACAGAATATGTCTGGAAATGGTTTTTCAGCATCCCAAGAGTTTCAAATCTGTGCTGAAGAAAAGCATTGAAATGATTTTCAATCCAAAAATACCTAAGGTGGCAGAATACCAGAAACTGAAAAGTGAAATATGTGACCAGATCAGCAAGTTGGATGAACAGAATCCTCTGCTCATGTTGTTCAAAGCACGGGATACATACAGCTTCATCAGATATTATCTGTTGAAGGATCCCCAACGAGTGCGCAGATGTGATGCCTGGTTAACATCAGAAACAGTTAAGTAAAAGTAACATTTCCGAATACATACTAAGAGATGTGTTTTATTGTTTCCTTACCAATTTCGACATGATCTTCTCTTTCGTACTCTTTTATTCTGATGTGTGACTCTCTTGTTTTATCCTACATTTGATGCTGTTAGACACAGGTTTATTTACGCTTCTGCTGATTTCTAATATGCTGGTTGCAACTTTATTTTTCTGCCAAAACTTTCAATCTTCTATTGCAATGTTTCTCTCATCTGCTCGCAAAAGGAATACAACTACACCTAATACATTCGCTGTTTCACATATCGCATATCCATCGTTCACAATCACATCAAATCCGATTTTGACATTGTTTCGCCATACTCATATACCATCGTTATTGAAGGTGCAAGTATAGAGTCTGTTAGATTTACATCCCACTCTATGATCGAGTAGTTGCGACTGAATGCAGCCTCTCCAGCTAAAACGACCAGCAGCTAATATTGAGCTTGGTATCACACTATTTCTTTACAGTATGTTTATTTACCACCATATGACCCTTTTAGCAAAAAAAGCTATTGCCTGCCAATGTGAAACAGTCGCTAAGATTTAACTTCATAAACTATTAACCGCTTATAATGACTTATCTGTGCCGTCTGCTTCTTCAGAAATTTACGAAGATGGGATGTCATGAAATTCACCCCTAACCCTAAGCATGAGACACAAAGCCGTAAAGTCTGCTAATCGCTAAACAATTAAATACCTATGTCCACCCGGTCCCACAACCCCGCCTTCATCACGGATGAGCGAAAAAGCACCAACCTATCCCACCCAATTAACTATGCACAATCGCTCCATCTGTAGACAGCAGTACAAATAGCACCAAAACGCGCCATCCTGCCTATACCACACGCTAACAACAGAGAATCATCTTTCCGAAGAAGAGCCTGTACCACATAACGCAAACTACCCAAACCAAATCAACTAATAATCAATCTTTTATTGAAATATACATCGCTCAATCGTTTCAACAAGATCTTTATCGACATGTTTATGTACTTTAATTTCCATTTTTTTCAGCTGTTTATGCTCACTTTCCGACATCTGGCCGATCAGGCGCCCAGCCCTTAGATCACGGATTGTGGTCGCATAAAAGTAACTTAGCCATTCTGCCCGCTGTTTAAAACATTCCTTTGTTATTGTTTCGACACGAAACTTATCATCCGATTCTTTGGCATCTTCGGGTTTATACGAACGAGGAACGAGACTCGTATGCCCGAAATCAACAACTTTGGCTAAATCCACCAATTTTGATGTTTTATCACGCGACACCCAGCCCAAGATGTGACCGTAAAAAAGGAAGTAATCACCAGAAATACCACCACTTACTCTTAGAGTACAGCTATCATATTCCCCATCGGAATTCTTGCGAGCCCACCCCAACAAGTCATCGTCTGCATAAAACAACTCTCTTCCATCGGCATGTTTCACGATCTTATACCATAAACCAATATCCGGCATATAATTCAAACCAACATTTTCATTTCCGTAATTGTACTTTAAAGGAGCAGAAGAGCAGGCAGCAAAACAAACGAATATAAAGAGCATATTCATGTGTCTTACAGTATGCTCATATTTATATTTTTGAAAACGTTTTTATCCATAATGACGCTGTGTGTCTACGCTGTCTTCTTTGAAGATGACATGATAAGGAATTCTTCATCTGCTTGATGCAAGTAATCGCTAACATTTCGTATTGAGCTATAGAATAATTGCTAGACATCATAGTTAAACCATTGTACCAGGCACTATTTTTTTTTTTGTCATGATCCTATGACATGTACAAAGCGATATGAGTGTTTTGAGTTACAGTGTGTAAAATGCTAGCATAATGTCAAAACATAACTATCACAACAGGCCGATAAAACATTTTATGATGTTGTAGAATAGAAATTTGGTTGTTGGAGACCAGAGCCAACAAAGTTATATGATCGAAATCAAATCATTACCTCCTTGTACCTTATCGAGCACAATACTATGTTGTAAAATCAGCACCTTGACCCTGTCTACATTTTACGGCACTGCTGTATCCATGCACCTGTCTTTGTGTTGCCTCCAAATTTTATTGAGTTACCGCATCGTAAGAGTGTCCAGGCTGCTCTTCCGCACCGGATGATAGTCGCTTTGTATTTTGCACGCACATCAATCATTTCATGATAAAAATGTGCGCAACTCGTTCGTTGTACCCGTGTAAATTTGTCGCATGTGTGGCCATTTTAACAAGGCAAAAAAAGATGTCCATCAGAAAGTTTGTTATGTGGTTAATAAATGATAAATCATTATCTTTTATTCATTTCACATGTGTGATAGATTGGACTACTTTAAATTGCTGAGTTTTAACTAAGTGAATCGTTCTGATGCCTTTTAAAGGCTTATTTATCCGCAAACTGTCATTCTCAACCGTTTCTCGGTTCAAAGAAATGCATTTGACGGTTCGATAGCTGGGCTGAATTTGTTTATTGTTTTCCAATATTCGCTATTCGACGCTTTAGCTATTTCTAAGTTGTAATGGTAACTTATTTATTAATTATTTCAATCATTAAGTCTTAAACCGAAAATATGCTCTCAGAAGAACCCGTTTTTCAGCACATTCTATATTTCGAAACGGTGAGTCTTCAATAATACGTTTCTGTGCAGATCCATTTACGCTGCCTATCGACTGCTGAAAGCAGAGTTCCATATTACTGCTTTACTGCCAACGTTGCACATCATCGTCAAACCATTTATTAGGTGAGAAACACATGATGCCTGAAAAATAACGTCATTTATTGAGCCGCATGCGACAACTTGGTCTCAAATAAAAAGAAATGCGAACGATACACAATATGGTGTACAGCACCAGTAAAAGTGCGCAAAAGGCATAGCTCCAATGCATAGAGAGCTCATATCTGATCAACAACCGCCTATACTCTCTTAAAAGCCCTCTATAATCATTTTCTCGGTTTGTGGGTGGACTTTCGTAATTGCTATCTACTAATTGCGGGTAATCACTGATAAACTTGTTCAGATGAAGTACATAGGGACAGTGGCCTACCAAATGGTTAGGACACAGATTCAGCAAATATATTGTTAACAACCATTTGCCGTATTGCGTCATGACTCGCCCGTTGACCAGAGCAAGATAATACGGGATGACGTTACCGGTAAAACTTGTAATGATAATTACAACTGATCTTTTTGAATCTTTCAAAGCTGAACCATCAAAAAGATACGCCGCGAGCGAAACCATGTATATGAGTAAGAAGGTTAGGATAGCTGTTATGTTCAGTAACTTTCCGAATATTATCTTCATTATGATCATTGAAGCAATGAAAAATGGTAAATGCCTCACATATTCAAAGATAAACACGGAAAAGTAGTATGATGTCATCGAATATGTATTGGCTGCTATTTCCCTCTTTACGTTCGTATGTTCAAAACCAAACGCTGCACCCGCCATCAGGGGAATTAGTGCTGCTGACCCACCTGCAAAAATGCAGAGAATGAGCATGACGCGATGCTTCACATAATCATTTTGTATATCAGTAAAGCGGCTGTCTGTTTTTGGTAAATTCCAAACTTCCATCATTTCATCTTTCTGTTTCCACATGTTATTTGCTATGTATCTTGCAATAAAAGCAGCTAATGCCAGAACCAAGATCAGAATAATCGTCATAATTACATTTTTCTTCGCTGTCAATTCCAGCTTGCATCTTCTCCGGAGCAACAGTTTGATCTGCTGAACACAAGGTCTGATGTTGACATAGTTATCATTGGATTTCTTCACAGACTTTTCTTCTTGAGAAAATCCAAATCGGTCTTTGACCTCGTTTGCCATGACAGTTAATCTATTCGTTTCGTCCATTTCCTGGTACACTCCTGGTTCAACATCTAGCACTCTCATCGCAAAAGTTGAGAAAGATTCTCCTTCATTTATTGTGAACCCGTTCGATACCAAATGCCTTTCGCACTCAGCCATTTTGCCGAGGTAAACAGTCCTGCCTTGCGACAGCAACAAAATTCTGTCAAATTCATCAGTTACCATATCGTCAGGCTGGTGTATGGTGAATAGAACGGTTCGCCCCTCTGTGGTTAGTTCTTTGAGCAATGTAATGATTTTTAGTGTCGAGGCATTATCTAACCCACTTGTGGGTTCATCCAAAAATATCAACTTGGGATCAGTCACTAGTTCAATCGCTATCATCACCCTCTTTCGTTCTCCACCAGAAAGATTTACCATTTTACAATCCAGAATGTGCGTAATAGCAAGTTTGTTGAACAGTTCTTCCACCTTTTTATCCACATCAATACTTTTATCCTTCAGTTTGAACCAAGCTGCATACTTGACGGTTTCGCGTGCAGTCAACGTTTCATAGACGGCATCATCCTGGTCAACGTATCCAATCAGATTTCTCCATGTTTTAATGTCTCTTTCGACGCCATTCAGAGTTACTACACCGGTAGATGCAGCACCTCTGGGTACTCTACCGGCCAATGCCTTTATCAATGTCGATTTTCCACTTCCGCTCGGTCCCATGATTGCTAATAAACCCTGTTCAGCATGTCCACAGGCATCAGATATCAATTTTATTCTTTTTTGCTTGTACCTCTTATTACGATTAACAACTTCGATATCGATGTTATTCCAGTCTAGATCCATTATAACCTCACCATAAATGCTCCCTTTTTATATTTTGTGGATTCTAATTTGGTAATATGCTTTTTCTGTCATTAGAACAATTTTGGATCACAAATTTATAGAAATCCCATTTTGTAACACAAAAAAACTATTAGATGTGTGTAAGCGATGAAAAACTCTTCCTTAAATAAACCCGAATTCTCTAAAAAATTTTATTCTCACGGTGTCTTTATGCCAATTTGTGCATTATTGTCTTTTAGACAATCTTTTGCTAAAAGTAATTTATTTATCTTGCCATACTAGCAACACCTAAATAAACTCAGTTTGATGGATATTATTTTACAAAAAAGCATTCCCAACACCAGCGAAGGATACTTTAACCAAAAATTTTCATTACAGTTTCTCCTACGGGTTATAAAAATATTTTTATGGCTATGAAAAAAGTTAGAACTCATCAAACACTCCCTCGCGTCTTGCAGCTTCAGTATTTTCAATTTAAATATTCACTACTGGCCTAGCCAACAGTAAGGCAAGGGCGCCTCATACTGTTTGTTGCGAATGCGTGACCACTTCTATAAGCCAAGACCAGTTGTGTATTTGAAATCCTGAGGAAAAGACTGAGAGATAGAATTTCATCTGATGGTGTAATAACAGTTGTTTGTCGTTGTTGTTTTTCCAGTATATTTTTCAGTGTGCTTCGCTGGTCTGAAATGACGGTACATTCGAGTTTTCTTCATTGACAAGTGAACAAAATAGTTAGACCTGACCGATAAGATGGAATCAAAGAGTAAAATACAAATAAGTGTGCTAAATGATCATTTTATCGAACTTGTTGTCTTCAATTATCGTACATTTGTATGAAAAGGCTACCCGCTCTACGTTGTAATTGGCTATCATACAGATAATGACCCGGTGCACAAAGAACGATAAACACAACAACTACGGTGAGTGGCGCGGAATCTTAGATGTGATTGCTACCTTCTATCCAAACAACATGCATTCAATATTTTGTTTTGGAATGTGGGTTATCTCAAGCCTAACATGCCACCTTTCTGAGATGTATCAGTACATTACACCACCATCCGACACCAAAAGCATTTTTGTACATGCTGGTGGTCTGCGATCAATTCTATGCTTTCCTTTGCTCAAATATTCATCCTATCCCTACGTTTGAACGAAATTGCTGCGCTTTGTAAGCTATTCAATAACTAGTTATAGGCTAAATGTTTTTCACACTTCATCAATACTGAATAACACCATTGTATGCCATGAAATTGATTCACTTATCACTGCCATTCTATTCGAATAAGATTTACTACACGAGTAGTAAATCTTCAGTTCGTGTAAAAATGTCAATTTATTTTTGGTAAACTGGCTCTTCTGTACAACCAGACCTTACAAGAGGTGTTTATGTGTCCACCTCTGATTCATATAGGATATACCACAACTATTTCATGGTATACTTGAATAGAACTGTTTGTAAACAACGTCTCCTCGTTATAAGAACCAAGCCATATAGATCCACGAGTATGTGTTGCTACAAACCAATCAATTAGCGTATTCCACAAAATTCCATTCCATTCGTAAAACCAGGACTGATCATTTTTAAGAATGAAAAGCGAGTAAAACTACGATGATTAAGGAATGCACTACCGCATGAAATATACATTACCAATAAACACCTTTGTTGCTAATTTACTGATATCTTTGGAAATATGTGCACGTAACGTGGCCATCCTATACATCCTTAATCAACTTCAAATGCTACACATTTTCCTATTCTCTGTTTTACCCTCCTTCGTCACCGCTGTGCCTTAGCACTGATTCGCCTCAATTCGTAATTGAGGGATAAAATAATCCTGGCCCCGACACATGAACAATCCATGGTTCACAAATCGAACAAAACTGATGAAGTACATCCATAGGAATATAAACAAGCGTGTGGTAAAGGATCACATGGATGTAGGAGCGGAAGAGTACTGCATTTTACTGACGAACCAGTGGTTTAACGATAAAATAATTAATTTTTATTTTAATCTGGTAAAAATATACGCTGCTACCTTTGGAACAAACGTGTACGTATTTTCAACGTATTTCTACACATCGTTGAAGGCGAGGGGTATTAAATGGGTGCAGAAGTATACGAAAGATGAAAATATATTCTTAAATGACTACATCTTCATTCCTGTACATCAAAATAACCATTGGGTGTTCATTAGCATAGATGTTAACAGCAGAGAGGTAGAGTACTATGACTCGCTGTATGCTGATAATCGCACGGTACTCGACATCATCGAGTACTTGGAGTGTGAACGTGCGGCCAAAAATCTGAAGACCGTAAAGTACGTAATGGTTGCAAGGAAATATCCGAGACAGTGCAACGGTTATGACTGTGGACTCTTTGTCTGTTTGTATGCAAGGAACCGAATCTTTGGGACGCACATGTCTTTCGGTAGTAAGGATTTGTACGAGTATAGGCTTAGATTAGCGCATGAATTGCTTGAAGGTGAGGTTATTTACAGCCTGGGCCATAGCTTTGGATCGTAGGCAGATGCTTAGGATCACAACTCTGGATGGTGAACGGGTGCTCTGTGATATATGTCCATCCATACTGACATTTCAATGTCTAGCGGTTGATAGGTTTGTAAACGACCTGGTGCACGGAACCATGTTTATTCTGATGCATCTTCACGGTCATCCGCGTATGCGCTGTCTAATCTGGTATTATTTCACATGATAGAACGTTTTCTGATTCATATCACAAAAAATGACCTACGTCGTTTAGCCGTGTTTTTCAGCCTCAGAGCACAAAAATAAAGCATAAATGATAGCGGTTATCGTTAACACCAATCAGTTACTGCGTTGAATCCTTGTTAACGGTGCTTAGCGAGCAAGCCGTAACGACATGAGAAAGTTTCTCAGTGTGTTTACTCAACGGATCCTACCACAACCATGAGTATGAATAAGTGCAGAGGAACAAGAAGTAAACTGCAGCCGTGATACGTTTAAAGTACATGTTTCATGGTCCATCGTAGCACAACAGCCCTATGCTCTGTAACAGTTTATTTCGCACCACTCATTTATCTTGGTACCAAATACGTGCAGAACAGCAATTTAAAAGGGGTTTACAAAAGGAACAGAACGTGGCACATTTACAATAGAGCGGCAATCCGATCTATGGTGGTGATGGAATAACTCATAAAGCGTATGTAACCCTGGGAAGAATCTGCAAGATGGCACATTGATCGTTACCCTTAATATATGGTATACCAGCCACCAAGATTTATAATCTGCTATGGTGCGTTTATCAAGGAGTATTTCTGAACTATTTTCCCATTAATTTACAAACCATACTCATAAAAGAGCTGAGAACGTAAATAAATTTTTTATTAAAAATCGTTTATTTATCTTTCATACATTAAATCCCATAAATACTTCTACACACGGGTACATCACAGACCAAGCATAGACCCAGCAAAAAACAGATTGTTAATTTGAAATGGGGTATCATCTGCCATACAAAATAATCATCAAAAAATCGTATTTGATTGGTTTTTTAACTATGTTCCTTGCTAATTCGCCATCCTTTATTGAAATCAAACCTCCTTTGGTACGGACAGGCATATCATGTGTGCTTGTCCGTTAATCACGGTTTTCGTGTTCAGATGCGATCATTTACACTTCCTTTCTGTGTTGATGGTAAAACATAGTTCAGAATGGTGGGATGTTCGAACAAATATGTGTGATATAACCATGTCATAATGTGATTTAAAGTCTTTTTTATAGCGCTTTGTGTACGAAATGAACTACAACCTGAGACGTGGCTGTTTGTAAGTCTACTTGGCAGAGACCACTTATTCAATTCGCGCTTTTCTCGTATAATGACGGTAGATAATTTTGATATTTTGATGGCGCGATCGCTCAGTCCTTGACACGAACACTTATTCGTTGTTACATTCACTTATTTTCTGACACAATCTCTGTGTTTATCAGCCATGCAATAATGAAGGACACAAACGCACACATGTCAGCATTTTGCGAAATATTCATTACTTTTTTTGGGAGTGATCATAAACCGTTATGGAAATGGACATACTAGAATTCTTTATATTGTCAAGATGGCTTTGATGTGGCGTGTACACGAACCAATCGTTGCCAACCTCAATGGTTGTAACAGGATCGTAATGAGAAGAATCGTATTGAATGATATAGGTGTAGAGCTATTACCACTTCATGCCAGCAGAGGACCCCTAACCAGCACAGAAATATCCAAATAGGAAATAATTTGCCTTAAAACCGACATAGAAATGCTTTATAGCAGAATTAGAATAAAAAGAATATAATCATAGTACTTTTCATGTATTTTTAGGTGGCAGGATTACAGTAAAAATCTTTCAGCTTAGAACGGGGAGTATGACGGGAATGTGTTTTAATGTAAGAAACGACTTGTTAGTTAGTAAATTTAATTTCATGCAGATATCGGACGGGTGTATGTTAGTGAGGTGACCAACAACAGCTTACATTCCGCGATCAGAAGCAGTCCTGACAAGCAAGGTATGAGTAAATAGGAACGTTTAAGGAGTGTGTCAAGAATATAAATATGTGCTTAGGAATATTTAAAGTGGGAAGTTGGTAAAAATTGTTGAAATCGCAAATGGAAAACTTAAGTGATGCATGGTGTGAAAATATAGGATACTGGAATTGGAATTGACTCGACGAAAAATGTAAATATGGTGTTTATAAAAAATATTTGGTATGTTTCGAATTAGTTGCAGAGAATGCTATTTGTTAACAGCTAGAATATCCTCAAAGTGTTACCTCTACATGTCAATATTAAGAAATATGCTCTCCTTAGATTGCAATAGCAATAAAACAAATGAGCGATATTGAAGCAATCATGCTGTTAATATGAAATAAAGGGGTGTAACGTTTGATCAATATTATTGACACAGCAGATGTAAACACCATCAATCACTGCATTTACATTTTATTTCGACCTGTTATCAGGAATTGATGCGTAAAACTCGTTTATATCTTAATATGACTCAGAACTACCACGTCTTTACATCTCAATAGTAGACACGCATATCAAGTACAAATATATGCTGATATTGCCTCCTATATAAGATATAAATACCGAATGTTGAAAATGATATATGCTTTTGCTTCTCCTTGTTCTTGCTATGCTGGCTGCTATTGGCTTGTTTACAGCTATTGCAGGACCAAAATTGCTCGATATGATGAAAAACAAAGACAATCCCAGTAAAGATGCAAAGCCAAACAGTGACCAAAATCCTGATGGCGATACGGATACACCAGATGACCCCACAAAGGCAGATGGTGATTTACAAAATCCTGACGGCGACACGGATGCACCAGATGACCCCACAAAGGCAGATGGTGATTTACAAAATCCTGACGGCGACACGGATGCACCAGATGACCCTGCTAAAAAAGAAGGAAACAATCGACCTACTGAAAATAATTCGGATGCACCAAATTATCCCTCCAAGAGAGATGAAAACGGTCAAACTGACGAGAATAATTCTGATAAAAGTGTCGATGAAAATTCACATCCAAACGCTAAACCAGACGAAAAACATAATCTGGAAAAACAAACAGCAATGGATGAACTAAAGCAATCTGATCCGTCGTCAAGACGTCCAAGCTCACAGAAGAACAAAAATAATGCAAAACAACCAAAAAACCGGCAACAACAGCCAAACCCACAACAACCTGGTTCTACTCCGAAAAACCAGCAACAACAGCCAGGCCCAGGACAAAAGCCAAACCCTTCTAGTCCACAAAAACAGCCAGGCCCAGGACAAAAGCCTAGTCCTTCAAGTCCACAACAACCTGGTTCTACTCCGAAAAACCCGCAACAACAGCCAGGCCCAGGACAAAAGCCAAATCCTTCAAGTCCACAAAAACAGCCAGGCCCAGGACAAAAGCCTAGTCCTTCAAGTCCACAAAAACAGCCAGGCCCAGGACAAAAGCCAAATCCTTCAAGTCCACAACGACCTGATTCTACTCCGAAAAACCCGCAACAACAACCAGGCCCAGGACAAAAGCCAAATCCTTCAAGTCCACAACGACCTGATTCTACTCCGAAAAACCCGCAACACTCGACTTCACAAAAAAACGATACTGATAAAAACCAATCAACAAATTTGCGGAATAAATCGCCAAAGTCACCAAATCAAACACCATCTAACACACAAAAGAATCCTCGACAGAAGGATTTACCAAGTCACAATCGAAACAATGAGAGCGTAAAACCTCTTAATAGAACCCCAGAATTGGGTGAAAAATCACCGGATGGTTCTCTAAAGCCTGGCAAGAAGCAAACACCTGATGATTCCAAAAACTCGCCAGATAGTAGCAATCAACAACAAAATACTAACAAAGCACAATCAAAAAAACAAACTGACAAAGATAACAACCAGAAAAGAAATCTTAACAAACCGGAAAAGCATCCAGAGCCTGGAGAGAGTGATATTAACGGTAAAGATAAGAACAGCGAAGGAGATAAAATGAAGGGAGATGTGCCAGCAAAAGAGAAAGATAAGAACAGTGAAGCAGATAAAATGAAGGGAGATGTGCCAGCAAAAGAGAAAGATAAGAACAGTGAAGCAGATAAAATGAAGGGAGACGTGCCAGCAAAAGAGAAAGATAAGAACAACCGCAATGCAAACAAAAACGGTAAAAAAGACGAATCTCCCAATAAAAATGAAGGTGAAGGTAAGCAACCACTAGATGAGAATAAACAGAAAAAGAAAAACAAAGGGAAAGAAAATGGAAATGAAAACGACGGTGAGAATAAAGACAATGTAAAAGAAGAAGATGACGGCAACAGTCAAAATAAGGAACAACCAGATGATGGTAAAATTAAACTAAAAGATGCGGATGAAAAGGACCCTTCAAAATCTGTCGAAAATAGCAACAAGAAAGCAGAAAAGGAAAAACCTCGTAAATTGAACAAGTCACCATCACCTTGTGAATGTATTTGCTGTCCTCATGGTCGCTCGTAAGGAGAAAACCATACATGTGAACAATAAATTAGTATTTTTCATGAGATGAAGGAGATTAGGATGGTGTCATTTTATGTTGGCCATTTGCTCGGTTATGCCACATTAGCATGGCAAGCTACACTTTGTTAATATCACAGATAGATTTTATGAAATATTAGGGGATCACTGATGTGAACCAGCTTATAATAACAAAACGTCTGAGACGTATTTTGACAGGTGAGCTTGTGGAACTGATAACTATGACACGTAGTGCGAATGACCGCTTGATACGCACATCAGATGAAAGGCACGCTTTTTCATGTTCTAGTCAACTGAATAAAATAGTTATTTACTTCCACCATAATATTCCTGATCCACGTGTATTATGTGTTAGAAGTAATAATACCGTGTAATTTATTTGTTACTCTTTTGCAATGTAAATTTTACAATTCGTTTTAGTTGGGAGTATCTGCCCTGAATACTTGTACCACATCCCATAATCGAATAGAAAATCTTCGACATATGGAATTAGCGATTTTAGCGATTTGCTGAGTAAAAAATACGATAAGTGTTAGGTTAAAAACAAACATAGTGTGGAGTTATCGTAAATTGTCTGGATGAACGCTTTTATAATCATTTTGGCTTATTGTGAATCGTATGATATCAAATTGCTGGAAAGGACGTTGTGAACAAAGGGTTTAAATACTGCCATATGGCATGGCATTGCGATATTGTATTAGTTTTTGGATCATCATGTGTTAATGATTTGTCATGTGGTAAAGAGTTGATGAATAGTTTATGGTTCCACGTGATTAGACCATGACATTGTATGTCTGTCAACGATAATTGACTGCAAATACGATTGGTTTTTCTTCTATTGTAAGTTACAAGACAGGTTATCAAAATTAATTAAAGCAAAAATTATTGGGTGCTGTAAAATATATAAAACTATAAATATGGAATGTGAAAAGAAAGTATGTTTTTAATTCCTTTGTTAGCTTTATTATTATTGGGATTGTTTATGCTTTTGGCTATTGGTATTCCTTTATTGTTAAAGAATAAGAAAAGTGATGATAGTGATTCTATAGATCCTGGATTGTTATCCAAAGGAAAGAATGCTGGTAATGGCAAGAACAGTGGACCGGGTAAAGCAACTAATGATGACAATGAAAGTCCAGAAAAGCCTGATACGATAGAGGAAGCAGAATGGTTTGATGAGGGTCAACCTGGCGAAAACAACCCCGCTGAAAACAAGCCTACTGAAAACAAGCCTGGCGAAAGTAAACCGGGTGAAAATAAACCCGATGAAAACAAGCCTGCTGAAAATAAACCGGGTGAAAACAAGCCTGGCGAAAATAAACCGGAGGCAAATAAACCCGATGAAAACAAGCCTGCTGAAAATGAACCGGGTGAAAACAAGCCTGGCGAAAGTAAACCGGGTGAAAATAAACCCGATGAAAACAAGCCTGCTGAAAACAAGCCTGCTGAAAACAAGCCTGCTGAAAATAAACCCGGCGAAAACAACCCTACTGAAAACAAACCTGGCGAAAACAACCCTACTGAAAACAAACCTGGCGAAAATAAACCGGGTGAAAATAAACCCGGCGAAAACAAGCCTGCTGAAAATAAACCGGGTGAAAACAAGCCTGGCGAAAATAAACCGGAGGCAAATAAACCCGATGAAAACAAGCCTGCTGAAAATGAACCGGGTGAAAACAAGCCTGGCGAAAATAAACCGGAGGCAAATAAACCCGATGAAAACAAGCCTGGCGAAAGTAAACCGGGTGAAAATAAACCCGGCGAAAACAACCCTACTGAAAACAAACCTGGCGAAAATAAACCGGGTGAAAATGAACCGGGTGAAAACAAGCCTGGCGAAAATAAACCTACTGAAAATAAACCGAGTGAAAACAAGCCATGTGGTGCTAATCAGGGTACAAAAGGAACATGTCCGATTAATTCCGGTGAAGTCAATTCCGGAAAAAGTATTCAAGATGGTGAAGTGCCGTGTAATGGTAAACCTAGTAATGGAAATTCAATAGAGAAAGCTAATGGTGAGAAAGTAGAAGAGAACAAGCCTGAGGAAGAGAAGGCTGATGAGGAGAAAGCTGAAGGTGAAAAGGCAGAAGAGAACAAGCCTGAAGAAGAGAAGGCTGAGGAAGAGAAGGCTGATGAGGAGAAAGCTGAAGGTGAAAAGGCAGAAGAGAACAAGCCTGAAGAAGAGAAGGCTGATGAGGAGAAAGCTGATGAGGAGAAAGCTGATGAGGAGAAGGCTGATGATGAAAAGGCAGAAGAGAACAAGTCTGAGAAAGAGAAGGCTGATGATGAAAAGGCAGAAGAGAACAAGCCTGAGAAAGAGAAGGCTGATGATGAAAAGGCAGAAGAGAACAAGCCTGAGAAAGAGAAGGCTGATGAGGAGAAAGCTGATGATGAAAGGGCAGAAGAGAACAAGCCTGAGGAAGAGAAACCTGACACGAGGTAATTAATGGATGATGTTTAGAATTAACCTGAAGCTGAAATTTACCAAAATAATCCTGCAAGAATTGGAGAAATAATAAATCTATAGAAGGTCTTAATACAAACCAATAGAACAACACACTAGCATTATAAATATGGCATAACCAAGCGGTGGGTAAAACGATTCATAAAATGTTATTTTGCCGGTACTGAACAGCATTTCTATTTTTGCAGCACATAGGCCCTCAAATCATAGTATTAAGCAAATAGATGACGCTTTTTCAAAAGCATGTGTTATTCTAAATGTCTGGTTTATACTTCTGAATTCACACATCCCCATTCAACAACATTAAAATTATTCGTCCGTCTCCTCCATCAACATCAATTGCAATGTGCCACGTAATTTATTTTATTTATATTACCGCACTACTAGTTTCAACCATTAAAAGTATTCCTCAGAGCATAATTTTAGTAGAAAACCCTCAACTTACTTTTTTAAGAAGGTATGCCCAATACCAACAGTTTAGTACGCGTTCTGAACAGACGTTAACAACAAATTAAGGTAACTGGCTACGTAATATTTAATTAAAGCGATAAAAGAGCAAAAACACCTCTAATTAAAGTATCTATCACGGTATTGATCAATGCCATTAACCAATCATAATACGAAAGTATGCTCTCCCCTGCAGAATCAGCACCATTCCAAAATGTATTGCAAGTAAAATAATCACTCGCTAATCTCAACATAAAGCACGTATTAAATGCGATATCCACATAACGTACATGTTCTACAGTACGATCAATAAAAAATTTTACCGTTTTATTTTACCACTGATGTCCGTGCTGAGTATCATAACTGATATCCTGTCTGTATCAGGCTCAAACTTTTTAACACGTTTTATACGGTACTGATTAATCAGGTACTCGTTGTAGACCTGAAATGTTCATCATATTTTATCTGATGTATTCCCCTTTTGAACAAGCTGATGCGCTTAGCACAATACGCCTGTTCAAAGCATAATTTTGATTTTACTTCCAACACAAATCAAATACACGATTGTATACGACAATGTAACGAGGTTAAAAAGCGTAATCGGCTCAGCAAAACTATTTTTCATCAATTGTATAACAACCAGCCATAAATGAAACGACAAATAAATTTATTATTCATTATACAACATGCTGGGTGTTGCACACATGATACGCATCCTCGAACATGCTTTCATTGGCAGTAAATTATACTTCCATGATGATCAGTAATCGAATCATATGCGCCCTTCTAAAAGGGGCAACGTGAAAGGGTGCATTTTGTTGACACGGTGATTTCTTGATTGAACCGTTTCTTCGAATTATTTGCAAATATTCGTAGTTGACTTGTGATTTGCAGGTTTACGGCTATTTGCACGTGCGCTTCACAAAAAATATAAATACTGTTCTTTTTTACATTCCATGAAATGTTTAACCATTATTGTTATTGCAGTGGCCTGTGTTCTCCTGATAGTTGTTCCTGCTATAGTTTGGTACTGTCTGTCGGATGAAGGGTCAGAGGAGGACTCCTCTTCTGGGACTCTTACTATGACAAGCGGTGGTTCGGATAATAACAAAGAAGATTCTTGGTTAGGTGGGCAATCTGAGGATGAAACTGCAGATGAGGATGCACAGGAGGGCAGCACAGTGCCAGGTTACCGCATATATGTTGTGCAACCTGGTGAGGAACAGGGCGCGAATCCTACTGGCGAAGAGACTGAGAAAGGTGCTGGTGAAGAGACCGAGGAAGGTGCTGGTGAAGAGACCGAGGAAGGTGCTGGCGAAGAGACCGAGAAAGGTGCTGGTGAAGAGACTGAGAAAGGTGCTGGTGACGAGGCAGGGGATACGGGTAAGGGAACAGAAGAGCGCACTGCGGGTAATAATGGTAAGGAAAAAGCAAGAGAGACAGAAGGCAATGCTGAAGAAGGTGCATAGAACGCAAAGTATTGCTTAAATAAATTATTTGTACATTTTTAGCGCATACCTCACTTTATACACCAACAAATTTAAACTCTACAAATACGGTCATGTCATGAGATGTAAGCGCAGCCAGTCTTAAACGCCAATCTGATCACATTGTCATACACAAATACGTCACAATAATCCCTACACATATGCAATATTAAACGTATAAGTTAATTCACATATTCCAAAGGTTGTCTCTACCATATCAACATTAAACAAATTTTCCGTTCTCAATGATAATCTAATTACGCTATCGCACTCAACCATTAACTAAACCATTGCCTCGTACCTAATCACATTATCATACGCAAAACACGGCCCAAAATTAACAGTCACAGATCCACCATCGTAAAAGCTCAGTGCAGGGAAATACTCCTTACCATACAAATCATGATATGCGATGCCTAGATCAACACCATTAACAAAGAATTTAAGGAAGTGCTCAACTTTCAACACACTAATCACATCATCGGCACCAAACTTGTGTGCATACGCGTTACGGACACCTTTATGGTACTTGTAGCCCTTTGAACTGCCAAATGCGTATGAATCTTCCAAACCAAGCGGGCCGTACAATTTATGATCTTTTGGTGCCAGGCCTATTCTTACATGTGGCTTGTTAACGAGCACCTCAAAGTAAATGTTGCCCTTTACTGCACTGCCTGTTATGCATGACTTGTTGTTGGTCGTTGAGTTTACGGTCAAGCCACGCGTGTCTACCCAAATATTATCCGTGGAGTGAAAGCGCATGGATTTGTAGATGTGTGGTCGTGTGTGCAGCATTGTAGTACCGAGAATGAGCAAGGGCTAAGTAAATTAGATTCTGTTCAATGCTTGGAATTGCTTTGAATGCGATAAACCGAAAGTATAAAATATTTGCAAAAGTGCATTTTGAAGCGGCAGAACGGGAAGTGGGATAGTGCTGGAGGCAAGATGATTAATGAACATGCTATGATTCAATGGCCTGCTCACTGTTTTATGACAAGATCGTTCTTTGAAACGTATTTTCAGAACATAAGAGATTGTTTCGCTGATTTCTCCTGGTTAGTGATGTTGCTTCATGGTGGTACGTATGTATCACATGATGAGCAAGTAAAACAATCTATCCGTTTGATTGGTGTATGCACATTTGAACAGGTACATCATTCCTTGCATGACCAGAAAGGTGTGTCTGAGTGCGCTGATATGAGAAGATAAATAAACGTACTTCAGCAACAAATGCATCATTCCTAGTAATTGATAATTTGCCCATCTCTAAGGAAAAACTATCATTATAAATGGTGTTAGAACAAAATACGGTTTTCTGATGAGATGTAGTAATATGGCACAGACACTTCTTCACGGTGGAATATTCCAAACACAGCAAATGTTCTTCTCATTCTGATAAGCACCCTCTCTACCCCGATACTCGCAATCAATCCACTTCAACTCGTACAGATCGCACGATACGAAACAAATAAACAAAAATTCCTGATCAAAAACGTAAAACATTTTAGCACTGAGGCAAACCAATTCGATCCATTCGGTGTTGTGCATCAAAAGAGCATATCAATTGCTTTAAATTGTTACGTTCTCATGAACAGCTATGCGCGTGCCTTAAAAGCGTGCTTAAATACTAAGTGTCTAACAGAACATGAGAGCTGCATACGTTGTAACACTTTCTTATCGTAGGATGCGTGACGTGCTCTAAATATGGCGGTTAGTACGAATAACCGGTTCATTAAATTTCTTAGCACTTGTTATAGACGCTGTTCAAGATACTATTGGAGCGCATCACCGCAATACTATATTAGAATGTTTCTTCGTGCCGGTATGGCAACAATGACTGTGTTTAGCTCCATTTTGTTTTTTCAGCCTCATTTTATTCATGAGAACAGCTTTAACATCTGTTCAAATAAGCCTTATCACTGTTTGGTTGGCCAAATATTTGCATCGCGAGTGTTTATAGCAGATCTCAAGTCATTCCGTGAGGTTATGTACACGTTGCATCGGGGTGGTACGCTGCAATTAATTAGATGGAATACCGGAAAAGCATGCGTTCTGGATGATATGGTATGGCGATAAACAAATATCTTTGAGAAAAAAGACTTACTTATCATGCATGGTAAATAATGATTTTTCACAACCGTGCTAGAGGGTCCTCTTCAAACAAAATAAATTGCCAAAAACACGTGACCTAATTATGTAGATGCTTAATGAACGTATAAAAACAATCACTCACCCGTAACAAGCACATCTCCAATACCAGCAATCACAAAGTAAAACACATACGTTTCAGAACATCACACACGCACAAAACTGCCTAAAGCATCCTATCATTGCCAAATATGTTCGTTTTACAGTTCATTCTTTCCATCAACACATTACGCGTTCTCAAATTGCGCACTGAGCCTGATTCACTGGTGGGGTTATCGGAAGATAAAATACTGAACCTCGAGCTGAAGCCTACCACTAAGGACGAATTAAACCGCAACGGTGTGATCATCAAGAATAGAGTGGTGTACTTTTATCGGTCACGCAGCTACTTCTCGATGGGACTGGCTGCCGAGGACATTACGGTAAAGGGTCATAAGGCGGATATTAGTGTGGATGAAAAGATGGAGGCAGTTGCTGCCTTTAAACACACGAAAATGGAGTTCGTTAGCAGGGATAAGTCGGATGGTGAAGGTAAGGGAACTACGAAGGAGAGTACGACAGGTAATTCTACGAATTTTTCTCCGTTTAACTTCTCGTTCGTGGGTAGTAAAGGTGAGCATAAGGAGGTAAACAAAGAAAACACAGGTGCCAAAGCGGCTAACAGCGCGAGTTTCTTTGCGGGGATGGGTAGTGGGCCGAAACAGGGATCTAACAAACTTGCGAATATGTTCAAGAAGGGCCCGTACGAGGGAACGGACTCGTTCGGCATGAATGGCAATAAGAATATCCTAAATAATGGCAGTCCCTCTATCACAGAAAACCTGCTCAATAAACAGCCGGCATATGTCTCTGGGCTTAATATGGCAGCCTATTCAGGACAGGGAGACGGCAATGTTGAAAACGGCGCTATCACACGCATGGCAGATTTGTATACGCGAGGTCCTGCAGGGCCCTTGTCTGATCCTCGTCAAAAAATGCCTATGGGGCCGTTACCAGATCCATATTCAGGGGAACATGGCGGTCTACCACCCGATCCATACCAAAGAGGGCTGATGGCACCATCACCTGATCCTTACCAAAGAGAGCTGATGGCACCATCACCCGATCCATACCAAAGAGAGCTGAAGGCACCATCACCCGATCCATACCAACGAGACGTATCGTTGCCTGAAATCTACCAAAGAGAACAAAAATCTCCATTAATCGATTCACTCACGCGAAAGTCCCAAAACGCATTGTCTGATCCACTCACGAATGCATCCTCAAATACATCCGATGCACCAACACGCCAAAAAAAGTCACGTCGCCGCCCTTACCAGGAACTTTACCACATCGAAAGCGACTCATCCATGGAGAAAGACGAAACCAACCAAATTCACCAAGCATGCATCCACGAAGTATCTGAACGGCACTTTCAACTTAAAAACGACAATCTCTGCGTCACGTATTTCAAAGAGCAGTTCATCTTCGCACCGTGCACCAAATCGAAGAGCCAGCATTTCATGCTGATTGATGCCAAAAAGCTGATTGAGAACGAGGAGAGCGAGAGCGAAGAGCAGCCACTCACAAAGCGGAGGAAAATTGTGATTGAAAAGGAAAAGATCAAAGAAGTGGTGAATAAGCATCCTGCACCAGTGATAATTGAGAAGATGGCGAAAGAGGAGCCGAAGGAGAAAAAAGCACCCGTTATTGCCAAGGCGAAGGAGAGCGATAATTTTATAGAGCAGCTTAAATCAACATTTGATGAAAAGGCGATCAAAGAGATCATCAATATGTAAGGAAGAACCTTCATCCTAGGATACGCCGTAATACGGCTGTTCTGATTACATAGCACAGTTGTGTATTCGCTGCGATAGCTAGTGCTCTGCATCGTTGCCATGCAATGGTTCTCGATCAAAGATTAACATAGGTGATCGGCACTGTGGTTGTACGGTGCACCTCAGCCAGCTCAGCGTAGTAAGTATGCCTGGAAATCAATGGCCCACTTTAAATTATGAATCGCACTATTGAACAAGATAAATCTTATGACAGAACCGGAATGCTGCATGTGACATGGTTACCATTTATGCGCAATCTCGCCACATATAAGCCTTTCGCAATTATTTCAAGAAAAATATTGTGGTTTGTTAGTTGAGGTAACATTGGTTGGAGTAGCCCTAGAAAACGAACTATCACACAGCGGACAGCTTACTAATTTATAGACTTTGATCACATTTCAACCAGTTTGTGGATGAGAGTATGCAAATAAACATATTATAAAAACTTTTTTGTGCTATGACACGATGTATTGTGGGAAGAATCAGTCCGATCCCTTTATGAACCAAGGGCCAGCAAATCAGAGAAAACCTTTTCGTGCTATGACACGATGTATGAGGTGATAAATAACGTACTCTTGTTAAAACCTATTCTAATTTCTTCTCCAAGAACATTTACAAGAATGTCCTTAGAACCACCCATTGCAACAAATTCTTCAACATGCTTTTTATTCATCATGAAATTCCCTAGCCACACAGTTTCTCACAAAGCAAAAATCGTACGTCCTCAATCCTAAGCCATAACACTCTGCCCACCACGCACTCACTAATCTTCCTCATAAATATTCTGAGCATCAAACACATCAACCTCCCCATCATCCTCGCCAAACCACAACCTAACCTCACACTCCCCGGCCTCCACACTCTCGCTGCCATGCACTACATTCCTACCCACGCACATCCCATAATCACCCCTAATACTCCCCAACTCGGCATTCAACGGATCGGTCACACCGTTCAACTTACGAACGGCTGCCACCGCATCCTCACCTGCCACCACCATCGCAACTACCGTATTACTGCTCAAATATTCTACCATTTTTTTGTAGAACGACTTAGATTTGTGCTCGGCGTAGTGCTCGGCCACCAACTCATACGATGGTTGGAGCAGTTTTAGTCTGTGGATGTAAAGGCCCTTCTGTTCGTATCTTGATATGATTGTGCCTATTAAGCGCCTTTTTATGGCATCGGGCTTGAGGAGCACGAGCGACTTTTCTATCATTGGGGGTGGGTGCAAATTTTTTTGAATTGATGATGGAATATCGAAAGGAGTGACAGCTGACCCGGTGTATGCAAGGAAGGGTATGCGATCTAGGCGGTGTTGATCGGATGGATGCGTATGAGCATGCCCTATTTCTTTGCGATCGAATTGGTGCGTAAATGGTAAGCGTGAACAAACATAGAACAGCACGGACACGCGGTCAAAAATAACAAACTGCTCGTACATTTACCGGTATTAGAACGCTTTTTAGAAAAAAGAACGGATTTACGTACCTGAACACGCCAAAAACGTAGCAGTACAGGTAAAGGACGTAAAAATAGTTAAAATGCTAAATTACGATACGCTGCCAGAACGACAGCAATACGTGTTAAGAATGTAGAAATAGCTTTTTTTTACGAATACGGTAAGTTAAGGAAAACGTAGTGCAGCACCAAAAAAATAGTAAAAACAAATATTTTTAACGTTTCCTTCAGATAAACGCTCTTTGAGGATGTTACCGGTATTACAAACTGCTTGGTTTAAAGCGTATTATACGGCACCACTTGGCCGTGCCCATTAGTAAGTACTTGTCTGGTACTACCAGTTCTTCCGTCATTAAATCATTGACGTGCAGCTCAAAGTACCATCTTGTTGTACCATACGCATTACGCTTCATCTCGTAATACCGCACCAGTCATTGCATCCCTCAACCCGCATCCTTCTTCTTACCGCCCTTCAAATTCAGTACCATAAACTTCATTTTCACCTCCCTATCCTTCCTTACCACACTAGCCGTACCGCTCTTATCCTCCCCCTTCTTAAAACACGGAAACTCGCATTCCTTCTTGATGCACTCGAACGCCTTTCTCTCATCCCTGTCCATCAGCCCCATCTTTATAAGCGTGTCCAACACCAAGAATGCCTCTCTCTTGCTCACCAGCATGCACATGCTATCATAGCACTCTCTTATGCTCATCTTTCTGTGCTCGTACTCATTTACAATGTTGTACACCTCCCTGCTCTTCGCACCTTTTACTATTTTCTGTATCGATTGCACCTTTCGATGCTCATTCATCCTTTCGTTCCTTATGATACTTAAATTGAGGTACTCCGGTCCGTCACACGTACCACTGCCCTGCCCATCCGTACCAAACGATGGAAATGCCACATCATTCTCTATTTTATCGATCTCTCCCTTTTTCACCTTGTTCTTGGTGTTATGCTCCACAAATTCCAAATTTATCTTTTTGCCATCCGTACTTTCATAAAAATATGATTTGTGCTTGTTGGCACTGGCAGAGCCGTGATGAGGAGCGAAAGAGGAAGTGTTGTTGGAATTGGCACAGCTGTCAGTGCGGTTGCTACCCCTGGCGCTGCCGTTATTAACAGTATTTCCATTTCCACCCGTTCTAGCCGAGCTATCACCCCTACTAGTCCTATCATCCCTACTAGTCCTATCACCCCTACTCGTCCTATCACCCCTACTCGTCCTATCATCCACACCACCATCCCTGTTCACAATCCTGCTGCTCCTCTTAACACCCCTCTCAGCATACGGATCAAAGTACACCGTGCTATCCTTCTTAACCGCTATCTCCTCCATACGCTTCCTTATACCATGCACCTCTCCAAGGTGCACAACAACCTCTCCCCTGTAAAAATACAAATTATTCCTGCACAGAAAGCACGTGTAGTGCAGGTTGTACGAGTGCATCTGCAAATCCTTGCTGTCCCTATAAAAACGGTTCCGCAGCCCGTTTGCATCGCACAGCGTGCACAGAAAGTGCTGCTTTATCGCGTGCTTGTGTGCACTCCGCTCGTCATAGCAGTACTCCTTACAAAACGGGCAGTACACGTGCCCTTTGAACCCTACGTTCCTGTCGCCGTACCGGTTGTGCACCGCCAGTTCTCGCGGTGCAAACGCTTCGTACTCGCTGCTGAACAATTTCTTGTTGTTCTGGCACAGCATGCACAGAACGAGCGCATGCGCTTCTTTGTAGTGCTCGCGCAGCGATGCGAATGATGGCAGTGTTTGCGGGCATTTGTTGCATTTCTGGAGCAGCAGCTGTTTTACGTCTTCCAGTGCCTGTGCGCACCGTATTTCCAATCTGTCGTGCACACCGTTGTGAGCGGTACACGTGCCACCATTTTTGTGTTCCGTGTTCTCGTTGGGTAAACACGGCCTAGCAGGGATAGCACCGTACTTCGCACCGCCATGTCTGATAGTACTGTGCTCAGCACAGCTATCGTTCTTATCATCTGTGCCACAACCATCGTTCTTATCAATGATCCTTTCCTCACGATCTTCTTCTTCCCTCACCACGATACGTCCACTTTCACGTTTGCACACCATGCATTTGCAGTCATCGAACAGAAAGAGCACCCTTGTCATGCATTTCAAGCAGAATTTATGTTTGCATTGGTACTGTGCTATGAAATTGGTTGGAGTGAAACAAATTGGACATTCCATGAGGGGTTGGTAAAAAGGGGGCCATAAATGGTAGGGGGTATGATAGGGGGTACTACACGATGGGTGAATACTACGCATATGTGAATTATAACGAAAAGGACAGTTTGACGGTCTGAGATTGGCAAGGGTAGTAAATAAGTGGGCATCGCAAGAGAGCAAGTATAGCTGGCCCGTAGGAAGTGTACCTATCTGCGCTGTTGAAACGGAGGATGAGCGAGCGTGAACAAAGTACCAATAAATTTACAAATTAATATTTTTACCCTGCCAAAAATAAAAAGGATGAAACGCAATTGCTAGGTGCGCTAATACTCCGTAGCTGATCTGCTGTTGCCAGTAAATTACGTTAAATAAATAAAAATATGTGAAATACACTCTACGCACCAAGAGGTGTACAAGCAATACGAAGAACGGACAAGTAAACACGTCTTATTGTACGAATACACCAGTTAACTGCGTTTACTTACGGCTCTACCACGATACGTAAAACATGATGATCGGTATCAAGAAGCACACGTTGGCCAGCACTGTCAACGTATGGAAAAGTTCGTGGTACCCGTAAACAGCGGGCACCAAATCAGGCTTCTCCAGTCCAAAAACGATACCGCCCAGCACATAAAGCAGTCCTCCCAAAGAAAGCACCATCCTATAAACACTTCTCAAGCTTTCAAACTTCAAAAACAAGGTGATAGACATTCCATGCACGATGTACAGCGCAACATCGATCGCCTCAACCACCTTCTCCACCAGAAATATTTTGGTCGCTCCCAGCACGAATATCATCCACGTGGTCATCAATATCAGCTTGGTGTGCATCAGCTTGAGGGTAAGTGCCATGCTTGAGTGCACGCTGGCGATGAACAGAAATATGCACATATGATCGATTCGCTGTGCAAGCCGCTCGGTACGCGTGTGCTTGAAAGACGTGAGGTGGTAGTACGAGGATGTGCCGTACAGGATGCACTGGGTGGTAAGTATTATCAGGGTGCCTAGATGGAGCTGCGTAAATAGCGAGTATAGAAGATGCAGGATCAGGAAGATGAAGGAGATGATGAGTGCAAGCTGGTGTATTCTACCGCGCAAAACAGGTTTTTTCTGCATAGGGGGGTGAAGAAAATGCAAATGCTTTTTTGTTGATTAATTGGAAATGGTGATGGTACGAAATGAGGGTTTGAAGCGGAGAATAAACGAGCATTTGCTGGTTGAGGAGGTGCGTAGAAAAGAGGATGTTGTTGTGAAGTATTACAGCTGAGACTGACGAGGTGCGTAGAAAAGAGGATGTTGTTGTGAAGTATTACAGCTGAGACTGACGAGGAGCGTAGAAAAGAGGATGTTGTTGTGAAGTACTACAGCTGAGACTGACGAGGTGCGTAGAAAAGAGGATGTTGTTGTGAAGTATTACAGCTGAGACTGACGAGGTGCGTAGAAAAGAGGATGTTGTTGTGAAGTATTACAGCTGAGACTGACGAGGTGCGTAGAAAAGAGGATGAGAATGAAAAGGAGAAGTAAATACGTTAGGAACGTAAAGCGTGGATACAATGTACTGTGCCAGTACAAATTATATGAATAATACGATACAAATCATTAGAGCAGCACAATCGCTACCTTTGAAAGGGTGCTCATCATTTAATGATGATATGACAGGGCTGTTCTTAAACATTAACAGTGTTAAAAACAATTAATTCGTTTTATTTCCTGGCGTACACCTGAATTTAACAAAATAAATTTGTGGTAAGTAAACATACTTTAAAAGTACCAGCACGCTAGAAATGGTATAAACTGTTATTACTAGCTGAGCTGTTGCCGTTTGTAAGGCGGTAAAGGTATGGTTACCTATTAAATGATATTTTCTTCAATAATACGTTGTATTAGTTTTTTACTTGTTCTGCTCCTTTGGTAGGGGTTAAAGAATTATATTTTGATTTGAAAATCGTGTGGTTTTAGTGTTATTTATGGATTTATTTTACATAACGGACCAATCAGTTTTTGAATTGCCTTTTTGTTTCCATGAGGGCGCATCTCAGACAAGTAAATTAAATAGCGCAGTTCAATTCTTCGTTCTATGCAAAAATGGGGCTAAAATTTTTATTTTTACCTGCTGCGATGATAAAGAACAGCTGAGCGTGTCTTGGAAGAAGAACTAAAAAACAATTCTAAGTTTACTTCAAAAAGATGCGGTACATTCTCTTTCTTTGAACTGACCGATCAGCTTTCGTTTCTACCGTGACCACGGTGTGCACACGGATCATAGATCGGTTGGTGCGGCCGGTCCCAATGCACTGCAAAGCGTATTTATTTGAATTGTTTTGTATTGAACAAATGCTTTGTTGGTGAAAAGGAGGTACCGTAGTTGGTAAAAAAGAATGTACGATTGAATATGCAAAGACATGAATTGTTGGTGCGCTCCTCTACGGAAATACCTCGTGCTGAATTGCACCATTCTTAGCAAAAACCGTATTCATCCCCTCACGCATCAGCCATCCATAAATTGCACCATTCTTAGCAAAAAGCGTACTCATCTCCTTGCACACCGCAACATCCTTCGCTCCAGACACGCCCTGTGCCGTGCTCAGCACACGCTGTCCCACCGGTACTTAAGACTGAACGGAGGTAACGCACCAACCTATGCAGTAGCAAGGCTAATCGGCGTGCATACGCTGAACCAGTGCCGGTCAACCCTCATTTATTACACAAAACAAAGGCAATCCCTCAAAAATGAAACTTTACGATTGGCACCAATCACAGAGCCACGTGTACATCAGGCCCTACACACCGATCACGGTAACACCATCATCGATCAGCACGCCCTCGCACACCCACGCCCTGTATAAATGCGTAACCAGCGTAGCGCTGAGCAACGGCGTGTACGTGCTGCAAAAGGACATGAAAGAGATGTGGCCGTGCCTTACCGTTGAGATACGTGATGATGTGCGTGATGCGAGTGTTGATAACGAGAAGGAGGATAGTTTGGACGAGTTGCTGGTTAGGTTGTACAGGGATGGTGACGATGAGAGGAAACGAGCGATGGATAAGAGCTTTTGCGAGAGTAGCGGTACGGTGTTGAGCACAGATTGGGAAAGTGTGAAGAATAAGAAATGAGCACGGGGGTTAAAAGGGAGGTTGGAATGTTTTGGGCGTAGTTCGGTTGGAGCAACGATTTGTGTTAGGGGGTTAAAACTGGGATAGAGCAGGTGATGCCTTGATCAGGAACACGGACCGGATGAAAATGAACTGTGCAAGCGTTGTTTTGGTAAATGATTGGTTGGGTGCAAAGATGCGATTAATGCGCGTGTTCTACGCCGTGTATTGATGGGTGACCGGAATATTTTTGCTTGTCTACCGTACGGTAAAATTCTTTTGAATGCGCTGTGGCCCCTCACTTCAAGGATTTAAGACGGTGGTTGCGCTGTTCGTCATTTAAAATGAATTGTTTGTTTCTTCATTTTATTTTTGAACGTTCCTCCATGTTCTACCCATTCCTTACGTTTTACCCGTTCCTTAGCGTTCTACCCGTCCCTCCATGTTCTACCCGTTCCTTAGCGTTCTACCCGTCCCTTCATGTTCTACCCGTTCCTCCATGTTTTATTCGACCCCTTCAATCTGCCCTTATGTCCCCCTCATCCTTCGAACAAAAATACGTGCACTCCTTCTATGCCACCAACCACCACGCATTCTCCTCAACACGCCATAAACCCTGGCCATCCGTCACAGACTTCCTCACTCGGAACCAAGGAAAACTTATACTAGACGCAGGCTGTGGTAACGGCCGGCATCTCTGTCCAACAAGCGTAGGAGTGGACTACACACGTGCATTTCTGCACGAATGTGTGCGCACTGCCAACTGCCAGGCACTCACACTGATGGCATGCGATGTATCATGTCTGCCGTTCAGGGACGAGTCATTTGATGCCGTTCTTTCGTGTGCAGTGGTGCACCACTTGGAGAATGCCCGGCAAGGCGTTGAGCAGCTCTACCGGGTGTTGAGGAGTGGCGGGTCGTGTTTTATCATTGTTTGGGCGCTTAGGGCCGTGCACAAGCATGGCGGTAATGATGACACTCAGGGTAGGCGCAAGTTTGTAAAGATAAAGGACAACGAATACCTCGTGGACTGGCAGGCTAAGGGGCAAATGCGTTTTTATCATTTGTATGAAAAGGATGAGCTGGTTGAGCTGGTGCGTAGCGTAGGATTTAGGGTGGTAGAGTGCAAGGAGGAGGATGAAAGCATAAATGTGGAGGTGGTGAAGGATTAGAGAGGGGTGCAGAACTGTTCGTGTACGAGCGGGGTAGATTTGAATGTACGGTTGGTAATAAATGGTTTGTTTTTCAAGCGGTGGGGCTGTTAGTTCGGGGAACGGTGGTAACCAGGGGTAGAACAGGAAGAGAAGTTCAAAATAAATGAGATGTGATTTTGGAAGGGCTGATACGGCGGGAAGTGGTAAAATGAAGAATTGCTGGCCGGATGTAACCATTTTTGCTGAAATGAGCGCAAAGATACCGAACGGCAAGTAATGCGGTAAACACAGCTCACAGCACCGCTTTTGAAGTGCAATCGCCTTTATTAACATGTACGCATGGTACCAACGGCATACAAATTTAAGTTACGGTCCACCACCAGTCACTCCTTCCTACGCATCACGTACCGCTTGCCATTCCTGTTTACGACTACAAACCCGTCAATCTTCGCAATCTCGTCCTCAATGTTACACACGTAGTTCATTCTCTGCTTCAACTCGCCGTATTCGTAGCATGTCCTGCCCTCCAGGCTGAACGTGTTTATAAGGTCGGTACTGAACGAATACGATGGTTCGTTGTGTTGCTGGGCAATAAACTGCATTTTACGTGCATTTTCTCTCGTTTTGATGCGGTCGAGAATGCGCTGGTACTTTTCGCTCGCACTTTCGTTTGTTTTCAGGTTGTTTTTAATTTCGGGCGGTTTTTGGGGCTGAAGCGGCGCATCGGCCGATAGAAATGAGATTTTGCCGTGGTGCGCCTCGCATGCTCTTCGGTTCGTACCATGCACCGCATCGTTTCTGGTGTTTGCATGAGCATCCGTTACGCTGCTCAGCACGGTTTTGCCATCAATCCCGGTCTTATCATAACCTGCAGCACCGCCCGATCCCTCTACGCCACCAACAACATCGCCATCATACAGTGCAGCCATCCCACTTCCCGGTTTATCAACCAATCCGCCCACTCCACACACCACCAAGTCATCCCCATCTCTTTCAAACGTATACCGCCCATCCAACCATTTAATCATCCTCAAATCATTTAAATCAACTCTTCGCCTCGTTATGCTCTCAATGATGTGTTTTGAGCGGTTGAAGAATGTTTTGCGATTTTTTAAGGTGTTGAAGCGGTGAATCGTGCGCAGAGATGCTGAGATCTTCTTGAGATGGGGTGTATGTGTGGCTGGTGGATTGTGGTGTATTGTGGATTGGTGTGGTATTGGATTGGTGTGAGAGTTGAGGATTACGTGCGCACTGCCTTTGCTCACAGGGCTGTTCACTGCGTTGCTGTTGCTCACAAGGCTGTTCACTGCGTTGCTGTTGCTCACAGGGCTGTTCACTGCGTTGCTGTTGCTCACAAGGCTGTTCACTGCGTTGCTGTTGCTCACAGGGCTGTTCACTGCGTTGCTGTTGCTCTCAAGTTCTGCCGCTCTACCAAAAACGGTCTTTTTCCTCAGTTCACACGGCACGTGCACACCACTCTGAACATTGAGCACCGCTCCGCGACCAGAAATACCCATTGAACCACCATCCCCGGCACTCGTTCGTACCACTGCACGTTTAACCGATCTCCCCGGTACAAACACCTCCAAGCCACCCGTTTCACTGCTTGCCACACCACATTCACTGTCCAAATCACCACCAACATCCTCACGGCCTGTCATGCTGTGCTTACCCTTTGCATACCTCTTTTTAATTTTATTACGTAAAATGTCAAGCACCACGTTCCGTTTGCCTTTCATTTTCTGCTTTTTGACCATAAAAAATTTGTGAAGCATTTTTTCGAATGGTGGGCACAAAAGAAAAATAAAGGGTTGTATGGCGTGCAGCAGCAGCGAGGGCCCCAACACTGCCACGAGACGGTGTCTGGAACGGATCGCTTTACGGTGCAAGGTGCTTATTCTTCGGTAATTGAGGGATAAAATGGTACTTGGTTGATTTGAAGGTGCTATAGCACGCCTGATCGGACATTACATGACAAGAGATGCCTGAACAGGAAGTGCTCCGTTTGAGCGTACGGGTGTGCACAGCTATTCGCATTTTTAGCCCCAACGCTTCGTTTTAGAACGGTAACACGCCCGTGTGATGAAGAGCATGCACAAACCGCTTTACAAACATGTCTTGCCTGCGATGCGCCTCACGCGAACGAGCGTGGCAATTTAATTGCCAAGTACAATGCTTAACGATGTGCTATACATGATTGCTGTGCACATACCGTACCTATAAATCGTTTTACAGCGTATTATTCGTCACTATTCATTCGTTTCAGCACCTCACGCCCTGCCCAACACCACACCTAATTTGATCTGCTTCTTCGTTCGAACGCACCATCTTCAAATTTTTTGTGGTCCCACCCTTATGAGAGATCCCCTGCAACTCGTCAAATCATACTTGGAAGAGAAAGTGTGCATTTATCTGCGGGACAGGAGCAGGCTGGAGGGCGTGTTGTGTGGCTTCGATGAGCATATGAATGTAGGATTGCTGATTGGTGGCGAGTTTATGACTGTTAGGGGCGAAAGCATTGTTATGATTGGACAGGAATAGCGTGTTGTGATGTGGGTGGTGTGTTCATAGCATATCGGTGAGCAGGAGTAGAATATTTTGTGTTATGGCACGGAGCGATTTAAAGTGCTTGGCCGTGGTGGTAGCGATGAGGTGCTTGGCCGTGGTGGTAGCGATTTGAGGTGCTTGGCCGTGGTGGTAGCGATGAGGTGCTTGGCCGTGATACAAGCCGACAACGTAACACGGCTTGATTTGGTGTTTGCTACACCACCAGAAATGTATTAAAGCGTGCTTAGTGCTAATTTAAAGCAAATATGCGCTTAATAATTCATTTGCTGCTCTACTTCGTTTGTAAAAGCTTTGCTCTTCACATTCATTTTACGTGTGAGGAGTGAATTTGCTTTACCGCACCAGGATTGCTGGCGTAGCACCGTTTTGTTCTGTTCCTTACTCTCGTTGGTGTTGTAAGCAAGTGCTGTGCATCTTTCGTTCATTACATGCACGATTTACCTCTGCTCTCGTTCTTTTCGCAACGCGCAATGCTCCTCGTTGCCCGCCCATGCGCACTATTTTTTCATTTTATGTTAATGCGCGTTGCAGCATTTTTAGCGCATGCCGCCCGCCCATGCCCCCTCTTCGCACGATCATTCCCTTGTCGCCCAAAATACTACAAAACGTTTGCATCAGCACTCAAACAAAAAGACAAAAAGTGCAAAACAAAACCGTCTCACATCAAAATATAAAAGAAAGCGCTGTCCATTAATTTATGAACTTCCACAAGTACTACAAAAAAAACGTGTATGCTCCGTACGAACAGCACTACCTCGATTACGAGGTGCTGGTGGGCAGCAGTGATGTGGACAGGACTGCGCACTCGGAGATGGAGAGGGTGTTCAAATTTGTGAGCGAGCGCAAGGACGAGCTGACGGTGTGGGCGAAGACGCTGGAGAAGGAAGTGCTGATGCGCATAACCGCGCTGGACGGCGGCACCGATCCCGGGACCGATGACCTGAGCTACACCAACCTGAAGGACATCCTTGCCAACCCGTCACGGGGACGCAAGAAGCAGCTCAAGCGCGAGCTCAGGCTGTTCAACAAGAAGTTGGACCTGCTCAGGGAGAACGTGGCAATTTTGACCAAGTTCATAAAAGTGAACCTTGTGGGCTTTAAGATTGCGCTCAAGCAGCGCAGCGCGTACCGGTCGTACAGGGGCCGGCTGGCGGGGTACAAGCGCAGCGTGGCCGATGTTGATCGCGTTATGTACGCGGTGAGCAGGCTCATTCTACGCTACAGGAAGCGCAGCGCGAGTTTGATCGGTCTTGTGAGCAAGAGCGAGGGAAAAAAGAGCAAGCCAAGCAACAGCACGTTCGTACGACGCACCGCGAAGTACTGGGTGCACCCCGACAACATAGACGATCTGAAGGCGTGCATCCTGCGGCACTTGCCTGTTTATATTTTCAATCCAAGCGACGAGAACTACGACTCGTGGACAAAGGAGCACGATGCGGCGATAACGAGCGTGTACTACGACAACGCGTCCTTTGAGGCGTACAACACACGCCTGCACAAGCTGCAGGGGAGCGAAGCGATCCGTATACGCTGGTACAAGCTGGACGAGCCCAAGGTGGTGTTCATCGAGAGAAAACGGCACGAGGACGGGTGGACAGGCTATCAAAGCAAAAAGCTGCGCTTCAAAATGCCGGTGGAGCACGTAAACGCATACGTAAACGGACAAAACGTGTGGAAATACGTTGAGCCCCTGAACGAGAACAAGCTGAGCACGCTCAGCCTTTACAACGAAATACAGCACTCGATCATCCACAAGAAGCTGAGACCGAGCGTTCGCACGTTCTACAGGCGCATGGCATTTCAAATGCCGGAGAGCAACAACATCAGACTGTCGCTCGACACGGATCTGGTCATGATCAGGGAGTGTGCAGGTGACAGCAGCACACCCTTCAACTGGCGGCGTGAGGGCTTGAGCTGGCCGTTCGACAGCCTCCGGTCAGACGAGATCTGCCGGTTCCCGTACGGCATTCTCGAGGTCAAAACGCAGGACGACCAGAAAACGTGGATCTGCGAGTACGAGCACCTCATCGAGCACGTACACAAGTTCAGCAAATTTATGCACGGCACGGCCGTGCTGCACAATACGGAGATGATTCCGTATTGGTTGCCGCAGATGGGCGTGGGCATACAAAAAGAGAGTTTTAAGAGCCCGCCGCACAAGCGGTACGAGTTTAAGGATGGTGAGCTTGTGGAGATACCGCAAATAGGGCAGCAAAACAGTGATAATGTGGGAAGAGGGAGTGAAGGGAATTTACGGCACGATATAAATGAACAGAATCGGGCGAGCGCGCAGTACAGCGCTACGGACGGGCAGGGCATCGGCCGAGCAGGCCTAAGACACAGCAGCTGTGGCATCACTGATGGACAGAGCGTCAGCAGAATAAGCGTGGTAAGGGGTGATGAGCACGTGCAGGAGGACAGACCCGCCATGGGCATGTCATCCTCTGCAGGATGCATGCACTGTGCCTCGGGCCTTACATACGAACAGATACGCTCCAGCGGTGCGAGGAATGACCGTGTGCGTGCATCGGAACGAGCGATGTACGGAGAGTGTGTTCACGACCGGATGGGCCTGACAAAGATGGAGGGGTCATGCGTGGCAGGGGGGAGCGAGTCAATGCTGGGCGAATCGCTGAACAGGAACACGTCTGGCGAATCGCTTCACAGGAGCGTGGGTCTGAAAGGCCCATCGGTGCACGCAAGTGCAGACGCATCGCGTAGAACAAGCCCCTCACACGGAGCCGAGCACACATACCTTCAGCGTAGCGCCGCTCAGCACCCAAAATCTACGAAAAAAACGGTCGCCGCTCAGCACGACGATGACGAGAGCACCAAAAGTGTGTTGGTCCCCATCGACAACAAGCGCATTGCCATACCCGTGCGTGTTGAGCCCAAGGTGTTCTTCGCCAACGAGCGCACATTTCTGTCGTGGCTGCACTTCAGCATCTTCATCGGAGGCCTTGGCTCTGCGATGGTCGGCCTGGGCGACTACAAAGCACTGATAAGCGGTGCGGTGTTCATCGTGGTGAGCACCATCTTCGCCGTGTATGCGTTGTATTTGTATATGTGGCGGGCACATAAAATTAGGGCAAGAAATCCTGGGCCGTACGATGACCTGGTGGGGCCGGGTGTGCTTGTGTTTGTATTTATCGCTGCTATGGCGCTTTCGTTGCTGTTTAAGATGCCGATGCACTGAGAACGATTAGATGCGTACAATAAAACCGCTTTGTGACGTGTCCGTTCTTATACGTCTTGAACATGTCGGCCGGTGTGCACACGAGTGCTGTCGGATGAGCGCATTTTATTTTTTGGTTTTATCCGATTTTCACCTCACACGAGTGCTTCTCTGGTCCAGAGCGGTGCTCATGCCTTTCATTTGCACTATAACCAATGAATGCGCTCATTTTTGCATAATTGGTTTTCTTCACGGCACGAATTCACCCCGCATGGATTGCACCTCACAATGTTCACGGGTACGGCATGTTCAGCGACATGGGACGTGTTGCCGTTGCTGACCGGTAATGCCCGTGGTGGATCCTCACTGATCCGCAACAAAACCACGAACACGTACGGTAGAAATGACCAAGAGAATGAAATGCACCACGTACATTAAAATTGAGGTATGAGCTGAGCAAGCGGGATTGTTCGTGTAGTTGTGCGGTTTTTGCACCGGTGCACAGCGCTCATCACCTGTCATACGGCACGTTTTTTGTGGTGATCTCCGCGCACCCATGGTTTGGTATGGAACGTGAGAGGTGCGCTAGAGCGGTTGTTGTTGACCGGTGGGTGGTACCTGGACCGGTTGTGATGAAGAAAATGGGTGATGTGGGATGAATAGCGTGGTACAAACGGTGCTGTTCACAGGGACCGGCGTGGTTGCCAGGTTTTACACCTGGACGGCCCTGCTAAGATCATGACGTGTCACTTCTAGCCGTTGTGCCACGCCACAGTATCACCGTGGCGCTGCTCCTTTCTAGTGGACCGTCATACCGTGCTAAGGTGCACGGCCCCTTAAGCCGATCCGAGGACTGTCTGCGCATCATAGCAGAGCATCATGCCCACCGACAGGCAAACAGGGCCATACGCGCGATTTAACCGTTTTATTTTTGTGAGCCCCATGTCGGTCAAAAAGCCAACAATATCCGTGGTCTTCATCGGTCACGTGGACGCGGGCAAAAGCACACTGAGCGGGCGCGTTCTTCTGTCTCTCAACCTGGTAGATTCTCGTTTGCTGGAGAAATACAAGGAGGAAAGCAGATCGCTCAACAGAGAGTCGTGGTATCTGAGCTGGCTCACCGACACGAGTCCGATCGAGCGCGAGAAGGGCAAGACACTTGAAACGTGCAGCACCATCCTTGACCTGCCGCACAACCGTGTCAATTTGCTGGACACGCCCGGCCACAAGCTGTACTTAACGGACATGATACGCGGGGCCAACCAGGCAGATGTGGCCGTACTGGTGATATCGGCGCGAAAGGGCGAGTTTGAGGCCGGGTTTGAGCGGAGCGGACAGACACGCGAGCATGTTATACTTGCGAAGGCGGGCGGTGTGAAGCACTGCATATGTGTGATCAACAAAATGGATCAGAGAAACTTTGAGGCGACGTACTTTAAGGAGATTGTGGGGAAGCTGGACGTGTTCCTGAGGAAAATCTTCAAAAAGGTGATGTACGTGCCGGTGAGCGGGTATGAAGGCATCAATGTTCTGTATGAGAACGAGTTTGATGGACGGGCGGATGACCAGCACTCCAGTGCGTGTAATGTCACGGGCGACAACTACAACGACATCAACGAACATGAGGATGACTGGTACAGGGGTGATTCGCTGCTCGGTATGCTGGACAAGATACGAGTGGAGAGGCCGTTTGGTGGCACAATGCTGACCATCCTGGACAAGAGCAAGAACGTGTTGCAGGTGAAGATCGAGGAGGGCATGGTTAAGAAGAACGATGAGCTGTTTGCGTTGCCGGGCGGGTACAAAGTGAGCATCAATGCCATTCTGGACGATGAGGACGTAGAGATCGAGGATGCACGGGCCGGTGACATTGTAAAGATACGCGTGAACACGGACACGCTTGAAATAGGCAACGCGCTCGCACATGCGATGGAAACGTGCACGGACACGTTCACGTGCCAGCTCAACGTTCTCGATTGCAAGGGCGTGCTGAGCGTGGGGTACAAAGCGGTGCTGCACCTCAAGATGAACAGCCTTTCGGTCAAAGTGCTCGGGCTGCAGATCAAGAAGGGCGAGAAGGTGTACAAGACAGAGTATGTGAGGAAGGGCGAGAAGGCGCTGGGAAAGGTTAAAATTGATAAGAAGGCGTATATCAGGGTGGGAGACTGCTTTGCGGTGCGGGATGAGGACATAACGGTTGCTATAGGTGTGGTGCGAAAGGTTCTTTAATAAATGGTTGGTACGAAACTTTTGGTAAAGCACGCTGCGCTGTTTAAATAGGGGCAGTTCGACAAAAATGGGTGTGAGGTGGTGTAGCGAAGAACATTTCAATCGAGGTGCGCTCCTCGGACCGGTGCTACTGAGGATTTCGCGCGATTCATTTTTTTGGATACCCCCAGTTTGCAGGAATGCCGTAATAATCCCATGGATTATGGCAGCCTCTGTCTCAGATACCAAGGTGCGCCAGCAGTTGAGAGTATTCCATGATCCGTATCATGTGCTATCTTGCAGCTGCGCGGACATACACTCTTCACGCATATTCCCTGTACCTCTTCCTTTTGCAAAGCATTTTTCTCTGTCTTACATGCAATAACATCCCAAACAAGCACGTTTTTTATCCACCGGGCCGATCATGGCCACGGCTCAGTTCTTCACGAGAAGAATTTTTGCACCCTCAGTAAAATGGAACAAATCGGCAAAAACACCGAAATAACGCAATCTGGCCAGGCAATCCGCATAAACCTGTCGGCGTTCACCGGCCTAAACGCTCTGTTCTCATGCTCGCTCGGACCGGCAAGCACCACCAAAATGCTCATAAACTCAGCGGGCATAAAGGTGCTGCGCGACGGGCGCAGTCTTCTCGATTCCGTGATGTTCACGCATCCGGTGACCACCATAATCAACAAGGCAGCTGTGCAGAGCCATGATCTGCTCGGTGACGGTGTGTGCACGTTTGTTGTGTTTGGCTCGCTCGTCTTTCAGAATGCGTTTGGACTGGTCACGTCCGGCCAGAACGTGCTGAAGGTCAATGAGGCGATTCTCAGGGACCTGAACCTTTTGATGGAGATGATAAATGGGGAGAAGGTTGCGCTGACAGACGGCGATCTGAAGAAGATGCTGTTTTACGTGTTGAACACGAAGATGGACGAGGATATGGCACAGCATTTCACGGATGTTGTGCTTAAGGCGTACAGGCCGAATCTGCAGATGGTGGAGACCATGAAAATGGATGGTGATGCGTCTGAGAGCACGGTCATAGACGGACTGGTGCTTGATCATGGCGGCAGGCATCCGATGATGCCCAAGGAGGTGGAGAAGGCGTGTATTCTGATCAGCAACATTTCGCTCGAGTACGAAAAGCCGGAGATAAATACCAATCTGTACTTCAAGAGCGCGGCCGAGCGTGAGAAATTCGTGGCAGGTGAGCGAGAAATTCTGAACAAGAAGATTGACCGGATATTGGAGCTCAAGAAGAGCGTGGAGGGCATGGGCAAAAAACTCGTGCTCATGACCGAGCGGGGAATAGATCTGCCATCGCTTGACAGGCTGAAGGGCATGCTTTGCCTGCGAAGAGTGAAGCGGAGGAATTTGGAGCGGCTGCTGAGGCTGTGCGGTGGCAGGCTCGTAACGGCCACCGATGACGTGCGCATGGAGTGCCTTGGTTATACGGGCAGCATAACGGTCAAGGAGGAGAAGGACAAGGCGTACACGTTCGTGACGAAAGCACCGTACACGGGGTGTTCGACCGTGCTGATCTACGGCAGCAACAGCTACGAGATGGACAGAGTGCAGGTTGCGCTGAAGAGCGCGCTTAAGATCGTTGAGCTCACGAAAAATGCACCGTTCTATGTCAGAGGCGGGCCCACGAATTTCAAGCGCTGGTCAGAGCAGCTCAGTGCCGCGAACCAGGGCAGAACAGCAGTGTCTGAGGCGCTGTACCAGCTTTACAAAACAATTCGGGCAGATGACGGAAACGTGGTGGACTGCTTTGTTGGTCTGAGCCGAACACTTTTTAATGCTGGAATGGTCAGCAGCACGCTGTTGATGGTGGACGAAATTATAAAAGCGGGAAAGAGCGTTAAGGAAGAGAAGAATGAGCAGTCATAGGTTGAATTAAATGCTTGTTAGGTTATGATCTGGCATGGGCACGCACGGTTTACCTCCGTGTTTCGTTGTGCACCTTCAGTCCCACTTTTTACAAAAAACTGTTCTGTGTACGCATCCCTGCGCCGTTCATCTCACACGGAACGATGATCAGCGCCAAAACCGCCAGCAGCATTTTTTGCCAAATTACGTTTATTCATCTTCTCATACCACACACCAAACAAAGTGCTCTTCAAAAAGAAATTATTTGACCACAAATTTACCTCACCATGGGCCTTACCGATCATCACAGTGCCCCTTTCACTATCCTTCAGCTGCGCTCCTCGACCGATGTCAGGTGCGGCACGGAGCAGCTATTGGTCAATTTTTTGTTAATTTATTCATTTGAATGCCCAGGACACACCACAAGATCAGATAGCATCAACGTTTTTATCCCGTCCAACAAATAAGCAGAGATGGGCCGCTCATATTCAAGTCCCACACGAGCGGCCCACTTTTGATGATTTCTTTGCCGGTGATAAAAAGTTCTGGGCGGGAACGTCAGCCGAATTGCACAAAGACCAAATTTTACGTCATGAAACACAAAATAACAAATTCAAACCGATTAATTGCTACAAGACTTCACCTATGCTGCAGTTGCCGTGTAACCCTGAGCTAGCCGTTACGTTCATGTCGGTGCACACGTCTCTAATATTACGGTTTTGTTAGCTGCCACGGATCCTCTGGCGTATCGCCCAATGCAACAAAACACTGTTCGTCCAATTCTTGCCAAAAACGCAGTCGCTCGCATACGGCCAATTTTAGCACGAAATGCTCGCAGCCGGGAAGAATTCGCTGAAAACCTCTCAACCAACCACACGTGCAACAGGCAAATGCATGTGTGCACCCTTACCTGTCATCTCAACCGTCCTATCATCTCTCAAAATCGTTTGCCCATCATGGCATACAAACGAGGATTCAGACCATCCTATCGAACGCTATTCCTCCTCTTACTGCTTGCGCTCTTCATATCGATGTTCAGCGTGTACTTTATGCACCATATTCAAAGAAATACGCTTGTTAGGGTGCTGGTAGGGCGCGAGATGGAGCAGAAGAGGCAGCAGAGGTGCAATCGTACCGCGATGAGCAAGTCTGTCCACGTACCGTAGACAGCAGCCATGTACAAAATGCGGTGTATTGCTGTATAAAAGTAAAAGAGTACTTTTTAGTGGTTCTGTTATGCTCAGTGTGCCTGTGGCGGTTCGCAGAGTGTTCTACGGCATGGGCATGTGCAGGCTGAGAGATGAGCGTGTTGTAGTGCTTTAAGTTTTGTGATCACTCGTTCTGCCATTATCCATGAACTGCACGAATTCTCTCATGAACTGCTCGAGGATGTGCCTGGTGAAGGGCTTTGCCATTATCCATGAACTGCTCGAGGATGCGCCTGGTGAAGGGCTTTGCCATTATCCATGAACTGCTCGAGGATGCGCTTGGTGAAGGGCTTTGCCATTATCCATGAACTGCTCGAGGATGCGCCTGGTGAAGTGTTTTGCCATTATCCATGAACTGCTCGAATTCTCTCATGAACTGCTCGAGGATGCGCCTGGTGAAGGGCTTTGCCATTATCCATGAACTGCACGAATTCTCTCTGGTCCATTTGTTGTGCCTGACCGCGTTACCGCATTAAATGGGAACAAAAGCAAGGCGTGTCGTAGAACGAGCGCGCTCACTGCATTAAATACAAAATGTGGTATAAAAAGGTTTTGGTACTTCTATTTACTTCAGACTCCTGCTCTACGCGATAGCCCCTTCGCGTTCGAACATCGATCTTTCACTCGAATCCCTTTCTCTCTTCAAACGGCAGTGAGATGAACTTCTATCATCGCTTCTATCATCAAATCTTTCTTCACTTCTTTCCTCACATCTATCTTTACATCTTTCATCGCTCCTTTCCTCTTTTTCTTTACAAATTTTCACATCAAATCCCTTTCTCTGGCACGGATCACAAAACGATGCTTCCCCCATGCACCGCTCATGTGGTTTGCACCGTATGCAATGTTCAAGCTTTCGGATCAACGGACATTTTCTTCTCTTTCTGTGCCTCTTGTACGGATACACGTACGAATTCTTACACAAGCTGGGATGGTTGTTCTCCTCAAAGGGATTGACAACGTAGTAGTAGTTGAAATTGTAGTTGTACCGTATCAGCGGGTACAATGGCTTTCTGTGGTGCTCCTTTGGATAGCAATGGCGTTGCCATTGCTTGGGCAGAACTGATCCACAGGGACTAGAGGCTGAGATGTTCACCGGTAGACATTTGGGCATTGGTGATGGCCACAGTTGATTGGTTGAATGACTCCGCGACCGGGGCCGTTGGTTGTAAAAACCATTGTTGGTGTCACTCGATGGTTCCGAATAGCGACTGTGCTCATCTACATCTGAGTATTCTGCGTGTGTATTTCTGTCTGGTGACATTCTGTCATCATAGGAAGGATTGCTCATGTTGAATAGGCACCGGTTCACATTTGGATAGCCTGGCAGGGAATGCGGCTGAGGCCTGTGACAGGGAGATGCAATTTCTATGGTTGGTGGGCGGTAGGTTGGCTGTAAGGTCGTCAATTGGGAGTGGGGCTGCTGGGGCTTGAGACACGTGGAAGAGATCTCTATGGTTGGTGGGCGGTAGGTTGGCTGTAAGGTCGTCAATTGGGAGTGGGGCTGCTGAGGCTTGAGACACGCGGACGAGATCTCTATGGTTGGTGGGCGGTAGGTTGGCTGTAAGGGTTGTGCACAGGGGACTGGCACTGGTGTTCCGACAGGTTGTTGATATCCAAATACACAGAAGGCGGCATTGGCGTTGTTTGTTTGGGGGTTGTAGGGTGCCAATGCGCCATTCGATCTGAGAACAAGGTCGCTGTAAACACCGTTCCATCCGTTTACAGCGGCTGCCTCAACTCCTGACCGTCTTAGAACATCAAGTAAGTGCGGTAGGTTCTGCGTTGTGGCCATAACACTTGGGCATCCTAGCTCACGGCATATTTGGCTGGGGGGTTGGTTGGGTCTTCCGCCGATGAGACATATTCTTGCGCAAGCGATAGCAGCAAGGCAAATGAAAGTGTGCAGCATATGGTGCGTTTTCGCTACGTATTTATACCTTTTTTGTGATAAATTCTAGATCAATTGCTTGTACATTTACGGTTAATGTATCATTTAAAAGGTGCTTAAAACGGGCAAAAATAGGCTTGCTTGCTTAACGGCAACAATTCCTGGTGATGGTGCGTAGGACCGTGTTCACGGTAAGAATTAGAACTGCTTTTTCTAAGCAGCAAGTGCTCTTCGTTCCAAAAATATGCACCAATTGTGCCATAAAACTGATCCGATAATTAATTTATAGCACATATCTGTTGTTCGATCGTTTATTAAATCACTATTTGCTCGTTGCAGCTCCTCAAATTACACGGTAAAGCGGTGCAATCAGATCGTGGAGAGGGCGGGTAGCACGCAGGTTTGCCCTGTCTGGTGCTTTTACACTGCGTGTGATTGATTGGCAGGAAAACGAACAAAAAATAGGGCGCGTCTTAAAAAGGAGTATTTGGGCCCAACAGCGCTTTTCACACACGGTTACAGCACGTTAACTCCAAATTTTGTTCACGGCCAGCAAAGAACGTTAATTAAATTAATTGTGATTTGATCATGAATTGCGATCATATCGATTTTATAGGTCAACGGTTCGTTAATACATCAAAAAATGGCTAGGAAAGTTTTGGATGTGAGCGCATTCGTACAAATCGTAGGAACACGTCTTGCACCGCTGCCTCGAACCACAAGGTCGATTGGTGAGATCAGGAAATGGTTGATGTGCGGTTTGTTCGTTGTGCATCGCGTGCAAACAAATTAGTACGTGAACAGAAGAACGTATAACGCTAAATGTAGCGTATCGAAGCGGTAGCGCGTGTTTGTGAGAGGAATTGGCCATTATACCCGGTATTAACATCTGAGAGAACGAATCTTTTAATAAGTCTTTGAGCCGCTGACAGCGGCAGTGAACGTGTTCGTATCGTAATCGTGGAGCAAGTACGTTCAAATTAGGTATTGGGGCGGTTGTTCCCGCTATGAGTCTCTTAGGGCAGTTTGTTGCGGTGCAATGGTTGCAGACCAATCCTTTGCCAATTTAATTCATAGAACAGTGAAAATAGCAATTTACTCGTTCATACACCCAAAGGATTTGCGCTGTTACGGATTAGAAAATGAGATGCACCTCTTTGATACGAGAACGCTGTGACATAGAGAATTTGTTCAGAGAATACCACCGCTACTGAGCTATAAATGTGCAAAATATGCCGAGTAGCAGAAACTGTAAATTAAAGTGCGCACTTTACGTGTTTTAATGGCAGAAATGCTGATGGCACAGGGTTAAAGAGTGCAATTTATCTATGGTAGCTGGTAATTTGCACAGCTGGTTCGGAATTGAAGAGCTTGTTCCGTAATTTACTACTCCATCTTCTTGCACGGATAGTTTGGTACAAATAATAAAGGAAATTAAAAGTACTTCCTATTTTTGTACACAGGCAGTAAAAATGAGTACACCGTATGATCGTGTTTAAATTTAGTGTAAACACCTGAATAAATAGCGAAAACAGCAATTTTAAGTTTTTGTGCCATTTAAATTTACAGATGATCCGCTGCTCATGGGCATGTCCCACAATGCTGAGGTATTATTGCCCAATATGGCAAACAAAGTAGAACACACGGTATATGAGCAATGTATGTACCATGTACAGCAATGAACGCATATAATAGCATTTAACACCATTTAATAGCATTTAACACCATTTAATAACATTTAACACCATTTAATAACGTTTAACACCATTTAATAACGTTTAACACCATTTAATAACGCTATATGTTGTGAAACCGTTCATACACAGCAGAATATCTGCACTCGTCAAAATGCTCCGCTTTCTTCGCCAATCGGTGCTTTAACTTTGTATCACTGCCAAGTATTTGAAGTAATCGATCATAATTAACAGTTTGTGATCATTCAACTGCTCTGACAGCTCAAACACTCTCGATTGGCAGGTCTCGTGCACAGACAAAGCAGTGAAACGATCGCACACTAACAGCAATGTTGGTTGGTGAACAGTCCGTTCATACCACACGGTTCATCTCCAACTTACCAATTTGTGAATGGATAGGCAGCGGACAGAGAGATGTGTCCTTTGAACAAGGTTCATGTATTCTGGCAACTGATAAAACGGGTATGACAAGTCCATGTTTATTCTTTGGTTAGAACGTTGTGTCATAAGCGAGTTCGTACGATTGGATTGAACCGAACATAGGTGAATCAGCGGAGCATCTTCTAAGATTTGCTAGGAAGGTCTTAATCAATTCCTTGTTCGCCGATGCGTAAAACGATAAATGTGCTAAGTAATTCGGATTGGCAGCAATATCAACATTCCCTGTGGCACTTGGCCCGGCAGTGGTGTCCAACTCATGTGGCACAGATGATGCTGGTCGGCAACACGACTCACCACTCAGGTGCTGACAACCACTTTGTTCCACGGGTGGTGCTGTGTTCTGCTCGTTCTCGCTTGATTTCGTACATGTGACTGCCGAATCATCCTGTTCTACGCTTTTAGTCGGTTCATTGCTGGGAGCTATTTGGTTTGTTCCAATGCATGAGGATGTCTCTGACACTTGAGTGACATCGAACCGAACATGAGTGTTTTGTACGACCGTAGCATATTTTTCGTGACCATTTGGCAATGATCCTGCTGTATTCTGCATTTTACCGTTTATAGGACGTACGAAAGTGCTCGAGTCCATTTTTAAAGCCTGTTTACCTGTGTATGGTGCAAATTGAGGAAACTCCCTGACCCTAGAAACCCGTTCTTTATCATTTTTGTGGCCTGAGTCGGCATTTCTATTCTCCGAAGTTGTGGTGTTGCTGAGCGTTTGCCGATAATTTTCCTGAGAAACGCTGTTCTTTCTTTCACATTTCTTTGAAAGAGTGCCAAAAGGAGAAAACGAGCAATCAGAAGCCGCAAATACACCAGAATTGCCCCGTCTTTGTGGCACGATATACTTCTCAACACTTTTGTTACGATCAGTGTCCAATGCATTTTGCCGAAAGAATTGTTCTGGATTGTTCAACCAGCTCGGCTCCAACTTCTGTGCTGGACGTGTTACGTCGATCGGTACTGAACACTGATCTGTAGAAGCGTGTGATTCATCATTTATTATCGTTTCTGAGTCTGCTAACACTGAAGTATTGCGTTCATCCTCTGATTTTGCTGCTGTTTCGTAGACTGCACCATCTGAACGGGCATGCGGCATAGGTGCTTCCTCCTTTGTAACAAGTTCTGGACATTCTTCGTTTGGTTTTGCTTGTTTCAGCTGCTCTGGCCGAATAAGTCTCCGTTGCTTCAGGTGTCCGAGCTGCCATCCCATGTGATCGTGCTTTGTTTCTGCCGAACTGAGTTGTTGCTGTGAGCGTTGTGCCGTTGTTTCTGAATCGGATACGGCCATGCCGTCTCTTTCCGGTGCTTGGGCTAAACACCGCTTAGTTCCCTCCGATTGTTCTAATGACGGCTTCGTTCGTTCATATACGCGATTTAATTCCGAGGTACGATCAACTCTTTTTTGTGGCGATAAATCAGTTGCAGGTATGCTGTGCGTTTCGTCCACGGCATTCTTTGCCGATTTGTAATGGGATGGACATTTTCCATCAGTCCGCAGCTCTACCACTTTGACAATTTCGGCACCTCCGCTTTTCGTTCGCCTGCTCGACATGGCTGCCCCAATCATTCGAATTGTGTTTGCCTTGAACTTCAGATCAAGCCCTGGTATATCACCAGAATATTTTAGCACAGCCTTGGACAACAAATCAGACAATTTATTAAAACAGCACAAATAGGCCGCCATCGTTTTTCTCAAAGATCTGTTCTGTATCATATTGATGATTTGATGGTTAATTCTGATACTCTCAGTAAATTTGCCGTTACTTACTTCGAATTCAACATCTTTACTCTGCAACAGTTTCTCTAGCGATGGTCTTGTGAACCAAAGAATGAACCACAATACGAATTTGAACATGCCATTGCGGTGCATATCACATCAATAAATACTTTTCAATTTACTGCATTGGTAAAAATGCGGAATTAAGTGAAAGCACAGTGGGCAAGCGGGACTTGGCTGTAAAAAGAGTATTTTAGTACGAGCTCAAGTATTTGTGCACAGAAATTAGCTATTGCACACAAATTTGTGGTATACGGTGATGAATACATGAGTGAGTAGTTCGGAGCGGAATGTGGAGTGATACATGTTTTGCCGCTTTTTTGTTCTTTGAACAATAAAATGTCTTTATCGCCGAATCGGACGAATAACGATAAAAAGAGTTAATTATCAGTTTAGGAGTGCTTATTGAATATTTTATAAATAAAAAAGGTGAAAAGCAATTTGAGCGTACCGTGTGCATAACGAAGAGAAGTATATTTTTGTAAAACGCAATACGAGGGACATACCTGCACATTACGTGTGTCTTGCGCTCATCTACCGTAATAAGTACCAAGGAGCAGCCGGGTAAATCTACGCAAAGTATGGCAAGTACCTCCTATGGTAGAGCTAAAAGAAGAGTGCCGTGCTCAAACATCGTTTGATACTTCTATAAACGATGTGGAATTAAGAACAAATGGCGTAATCGCTGCTTAAAGAGATGCTCGCCAGTGTTAGCACAAAGACGTAGTATTATCTGCAAATATTCTACCGCTCGATTGCTTTACACAATTCATAGCGAAGTATTTTGATGGAAATAATGGTTAAAGTGTTGGAACGGTAATATTCGTAGAATATGACAACGCAGTCACAGTTAAATATGCTACGTGTTGGTTTGTAAAGAATTATCGGTTGACCTGTGGTTAAGATGGCACTTCATCTCATCAAGCCTTCACGACCAGCCGATTACTACAATTGAGTGAACGTGTAAGAACGTGCAAATGAACCAAAAATTGTGCAACTTGGTATTTATCAGCGTATCATTGCGATAAATGTGGCGTGCAACAGTATAAGAAGCTGTTTGCACCGATATTAGCACAAAACATCGTTTTAAACGGAATAAGCAGGTTCGGGCTATGATTACACCGGATTGTGCCTTTTCAGACAAGGAAATCCCTGTAATATCATATTAACCAACGTGCCACCGGTATGAAGCGTGTGCTGAGAAACACCCGGTGGTATTTTTAAAAACGTACCGAGCTCGTTTATCCTTTCTTAATGCCTGGACCGGTACCAAACTTGGAGGGCTTCTGGCCATTGGTTTGTTCACCTGCCATATTTCACATACAAAACGAATTTTCTAGCACGTTGAACTCAGTGCCATGACAGTTCTTGTCTCAAACAATTAAAGTCAGAATTATTTTACCTGAGAACTCAGCCGATCAAAACAGAAAGACTACAACGGTTTTTGCATTTCACACGGTTGCTTCACCATTTACTAAAAATGAAAGAAACGAAATCGTGATGCTTTCTTCAGGCCTTTTATTCTGCTATATCTATGGCATAGTGTTCTATCGACAATTACAACACATTTTGGTTGCCATGATGCTCTTTACAGCATCGATCTTGGTAACCGATTACAAATGTACAACTCGGATGTTAACAGCAATTGGCAGCAAGCTTAGAGTGCCGTTACATCATTGAACTGCTTAATACTGGTATTACATCATTAATTACACCACCTTGTATCACACAGCGAAGTACTCAATTGTTTGATATCACATCGTACGCAGCGAACCATTAATTGTAAACGAACACAGCGATCCGATCATACACCGTTCCATTCGGAGATTGCAAACCGTAGCGTATTGCCTGAGAGATAAACAAATGTACTTTTAGTGAAAGCACATCGCTGCAAAGACTGTGCGTCCAGAAGCAAAAAACAGCAAATAAATACGATTAAATTTTATCCTTGCCGAGCACCTATTTGCTTTTCTAACGTGTACTGCGAGCCTAAGCAGGATAGTAAGTTATTGATTTGTCATTGTGACAGAGCTTATCCACACTTGGAAATTTGCACCTGGCTGCAGAAATGCTCTACTCAACTCTGAAAACTAATTTTTATGTTCTGAACCGGATAAATAACCAGAGAAAGATTCGATGAGAAATAAACGGCCCTAATGAGTGCCATATATGAAGTACTTACAGACATTAACACTAGTCTTGATGAATATGTCATTACCACAAGTCTTCGCTGGTATCTGTGACTTCCTGTTCCGTGAAACGGGTTTGGTGCTGCCCAGCAAATTGTTTGGACAAAAGAATGAACATAGTCCGCGCACCAAAGCTAATAAAAACAGAAGAGTCAGTTTAAATATGCAGCTATGAATTAAAGCTCTTGTATAGTTAATTCAAAGGGACCATACGCCTGTGATTGCTCTGTTAACCATCAGAACCACGCAAGTGTTGACCTAGCGCTTTGTTGTAAGGTAGGGTGTTATTGTTAATCATCAAATTTTTGTTCAACACACCTGCCGCGCAGTTTAACCCGCGATTCTTCGCGTACAGAACAAAATTTAAAAAAAATTTATGACCCCCGTACAAAATGGTAAGTGCACGATTTTCTAATTGAGAAAAAACGCCGAAACAACGGACGCTCAAAGAAGAACAGAGGACATCCTGGTAACGTAAGATGCGACAACTGCGCACGAATGGTCCCAAAAGACAAAGGCATAGTGAAATACCAGGTTAAGAATCTTATCGATGCGGCTGCTGCAGATGATATCAGGGTAGCAAGCATTTACGAGACGTACGAGGTGCCAAAGACCTATGTTAAACTGCAATATTGTGTGAGCTGTGCTGTTCATAGCAGGCTTGTCAGGGTTAGAAGCCATTGGGAGAGGAAGATCAGGGGGAAGGTTAATTAAATTTTTACTCGGATACAGGGTGCTGACAAAGTTGTCTGAGGTGTTTATTTGGTGATCCTGTTGTAATTGGCATGGATTACTCAGCTGGTGTGTTAAGACGGCCTTTTTGTGAACCTCAATTTCATTCTGATCGGAGCTGCTCTATTTTTCTAATTCTACCAAAGTCGTTTTGCCATGAGCACCAAAGGTGTCCAGCCGGGTACATCAGTAAACGCAGGATTATGTTTACTGCGCACAGAAACGGCATGATTTCGAATCTTGCATGGCAGATCTGCTATTCTACCCTTTTATCTTTATGAGATGGTACGGTCAGTCAGCCATAACTATGGGAACAATCAAACAAGCTTGGTTCTATCCCTATCCGGTATCATCATGGCACGAAAATAAGGGCAAGTAAAGACTGATTGGTGGAAAATACGTTATTACACCCCTCAGCAAATCCGCTCATTTTTATTTTGCGTGTAATAAAGAATCATACACCTAATACTTCGTCTTTTCTCAGGGGCACTCAGCTATTCTCTACCAACAATGCAGAAATAGCACAGTTTTAGCAAAAACTGATTTTTTATCCTTACCGAGTAAAACAAGTGGTGTGAACGGAAGCGAAGCAAAATGTTGGCTTAGAAGAAAGAATGCATTATCGTGGCTCTCCATTAACAGAACAGTTAATGACCTTGAGCCGTAGAAGTAACCACAACATGGGAATGCGATCAAGCCCTTACAACACCAAGGTTACATCTGGTGCCTGACATGATTGAAGGCTCATAACAGTTCTCAGAAGAATGCATACGTAGGAGCAACAGGCCGTTTTATCACTCAATCATTTATTTATATCCTCACATAGCAACGATATCCGAGAAAACTGCTTTTTTGGTTTGCTGGGACTGACCACGGCTGCTCTTTGTTTGATGAAGAGACCCGTGCAGCAACCTAGCACAGCAAAAAGGTATGCTGCAGCCGTAGAACGACCTCAGCACATAAGTCGTGATAGACTCTGTGCAAAGCATCATTACCAAATAATCACAGGCATCTTCCTCAGAGTAACAGTTGTTTCAATCGCTGTAAGCATCGCCATTTTACGCTTGGCTGCATCCATTAAAAAAATTAAATTTGTTCAGGTCGATGTCATAGCCTTGACCATTATAAGCGCACACCACGGTCTTGGCACACGTAAGATGAACATAGTTTGAAAAAAAGATCAGAAGCTCTTCAAGTTCCTTGTGCTTGTCCATCTCACCAGGTAGTAAACCAGAAGGACACCAATCGGAGAAATTCAAAATAAGTTCAACTAGACAAACCTTCGACAGGCTCTTTCCATTACTTCCATATTTTGATCTGCTCAAAGTGAGTGATAGCGACTCGAGCTGCATTGGTAAATTCTCTAGCAGCACCTCGATATTACCGATAGAACAACCGTTGATATGCAGGACTCTCAGCATAGGATGTCCTTTCAATTTCATACAGGCTCTCGCGCTTATGTTCATACTTTGATGTCCGCCATAACATCCGGTTCTACAGACCGCAGTTAAAGAGCTAATCTTTACGGGTAGACTCTCCAAAATAAAATTGAGATCACGCGAGTAGAACGAAATGTGCAGCTCACTCAGATTTAGAAAGCAACTCAGTGTTTCACAGCCAAACACAGCAACTCCGAAGCCTGTCACCTCTAACGATCTCAAGGTTCTTTGTACGGAAGTATTCTCCATAAAATGTCTAAAGAGCACATTTTGCCCATCATCTGAGACTCTCTTCCCCATATTATCGGGTGATTGAGTTACTTCGTGCTGGTCATTGCCGATTTCCATCCCATCTAAAGTTTCTTCTTGTTCTCCCAAGGGCGCTTCATCTGCACCAAGATTGGAATGATGCTCAGCATAATCCGGATCAGAGCAATGTATTACCAGCTCCTCAAGGCGTACCCCGAGCCGTAAGATTCTTTCTATCAGTTTCTCGTGTATACTGTGGTATGAGAGGCTCAAGTGCCTAAGCATCGATAGATCCTCCTCAAAATCAAGAATAAAATTGTCCTGGTCATTTAAAACGATGCTCAACCTTTCGAGAGACCTTGCTCCTGCCAGAACGAATTTGCCCGTACATGATTGCAAGCTCAATCGGCACGGATAATTTTGGCATTCAATGAACAGACAGTGGGTGCCTGTCCTAACATCCACAAGCTCTGTACAAGTAATTTGCAGATTCATTTCCGTGTCACAATCGAGTTCTAGTCCATCAATCACCACCAATGCCGATCCCTCTCCTTCATCAACGCTGTAATCGAAGCCAACATCCTGCGCAAAGGGTAACTCGGCAAGGTTCATAAATCCTAAAAAGTTAATTCGGCCTGTGCAGCCGTGAATCGATAAGCTGGTGAAGCCGCTGTTCAGTGTAAGCACTTCCTCTTCGTTTACTGTAACACAGTCCAAAACGATATCCGTAACATTGTGCTCAAGCTCAACACCATCTGCTATAGCACTGGTGATGCTTAATTTCACTTTGCTGTTCGCTTCATCGACCTCGTAAGAAAAACTGCCACCGAGTGATTGATCCAGGCAAACCGTGCCGCAGCATCCGTTTCCGCAGGGACTGATAGAACCGTTAACATCCACAAATTCTGCTAATTTCAGCTGCGTGTTCAGAACGATACACTGTCCGTCACATATTCTCGTGTTTTTGAGTCTCAGAACGCGCATGTTGGGCTCAAAGGAGAGGTTGTGGCTGATCATTGCGTTAGAAATGGTCAGCACGGTTAAATTGTTTGACAGATAGCATGTGCAGCCTTGCGATATGCTGGATGTAAACGATACTTCTACTTCGGGCAGAGTTGATGGGATAGCGCTGTAACAGCGCTCTCTGGGATGAAAATACCGCACAGAGAGCTTGTTGGTTAAACCTGTTAAGCAGTTGAATTGAGGCATAAAATCGATTGTGCCAAGGTTCAGGACAATTCTGACCACATTTCTGAGTTTTAGAAATTTTGAGTCTGCCACACCCGCCAGTCTTTGTTGCAGCACCGCTTTTGAATCTGCTTCACCGTCACAGCACTGTGATTGTTCCAAAAAATTAATTTGCACCTCCAATCGCGACACGTCCTCATCGTAATTAAATTTCTCAGCTAGCAGTCTGTCATTGGCAGCTAAGAATGCGCTGCTCATGAACAGAAAATTGATAAAAACACCGACCTGCAACTCATGCAGCAGCAGCCGCATTGATAGTGCCTTCTTGTTGTCATGATGTCCTGAGAAAGCGGTTTCGCTAAAAAATTCGCTGCTTGCTAGGTGAAAGCTTATGCCTGAGCGTATTACCGTTCCTAAGTGCAAAAGAGCCTGTGATAACGTGCAAGCCTGAGCACCACTCCCTCCGCATCTGTTCCTCTCTGCGTCGTATGCCAGTAACCGTTGGTACGAACTCGGGTTGCTCTGGAAATGGCTGCAGATCACAAATGCGATAACCTCGGGCTCATCCCAGCAGAATAGCAGGCACATCAAAGTATGGTACACTTCAATATCGGTTAGATCCACATCTAAATTTGCATGTGTCAGTTTTTGCAGCTTGGAGTACAGGGCACGTGTTACCGGCAGTTCTATCACTCTGTAATTTGCACGTCGGTCCATCCGCGCTATTTCCAAACTAACGCTCTCAGCATGTTTGTCCTCTCCGCTGCAACACACGGCACCTGTTCGCCTGTCACAGGCATGAAAAACGCCAAGTTCATCTCTCACGGCATCGTAATCGTATACACTCACCAAATGGTGCGCTGCTCCCGAATTCATAGCAATTGCTTCTAACCTGGTCTCCTTCAAATCTCTACATATCAAATGGTTACTTTCCTGCAACTCGCCAGAGCTACAAAACTTCAAAATGTATCCCATGATTATGTTCAATTCTTTTCTTGCACCAGCAAGCATGAGCTAAGAGTGCTTCCTCTTTTTTATACTTTTTGATTTACCATTTTAGTACCTTGTAGCTGAAATTGCGGCGTACCCGTGTCTCTGGTCAAGCATTGAGCACACGCGAAACACCCGCTGTGATGTGCTGCTGTATCTGTTCATGGGCATTTCAAGAGTTCATAAGACTGCTTTGTGGTGACATTGAAGAGCGAGCTATGCTGCGTACTTCTAGCCGGTAGTTTCTAAATTACCATGAAATATACCTCAATATACCCGAATGGCACGCTGCAACATAAAAATCGAGGAGCGTACAAATTCTGTTGATAAAATATTTTAAAATATTTGCAGCACTAACTGCGCTATTTCTGCTTGTGCAACAGAACAAAGTTAAATTACCTATTAAATAATATTTTACTTTTTTAATATGCTATACACATTTTTACCTATTTTGCTCTTTTCGCTGTGTGTAAAGAATTTTATTCTGCTGGTAATGTTCATCAATTGTGTTATGAGGAGCAGTTGAACGCATACGTTTCATTATTTGGTGAGTTGGACCTGCACGTGAATTGAAAGTAGTTCGGTACAGCATGTTATGTGGGCATGCTGGCAAGAGCTAAGAGATGAGAATGTGCACCGCACGCATTGATTTGCAAACGTGGAGATAACCGAGAAATTGCACTTTATGTTCGGACGGTCCCTGTTTTAGAAGAGCTATGATTTACCATATGCGTTCTGCAAAGCATTTCAGCACTTACGACTCGGAATAGTGGTGCAAGTGGAATATGCAGCTACCGCTGGTGACCGAACGGTGAATTGTGATCCGTTGCAGCACCCTTTTGCGATAAGCGTGCGTGTTCGTTTGGCATTGTGCCACAAAACTTGTTTTACCACAAAGAAGAAAATACCAGGCAGTCAAACATGCTCATCCTATTATAAACCACAGAAAAACGTTTTTTATTTCGGACTATCCGTTCTAACCGCTTCGCCAAATAAATCGGTGAACTGCCACACCGTAAATTACGTTGTGCTATGAATACCTGCCAAATTTTGTTGTGCATCATCTTGTTGTGGAACGTATTTCGATGTTTGCTCATGTCTTACGGATAAATCATGGGAACGGTTCAAGGGCGTGCATACGGTAATTCTGCGCATACCAACGGCGCGAACAACCAAACAGCTCAGCAACCCATGCCTTACACACACTAAATGCTATCGTAGTATGTTCTGTCCTCTGCGAACACCACATGCTCAGGTAAAACCGCGTGTAGAGCGTCTTTAAATCAGACAAGGGAACAAAAAGTAAATTAGGACGGGCTGGAGATGGCACAGCATAATTCGGGGGAACGAAGCGGAAATACACTTCGTGATCATGAAATACCAACGAAACAGGAGAACAGGGCACAAAACACCACTGAGGTGCTCTCGGAACACAAACAACTCTTTAATGGTGCCGAATCAGGACAAAACAAAAAACTGCGATTTGTTCTGCCCATGCAAGTGAAGGTGCCTGCTCTACACGAACTGCGCCTAGAAACAGGAAAGACGCCCGCCACGCTGCGGGTAGTAACCGGCAGCCTAGACATTCTCGGTCAGGAGCTTCTGACCGATCATCCGTACACATTTACAGGCACTCTCTTCTTCACAACATTTCGTGGGTGCGTGGTCGAACTAAACGATGACATAGCGCTGCAATACACGAGCATGTCAAACATAGAACGTGTATTTGACCTGGCATCAGCGCTTAGCGGCACGTACTACGTGGTGGGCCACGGCAGATGTACATTCATCCAAACACTGTGCAATCTTTGTGTGCGGATGGGCAAGAAGGTCCTGGTAAGCGAAATTGACCCTGCACAGGGCTTTCTTGTGTTTCCCGGTGTGATGGGCACCATGTTGGTTGAAAACCTGGTGTGCTACGATGATGACGTGCAGAACGAAAAGCTGTGCTACTTCTACGGTGACACGGAAATCAAAAACCGCGAATACTACGACATGCTGTGCAGCAAGGTGTTGGGGCACACGAAGGAGAACGACCTGCATTTGATAATCTTTCCGAACGAGTGTGTGGTGCAGGAAGAGGAGAGGAACGACAATTTCGTAGTGGTGGGCGATGAACGAATGTTCCACACCATAAAACCACGGAACAAAGAATTTGTGCCGTGCTATGGCTACGTAAAGAAAGCCAAAACGAATGCGCTCATATACAACTACTTCCATGGGAAGACGGGCAAGTACACGCCGTTCATACTGTCGGACAAGCTCAAGATCCTGTCGGTTGGTGAAAAGTTTGTGCCTCCTACGAGTGCGCTGCCGCTAGGAGCCCAGAGAAAAATGAACACGTGCGTTGCCACACCTGCAGGTGCTGAGCAGGACAGCATTGTTGCCATATCGTACGCAAAGAACGAGGAAGAGGCGGGTGTTCGCCCCGTGGCCGGATTTGTTCTGATTAGGAGCGTTCAGCCGCTCACGTTTCTCTGTGCACAGGCAACCGTGTCCAAAGACATGTTATATGTGCAGGGCAACATCAAGTACTCCGAATTTTAAACATTTTACATTAAATTCTCGTTTGTCTGCTGCCATGACCCCAAACAATAACTCAATTGTGTTTTAGGGCCGCTTACCGCGGTCTTAAATGTTTTTAAACCACGGTTTGTTGCATTTGAACAAGCACGCTTCCACCGAAGACACGTTTGCTTGTTCTACACACCTTTCTGATCCGCTAGGAGCAAATACCGGTAAACGCGATAAAGGAAAAGAAAACAAAAATTCGAGTGTGATGCTGAAAAGGCGTTAAACCACGAATTGAGTAATAAATGGAACTTATCATAAACACGGAGAATAAGCTGCCTAAAGTTGATGGCACCAGCAATGCTGACTGCGCGTTTATCATCCTGATGTTCGTGCAGTTCAACAAAGACGTGGTGATGTGAAACTGCTGTTTGCCCCTCCATGACAGGCAGAGGGTTGGCTTAAAGTGCAGTAATTTCTACGTTAAGTTTTTTGGTGCTGGTGAGAGCGGAGGATTTGCTTTTATTGGTGAGGCTTTCGTTAATTAACATGGACACGGTGGATGTTGTTCCCGACAGTGATAATTAAAACGGCCTGTCAAAGCATTTTACGCTGATAGTACCGCGCTTGAGGTGTAAACACCATAACTCGTGCGTACATTGGCACGCTATTACTTCTCTTCCCATTCCTTCACAAACCGGGAATACTCCGTTTAGTGATCCTGTGGTTTTCGAAATTTTGATGCACACGACTCACAATCAAATTTATTGCCATTCATCGGTTTGATTTAGCACGCCCACGTTGACGGGCAGGCGGTCCAGCGCATTAAATTGCGATTTGCTCACCCCCCGGCCTCATGGCAGAATTAATTTTTCTGGGCACCGGACCATCCTCTGGCATACCATCGCTCAAGTGCCGGCTATCGGGCTCGTGCAGAGTGTGCGACACGGTAAAACGCACAAATGTAAGTGTTATAGTCAACAAGAACGCTTCGTCCATCCTGATAGATTGCGGCAAGCATTTCTACACCCAGTACAACCAGTATCTGTCCATGTACAAAAACACAGCAATACCGGAGCTGGTAATTACGCATCCTCATGCCGATGCGATCGGTGGCATTGATACGTATTTGATGATGTGCACGGGAAAGAAAAACGTATATTCGTCCAAGTTCACGCTTGATTACATCAAAAAATCAAACGAGTACTACTTCGTAAAACCGGGTGATGCGGGTCACAGGGGGTATTTTCATCCCAATGTGCTGGGCGACAAGCAGATCAAAGAGATCTGTGGTATCAAAGTGCAGGCTTTTGAGGTTGATCATGGCGGAATAAAGTCGCTAGCGTTTCTTCTTGATGATAAAATACTTTACATTTCGGATACGAGCGATCTGCATCCGATTCCCGAAGAGTTTTATCACAGGGATGTGCTCATAATAGACTGCCTTACGATAGACAGGCACGTGCGGGGACATCTCAATCTGCAGGACGTAAAGAGGTACGCTGATCTTTTAAAGCCGAAGAAGGTAATTTTGACCGGTTTATCACATCACGTTGGGCAGGTTGAATCTTTGGAGGGATTTTGCATGGCGTACGACGGTATGAGAATCGAATTTAATTAAATGCGTTGCAGTACCTGATGAGACGGCACTGGTTTGAACTCATCAGCCTAAAAGGTAATTTATTTTGGCTAGTTGCTCAACACTTGGTACCAGTTTTGTGCACTACGTTCATTGAGGGGGTGGAACAGCAGCAGGACTTAGAAAGTAAGCTATGAAAAGAATTGTTTGGTTCAAATGCCTAGCTTTGCGATTTGCATCGTAGTTTGCAATTGCTTCCCGTCATTTACAAGCGGTGCGTACAACTAAATGTGTAGTTACTGCGAGAGAGTGGTTGGCAGATGGGTGTAGAGCTGAGATGGTGACCATCATTCTTTACTGGTGCAGCAACAACGATTTGTTCCTACCACTTTCTCACACTTCTTGTTTTCATGCAAATTTGCTATCACTCCGCTGCTGCGAACCGTTATGATCGCCTTGATTCGCGTCTTTTTGCTCGTAACACCGTGAACACTTTCAAATCTTGTTCAATTCGTAAAATATTTTACGCACAACCAGAGAAGGAAAGAACCAAACAGAATAGAAACGTGCCAATCAAGTAAATGCAAACCAAATGACTTTTCTTCCTATCTCAACCATATTATCTGTTCTTTATATCGAGTATGAAACTTCCGTAATAAGTTTTTGGTAAGTTCATAGTGGATCATTACATAATTGGCAGGACCAGGTCAGCAAATATCAGCAGTGATATGAAAGGGTAGATTAACATATTTTTGATGGAAAAGTACATATCAGCAATATTTGTGTAATTTAGCTGAGAATTGATCATTGGCAATTTTTAGTGCCTTTACGAGCACTCTTTTGCACCCTGTGCCTGTCCGTTTTGAGAAGCAGATCCAAAGCGGTAAATACCACGATACGAAAATGAACCTGCTCGCTCGCATACACGGTGTGTTCTTCTCATTTATCATTTAAAACACACCTTCTTGCATTGCTGTTGTTTTGTTTGCCAGGTTGTTTGCGGCCCATGTATTCTCAGCACGTGTGACATGGTAAATAGCCTTCAAAAACGATAATTTAATTATTTGTTAAGTAAATTCTGATTAATTAACTGATTTTTGGTGTCATTGCAGTTTATTCGGCTTAATTAAATTTGAGCAAAAAGTTGTTATAACGAGCTAAATTTGCATTTTACGCACTGTGTGAGCGTGGCTGTTGGTGACGTAGCAGCAAATTTACCTACAATTCCATTTAATGCTTTTTACGTGTTGCAACCTAAATCGCAGAAGTGGGGCACCCCTAAAAATGCTTCTGGACTGGAAACGGATCTACACCAGCGAGCAGAAAGACTCTAAACCATTTACTATGGTGTTCTACAAGAAGAAGGATGATAATTACACCGTTCTATCTGCCCACACAGACTCATCGTTCCTGACACTCATGAAGGCGGGTGGAAAGGATGATACCCGGATTGACGCTATCACAAAACGGATATACTGTGCTGTTGAGGCACCTACGTACGCTAACATCCGCAATGCTGCAGCTCTGGCGCTCAAGGAAATGAAGAAATACGAAGTGGAGAACGTAGAAATTGACTGTGAGGACATGGTGGAGGCGGCTGCTGATGGCATCCTGTTGGGCGGTTTTAAGTATGACTTTATGATAAAGAAGAAAAGCTGCACACCGCATATTACCAACGCTGATTCGATTAGGGCGCGTGCCCAGAACTTGGCCAGGTTCCTTTCGCTCACACCTGCAAATCTGATGACACCCACGCTGTTCACCGAATACGTCAGGGACGTGATTTCGCACTTCAACCTGGAAATCGGCACAGATATCTATGACAGGAAGGCAATCGAGGACATGAAGATGAATCTGTTTCTGTCCGTCTCAAGGGGTAGCAATGAGGAGCCCAAGCTGGTTGTGCTTACGTATCTGGGACGAAATTTGAATGATGCCGGTGACACAGGGTCGCTAAATACCGAAACAACCCTGAGACCGGCAAGCACCGAGTCGCTGCGCATTGATCTCGCGGGCGAGAACAAGAACGGCACAAAAACGATTGCTGATGACAGGAAATACGACGTGGTGATGGTTGGCAAGGGAATAACCTTTGATAGTGGCGGTATTTCGCTCAAGCCTTCGAAAGGAATGGAAGATATGAAGGCCGATATGATGGGCGGAGCTGTTGTGTTTGCCAGCATTGTGGCAGCAGCCCAGAAGAAAATGCGTGTCAATATCAAAGTGATCATTCCGTTATGTGAAAATTTGCCGAGCGGCCATGCCAACAAGCCCGGCGATGTTATTGTGGGTCGGAACGGAAAGAGCGTTGAGATCAACAACACCGATGCAGAGGGCCGGCTTATTCTTGCTGATGCGCTCAACTTGGCCGAAGAGTTCAATACCAAGACAATTTTGACCGCGTCGACACTGACCGGCGCGTGTGTGGTCGCGCTTGGAAACGAATATTACGGCATTTACACCGAGGATGACGAGCTCTGCGAGAGAATTAGGGTGGCAGGTCAGGCTGTTGAGGACAAGGGATGGCGGATGCCCTTGGATAAGAAGTACATGAAATGCATGGAATCGGATGTGGCCGACATGAAGAACTGTGGTTATAAGGCTGGCAGCTGCAGCGCAGCAATATTTTTGAAGGAATTTGTGACGATGAAGAGCTTTGTGCACCTGGATATTGCTGGAATGCTGGGCACCGACAATACCACCCTGTTTGCAGGCAACATTTCTGGCAGACCGTGTGCAATGCTAGTAGAGTTCCTGAAGGGACTGTCTGATTGATTAAAAGCTTCTGCTTAGTTTTCTGCACCGCTCTGTGATCGGAGTGTCGTAGCACACGTTAAAAATTTTCTAATTCTTGTTTCAGGCACAACATCGTATTTGTACGCCAGTGTTGGTGATAAAAGATGTTTTTGGGGTGCTAGGATGTAAAAATGTGCATTTGGTGGATAAAAGGCTTTGAAGAAAAGTCTCGTAAAATGATTGCCTGGTCATTTTTCATTTTCGTATCAAAAATTGGTACAGTTGTGCTAACACACCATGCTCTTCAAAACAGACTCGGTATAACGGCTCACCCTATCAATCGCTTCAGTTTTGGAGGCGATCCCAATTCTGCAGGGCAATTGATTGCAGAATGGAGGGAATAAATTTTACAAAGACGCCCGCTCGTTGGTAAGGACCAAAAAAAATGTTTGCGAGGTGTGAAGTATGAACGGTGACTGGTTCTGTTAAAATGGTTAATTACGCCTTGTTGCGAAATGATACGGTTGGTACGGCACGCTTACATTTCCAAGGAACGCCACGTCGTGTCACGTGCAGTTCTGTTTGCTTAGTTTTACGCACCAAGCGTATAAAACAAGTTTATCTGACCGATTTGCCACACCTCAATGTCCTGGTGGTCCTTTCTTGACTAAAGTACGTTTACTAATCTCCTCGTGCCAAGAAATGCTTGGCCAGTCACAGCAATGGAAATGTGGCCGTTTCTCAGGGCGCACTTTGCCAATGTCAAAATGAGGATTGTATTTCCACGAACACACAGAAAACGGGTAAAAAGTTTATTTCATGTTTGGAGTGCATATCTCATCTACACAGCTGCTGCCTGCCCAAAGGATTGATTAGGCATGTGTAGTACTGTGCAAACATTGCAGTAGTGCTTGTTGCATGTTCCCTACCACTTGGTCAGCCGGTACATTTTCCATCTCAACATGAAATATCCGGTTACTATGCAGAACGCTATCATAATAAACAAAGCAGCAAAGGACGTCCTGATCGAACAGAACCTGTTGACCAGCCCTCGTAGCATTTCGTCACTTGGATCCCCCTCAAAATGGTTCTTTATTACGATGTTGAACGCGTATCTCGTTGGTGAGATGTATTGCATCATCTTGTATGGCCCTATCAGACTGTCCGTGCTGACCATCAATCCGCTTATGGTAACGATGGGCGTGATGAAGGTCGGCAGCATTATCAGGGTGACCGAATGGTCCTTAAAGGCAGCGCCAAACAGCAGACCGACCGTGTGGCACAGGTAGCTCAGCGTTAGACCGGTGCAATGAAAGCACACAAGCTGTGTGTACGAGTATGAGAGATTTGCGAGCATGTATATCACGGTAAAGACAATAACAGGGTACAGGAAGACGAATGGCAGGTCGGCAAGCAGCTTCGACAGGTAATAGCACAGTATGCCGTACTTCTTGCTCCTTGTTTCTCGGTATGCAAGGTGCTCGTCCTTATAAAATGCACTCACACCACCGAACGAGCACGTAAACATCATGTTGATGACAAGAAAGTACAACAAGCCCGATGAGTTCTTCTCAGACACGAGTTGCTCAGTGCTGTTGATGTTTAAATAAATTGTTCCTATGATGATGCTCGTCACGGTGGCCTGCATCACCCGCGCAAAACATAGGAGCTGATTCCCGCTCAGCATCTTAAAATTACGTGCGGTCAGGATCAGGAACTCGTGCACAAAAGAACGCTGTTTGTAGGGCCTTTCGGGCCTGTGGCCCGTCTGTTTGCCATCTGTTGCACCGAAGGGGTGCTCGTCGCGGTTGGTGTCTGAGTATCGTGAGCTAACCGCCTCATTCTCTGCGCCGCCCATCTCCAACGAACTGTCTAAGACACGATTCGTGCCGTACACATACTCCGATTTCTTTGTGCAGCCCACTATCCTGTGCTTACGGCCCTTAACTATCCGGTAAAACGAACCGTCCTCAAAATGGCATGTGCTTAAGATGTCGGTGAAGAGGTAATCGGCCGGATTTACCATCTGGCCCATCTTGAAGAAGTTATCCTCGTGCCATTTCAAAATGTCTTCGGTGCAGATGTGCAACAGAATTCGCTTTTCGTGCAGCACGATGAGGTCGTCAAACATGAAAAACAGGTTGGAGGACGGCTGGTGGATTGTTAGAACCGCCGTTTTTCCGCGGTTCTTCAGCGATTTTATGACGGTGGATGCGTTCAATACGTCTAGGCCGGTAGTTGGTTCATCCAAAAACAGTATGTCTGGCTTTGCCACCAACTCGGCAATGATGCTGAGGCGCTTTCGCTGTCCGCCGCTTATCCCGTTATCGGTCTCTCCAATCAAGCAGTTCTTCCTGTTCAGCATACCAAACTCAGCGAGTAGGCTGTCTATGTTGCTGAGTGGTCTTCCGCTCAGCTTGCAGAGAAAGGTGAGATACTCGTTAACAGTGAAAAAGGAAGGCAAGACATCGGACTGGTAGACGAGTGCCGATACGTTTCTCATGTAGGTGTTGTCCACCAGTCTAAAGTCTTTCAGCGTATCGATGCCGTACATCGACGAAAAAACACCGTTACTTTTTAATGACTGCGATCTTCCGTCCTGCATATCTGGTGCGGATGGATCCTCATCAGCATAATCCTCGTCATCCATCTCAATAAACCGCGTATCTTTTATAGTATCACCTCTCATAAGGATTTCACCACTTATCTCATGTCCACTCAACACTTTCAGCAGGCTCGTCTTGCCTGCCCCAGATGATCCCATGATTGCCGTCAGCTTATGCTCCCTTACACCAAGATTAATGTTCTCCAGCACGACTGTTCCTCTCTTACTAACATTTATGTTTCTATAAAGGATTGAATACGTCATTTCGCGGTGTTTTTGGTCCTTTTGCACACCAGGGTGAAAAAATATGAAATGGGTCACCGCACTCAAAATCATGATTTTGCAATTCATGATTAACAATCCGTTTTCAAGTGATAACACGACAGCTTGTAGGTTTTTCGCATTTATACACGTTACGAGAGCAAAGAGTATTTTTCATTTACCGTATTAGTACATAAATTTAACTTTGTCAATTTTAATAAATGAAAAAGGAATGGTCTACTCGTTTCGCTTGTGTTGGATATTCGCTACGAATTCGCAGTTCAATTTATCAGTAGAAATGTATCACATGTACATTTACCGATAGATGAATGATTAAGTAGATTTACCGTGCGAATCGGTGTTACTACGTAAGTTGCACCGTATTTTTACCAAATACGTTCTGTAAATCACCGTTTGGTGATTTTAACAAATACAAAACCGTCAACGTACACGTTATTCCACGAATAATTACGTGTCATCAACATAGCATTGCGTGTTCATCATCGAAAACACTGCTGCACATCTGCGTTTGTGTTTATTATTTTTAATTTGTCAAAATTTTAAGCACCACGCTGATTGAACAAATTTTTGCAAAATTACGCAGAAAGGAAATAGAATTGCAATCTGCACCATAAATTCGGACAAAAAAGCTGGTGCAATTTAATTGTTACAAATGCGTTTATATATCACTTACATGCTGCACTATGTTTTGGTATTTATTATATCGTGTTACAGTCGCTAGAATATTTTTGTGTGCAGATTACTCCTTTAATACCGCCAAGCTTGTGCATGTTAGCAATTACTGGAACGTACTACGTGTTGTATTAGCAGATAATTTGGTTATTACTGTTTATAAAGCGTACTACGTACGAAAACGGAGCAAAGAGTTGTGCCCGTGACTGAGAAAAGCATAGTAACGTATTCTTATCATGTGCTGTTGCTTTATTGTGATAAAAAGGAAAATATGGCATTATAATGCCTACAATACCCAACAGATCGTATTCACTCATCTCAATATTTTTTGTACAGTTTATTTCCGCTGCTAAATATTGAACGGTATTTTCACGAAAATGTGTCTTTTTGCACCGTAGAGATACACGCTTAGTACTGACAGGTAAATTTTAATCAAATATTGCTGATTTCAATAACTCTTCGTAAGACACGTGAGGTGCAACTGAATTAGTTGGTAAATTTGGTATTTATCCTCTCTTCAATATACTTCACTTTCTGTTACAGAACGGTGTTGAAGTGCTCCGTGCTTTTTCGTTCTTCACAAAAAGCTTGTTTGTTTATTTGCACCCGTATCATTTTACTGCTATTTCTTACCAGCTAAGAACACAATACATAGCATTATGCAATATTATGAAATATAGCACCGTATTTTTACGGTTTATTAATGTTCCTTCCTTAATGGATAGCACTTTGACATTTATGTCAAATTTCTTCCATAAAAGAAATTGAAAGAACTTCAAGTCTTGATAAGAACCGAGAATTTATCATAACGAACAGCAAGAATTGTCAAACGCCATTTGACGTAGAACATTTCATTACTGTCATGGAAAGATATATTTTTGATCAGCATAGGATGTTTTTGGAAATAATCAAAAAATAATTATTTGCTGTCATGAGCATGTGCGTAATTGCTTATTAAATTTATCGGGCACACTTCGGTACTCATGATCATTACAGAATACGGCTGTAATTATTACCATGAGCGGGAGACCGCACAAAATTGCTACCAATGAAGTAACTAAATTCAGATATTTAAATAGTTTGGGATAGATTTAGATGTAACAAATTAGAATACTGGAAAGCATCCTTGGCGGTATATTGCAGAGGTTTTGGAACTCTTGCTACGAAGAAATGAGTCGCTGCTTTTTCATCAGAAATACATTTACTTGCCATGATAATCAAATGAGAATTAATTCGTTAACCGTGCTGAAAGGTCTAAAATCGATGAAAAAACGCATTATAAGATATTACAATAAAAGTATCATTTAATAGGTAATCATATTTTCTTTCGTTTTGTAAACGGAAATAGCGCAGGTATCAAAAATGGCTATCACACATGTGAATATGAATCATTGCGTTTTAAATTCATTTCTAAGGTTACTTGAGAAGGATATGTCGGTCAGTTTAACTTGTTTAATGATTCAATCGAAAGGTACGGCAATCAGCCAACAAAATTTAATTTTTCTTCCTACTCATCAGTATTTCATCCTCCGAGATTTCAATTCCTTGGTATTCCAAATCAAGCTCATGGTTTAACCACGGTGTTCGATCGGTTGTACAGCCCATCATCGCAGTCATTTTCTTAACCACCCGTAAAGCGAAAAGCACCGAGATCCATACAAATACGATTAACAATAGAACGACCGTTAGCATGAAGTACTGTTCGTGTTGTATATTGTCTTGGATTGTTATGTTGTTCTGATCGTTAGTGCTTATTTCCTCTTCTGAGATGTCTCCGCAGTTGTTTGATACGCATCGCAATGCTGGCATGGTCGAAAACACTTTCTTGTGCTTTGAATGCACATTGTTACCTTAAATGGTCAAAATATGCCGTTGGCCTAAATTGAAAAATAAAGGAATGCTCTACCGTAGAAATGTCAGAATTGCCGTAACGTTGGTCAAAATATATTTGTATAGGTCTTAAGAAACAAAGCATTGTATCTTAAACCGTAGTGGTCTCGTCGAATGTTTAAATGCGGTGTAAAATTATCCTTTTTAATAAAACAGGTCGTGCTATATCCATAAAATGGCATGAACATGGATAAATAAAACTATTTCTGTATGCTGATTCCATTTCAATCCTGCTTAGTTTTTGTTTTAGATATTTTAATCCGAATAGGGCAGTTCTCATTTTAATGACACTTCCAACGCTCACGCACGTACTTATGCATCTACCGTGCTGAACAATTTCATGTGGTTAAAAGTGCGTGTTTAAATGTAAAGGATTTAAAATGGTTGGGAGTTAGCCGTACTGGTACTGAGAGTGGGTAGCACGTGAAGCGAGTAAAAAACTTTTATACAAAAATGGAAGAAAGTATGCTACAGAACATCATGACAGTGCTATGCAGTAATAATCGCTTGGCAGAATAATACGATGTAGCGGATTTACAAGACTTGAATATGGTTCCTACACTTCTAAGACCGATCTTTATGAGGTTGTTCGATTACAACATGTTGTGGACAAAGTTCCGTTTTCAAATCGATACTCGCCTAAGAATTCTTTTTCAGGATGTAAAGGTTTTTGTTCTTCCTGATACCCTTAGTACCCGAAATTGAAAGCAAATTTGATCCGTGAACCAAAGGCTGATGGCCATGATCGGTCTCAGTGGACCTGAAAAGTATATTTAATTTGATGTATGAGAAGAGAAATGAACATACTTACGTAGCAAGGAGCAAATGCGGTATTTATTTTATGATGCCGTACATCCGCGCACCCCCCTTCCATTTTTATTTATCATTTTGATCATAACAACACTGTTCAGAGCCCCCATGCTTCCGTACCTCAACATCAATGTTCGACGCATTCTTGAGGAGCGCACCGTAGGGTTCAACAAACCATCGTTTAATTTGTTTCCCTTGTACATTCTTCTCAGCGTATCGTGCATTGGCCTGTCCATCGTCCTAGGTTACTTGCACATGACCACCTTTCAGGCCGTGCTGCCCTCATCGGGCACGATATCAGTTCCCAGAAAAATGACGCTCAATTTCTATGTCAAATTCCATAACTTCACACAGAACCACATCTTGTATGCTCGCAGTATCAGTAAGGACCAACTCTATGGAAAGAAATGGACTGATCTTGATCGATGCAAACCGATTATCAGAGACGAGGGACAGATCGTGTATCCATGCGGACTTATCAGTGACACGCTGCCCTTTGACACCGTGGTGTTGGTGGGCAGCGAAGGACGCATAGAGCCATCTACGAAGGGAATTGCGAAGGGTGCGCACAAGAAGAGAATTAAGGCACTGTCAACCGATGTGGCGGTGACCAAGCCGCCCAGCTGGCCCAATAGAACGGGCACGCTTGCTACTGAACAAAGCGATGACCAGGTTGTCGATCTCAGCGAAAACGAACGATTTGTGAATTGGATACAAATTGCGGCATTTTCGCGCTTCAAAAAGCTTTTCGGGCGTTTCCATGATCTTGAAAAGGGCGATTACGATGTGATTGTGGAGAACAAAGGTGATTTGGGGAGACGTAGCGTGCTGCTGAGAGAAAAGCGGTTGATTGATGTTGATTCGTATTGGCTGCCCGTTTATTTGATGGTTGGTGGCATTTTTATACTTTTTCCCATCTTATTGAAATAGGCCGCATACCGATAACGCAGAGTTGGCCGTGTATTGTGCCGTTTGAACCGGCACGTCGTTCTGCGAGTGTTAAATAAAGCATTCCCTCCAAACCACGACAAATTCGCTCAAACGCATGTTCTGCATGCATTTGAGACAGTAACCGGTGTTTACACGGTTGTAGTACCGCAGCATTTCGAGGCACACGTTTTAGTGGTGCCATTAATTGCGACAAAACAAGACAAATTGTGCTTATGAGCATGCAACGAACTGCGTTAGTTGCAAATTGCCAGGATGATGCGTAGAACAGCTTAGCAAAAATTGATCGAGTCTAATTTTAATTTTTATGGCTATCAAAACACACAAATCATTACCTGCGCCTCAGAACGCTCTGAAACGTTCCGTACCACCACACCAATCATCCACGCTTTTACTCTTCAAATTCTTTTTTTAGCTTGTCATTTAAACAATTCATCGGTTGCAACGGGCTGGTGCATCCTTCAACGGTATGGTGAAAGAATATGTGCTGTTCGCTGGTAGCGAGGAGGACCTTTCCGCTGTTCGATGCAAATAACAAGACAGCTTGGAAGTTGATTAGGCAGCTAGGGAATATTAAAATTTATGTTTTACGCCTTTGCATAAAACATAGGGCCAAAATTATTTTACGTCGCATTTTTTTAAAGCGCACCCGGCTGTTCTTTACGAACAACATTATAAGGACATGGTTAACGGATCGGAACAGTTCCTTGCCCCTTTGCAGAACGGTTGGTAACAAGCGGAAAAACATGGCGTATTAGAGGAAGGAAACATCATTCAACAGACAAAAAACTGGTTTTGTTTTATAAAAAGTGGTTTTTACTAGAAGTACGTTTATTTCTGTTTTTTACCCGCATCAACCAAAAACACATTTTTTGTCCCCAGGCAACAGCCTTTGATCCGTAATTGGAAATATCCCTTCCATGACGAGAACGAGCGGTACCACCACAATTAAATATTTAAGTTTTTATTCGGTGCATGCTTCTCATGAAAGCATTTTTTGTGTCCTTTTCCGTACTATGCCGGTATGCACGCGCATTCTCCAACTCGTTGGAGTATGCCAGTCGAGCAAGTTCAAGTTTAGTTCCTCGACCGAAACCGTTCCATCCATGCTCGTTCAAGGTACCAAATCCTGTTCATTTCCCGTCCTAGAGATGACAGTGATAGCCGTAACACAAAAACAACCCATAGATACAAACATTGCTACACAGCGCTCTTTAATAAGCCACACATAACAAACCACTCATCGCAGTATTCTCAGCGCCATCCCTACGTCCTGGCAATCGACTGCCAACTTCACATCCTTCTCATCAGCCACCAGTTCCATCAACATCCCCCCAAAACTAACACTAACGGTCCTCAGACCATCCACCACTTCATTATTGTAGCAATGCCCCTGCAAAACATACTCATAGCACTCAGGCACCTCCTTGTCAACCAGAATGCCATCATAAATCACAATTTCTATCTTGTCGTTAACCTTTGGCTTGAAGAGCAACGAGTGATAGTCTATCGTGATTTTGTACAGCTGGTCGGTAAGGTACAGCTTGGAAAGGTGGTTGAACACTTTTTTGTGCTTGTCTATCGATTCTACGGTGTAAACATGTTTGTAGACCTCCATGGAGGGGGTTGGCAAAGAAAATGGTTTTGATTGTGGCTGGTGCGGACGTGGCAAAAGGATTTAAGGCTCTGAACACGGCAAAAGGATTTAAGGCTCTGAACACGGCAAAGAGATTTAAGGCTCTGAACACGGCAAAGGGATTTTAGGCTCTGAACACGGCAAAAGGATTTTAGGCTCTGAACACGGCAAAGATGGTACACGAGAACAGTGACCATTCACAACTGTGCTACCGGTGCGGTGCTGTTCCACAGGACTTTTAGCGCATCCTCGTGCCAAAGGCGTACCGTACTCGAAGCAATTGATGCACCTCAGGAAATACATCGGTACGGCTCAACGATGCAGTCTAGCAATTCGATGGAGTTAAATTTACGTGTTACATCGGTTACGCCTCACGATACTGTGCCATTGAGCAACTTAAGAATGTTCAAATGACTGTGAACCGGGCATTGGTGCGACTGTCAGTTCCAGCAGATCGGAAATGTGTGCTGTTCAGCTGTTGCTGCAGAAAAGGCAAACAAACGCGCTTTTAACGAAAATATGATTGAATGCCGGGCTGAGGAGCTGCAATTTTGCTAAAAGTGCGTTTTCTTACCTTTTCTGTGGTAAAGATGCGTTCATTTCCAGATGAAGGATCAAAAGCTGAGCAGACAAACGTATTTTTACCAAAAAAAGAAAAAAATTATGGTGCTGAACTGAAGGTTCGTACGGCGTACTGTATTTGGTGCTGATACCCGTTGCACACCGTGATGTATTCCTTGGCAGTTCAAGAACAAAACAAATTTGATGAAAAAATATTTTGTAATGCTCCACTTGAAGTGCTGTAAGATTATCGTGCGCATGGCTGTAGGAGAGCGAGTGTACCGCATGGAAATTGCATCGGTAAGCACTGAACCGTGTTAAAACGTGCCCTGCACGTCATTCCTTGACGGTAAAAGGTGCCAACTCACAGCGCGCTGCCATGTTATCATCCCGTTGTGAACGAGCGGTTGAACTGGGCTATCAGCCCATTCTAAAACAGAATGTTTTACACACGGTTAAATTATCATACATGAGCACGATCATGCTTTTGTTCATCGGTTGTCTCCGTTGTGCCGAATATCTTTTCCCACTTTCCAGCAAATTCAACGAATACGTGGTGATGAACCCAAACGAAGCGCTCAGCCTGCTCAACTACAGCACCGTAATACCATCGTGGAATCCGAACGCACAGTTTGCATACTTTGCCGATCAGCACTTGCTGCTAATTGGCAGATCAAGCGTTGGCGACGGGACGTACAGAGGACCAATCTACAAGGGCAACGGCTGCTGGGAGATCGTTGACGTCGCACCAAGGCAGATAATGCTCAAGAACGGACCATGGTGCTTGGGCGTAAGGAAAGAAATGCTCCTCGTTAATGAGCGGGCCCTTGTGCTAGGAACGTGTAGCGGTGATGACGAACAAATATTCTACGTGCATGATGGCAGGTTCTTGCCAAGGCCATCAAGAGCGGTGACTGCCGCTGTGTTGGGACCGCAATTTTGAACGAGGACGTGTTAAATAAAAAGGCTTTGTGTGAGGTAACTGTGATTTTGAATGTGAGCAGAGTTGCGCGGTGAATAAGAATTTGATTGGTGTGTAAATTGCAAGAACGTGTATTTGTGAGTCTGCGCTGTTGTTTCTAGTCAAAGGGCTCAGTCTGTCCGAATACTGGCCGCTGTAACCTTCGAAGCGAGTAATACTGAAGGATCGGTCTTTTCACGGGGCTGCTCCTCGTGATATACCGAGAATAAAATTTGTGTTACAGATCAAGTAGTGATGGCAAAGTATTTCGTGGATAAAGCGACGTAACAACGATCAAATTTATTTCATGGGTCAACGAGCGGTGCTGCTGCAACAGCTCCCATGCCAACTCTGAGTTCGTGGAATAACGCGGTTTAATCAGCAGCTTCATGCCAACTCTGAGTTCGTGGAATAACGCGGTTTAATCAGCAGCTTCATGCCAACTCTGAGTTCGTGGAATAACGCGGTTTAATCAGCAGCTCCCATGCCATCGTTCAAAACATCGCTGTAGTTTACGATCCTGTCGCACAGAATGACATAATCCACGATATTACGCTCCCTAAAAAACATATTGATGGCCCTGTACTCGTTGAAAGTGATATCATCAACGTAGATTACGTACGGCTTAGACACCTTGAGACTGTCAACCGTGCACAGACTGCCATCTATCTTGTTCTTCATTATCTTTCCCAACAACCTCGTGATGACCGGCTCATACGCCAGCTTGATATCAACGTGCTCACGGAACGTGGGTATGGGCGCATTCGTGTGCTTCTTAACAAATTGCTGGATCTTCACGTACTTCTCAAACACGGGCCTGCTCCTCTTGTGGGGGTTTCTCAGGAGATAAATCATCACCAGCTTCTCCTTCTGTTCTCTCGTCAACTTATCGTTGCTGAGCACCTTCTCGATCTGCTTGGTGTTCATTTTGTTCTCTTTGATTATTTTCATCTCAACTTCGCTCATCTCCTTGTTATCAACGCAATGTTTTACGATGTAGTTGTGCAGCTTGAGGTGCTTTTCGAGGCTGTCTTTGGTCTTTGTGGCTGTGCTCAGTGCTGACAGATCGACAGGCACTTTTTCGGTTGATTTTATAAACTCCTTCAAATTGGCGCTGACCGCGTTGATGTCCAGAAACTTGTTCACCTCGAAGAACGCATCGCTAAGCACGTATGTCTTGTCTAAGGTCACGATGCCGTTGCTTGACTTAAGGTACTCGTATATCATCGGCTGGTACCGCCACTCGTGCACCAGGGGCGTGTAAGGATCGAAAGAACGGTTCAGCATGATCAGCGTTCCCTTGTTTGCAAATTTGGATGCGTGTATCATCATCTGAGTCACGAGCTCCTTCATTCCCGCGTTCGTTATCATTTTGGGACATATTCCGAGGGTGCTCAGCACCGACATAATACCGTCCATTCGATTGCCGCTCCCCACCCTGTACAGCATGTCATCGAGTTTTACCACGCCAATGTTCATTTCATACGTTTCGCTCACCACCGCGTGCGTATCGCTGCGGGCCATAATCTCCAGCACGTCATCATCAACCTTACCAGTGAAGAAAATGATGTACCGGCCGTACTTCGGCTCCTTCAATTCGCATACGATCTGGTAAATGCTCGTGGGCTGCGCAAAAATCACACAGGTCAGGCCGTGCATGCGGCAGCGCGTGTCTGTGAGCATCTGAAATAAAAAAAAGTCGTTTTTCAGGAAGTTTGTGTGCGAAACGTGCGATGATAGTATGGGCTTGGTGTAGCTGTCGAACAGCGCTATTTTTGTGCCTGTGCCCTTGGAGAGGATGTTCTTCAGTTTGGGTGCGAATATGTCGTGCATGCCTGTGTGCACTGTTTGCGATGTGTTTATGTACACGGAGTGTTTTGGATTTGTTTTGGATGGTGATCAGTGATTCGGCAACGGGGCGTATACGGCTGTGAGCAGCCTAATTGCAGGACGGCACAGCATGGTCTGTTTTGGATGTTACTCCTGCATGTAAATGGATTGTATGCACCAGGCTGAGTGATTACCCGCCTGATACGCAGATAGCAAGGATTTGTACAGTTCTCTGTGCTTGATCGCAGAAATAAAACGGCCACTTCTTTTGTGGTAATTTTGGTGACATGCACCGGTATCACAGGCCAACGATCGCAATCACTTCCTGTGATACTTCCCTTGCTTTGCTCCCTGCTGTTAGTGAGGTGTAACTGAAGCAGCAAGCAAATTTGTAATTGTTTAGGTGTCATCATACGAGGAAATAAATGTATTTTGGCAAAAAGAGTAAATCCATAGTTTATTTGCTGCTCCCCTTCCTGAAATGAAGAAAATTCAATTTAAAAGGCACCGACCAAAGCATCTACCTATCATTGTTGCAACGCTCAGAGCATCTTCCCTTCCACCCAGCATAAACAGTAAAAATAATAAATCTGGCTCATTCAGAGTGTACCGTAGCTACTTGCCTTTATTTCATGGTCACCGCTTCCAATAACAAATTTACTTGATTGCTCATAAAGAGCAAATATTTTACCCTTCGAATGGACGCAATCATTGCTCATTACAATAAAACGCCTATAAATTGCAATGTTTACGGCCTTGTAAACCTAAAAGTGGCATGCAACGATCTGCTCGTGGAATATCTCAAAAAAGAGAAGGGCTACCAGCAGAGACAGACGTACACCGACATGAAAATAGCGGTTGGTCTGATATCCGTGGTGTGTGCGATACTGACGTGTTACATGTCCTTGCACTACGACTTTGCCGATTACAGGAAGGCGCTCGTCGTGGTCCTTGCCATTTACTTCTCCCTGAATTTCATGCTGGAGATTTGTTTGCGGTTTTTTGCGCGTAATACCGTGTTTGAGGGATACAACAGGGAGGGATCGATACGTATTGATGGGTTTAATAAGGCTGTTGACACCAACTACAAGCTCATAATTTACAAGAATGGAAAGGCCATTCCTGGTAATTTCAGCAAAAGCATTTACGATCTTTATGACGAGTCGGGGGTGTTGGATCACGAAACGTTTTTGAGAGAAGTTGCGCAGGTGTTTGCTTAGTTAAAAGTGTTTAGTAAACTGCATTGAGTTCTTGTCCGTGTGGCGCTCTACCACAACATTGCTTGGTAGGTCATCATCACTGCTTAGCAGTGATAAACACGTTTTATTTCATACGGCATCGTACAATTGCAGTAAACTAGCGATTAGTGGTTTACTCGCCACTTCACCCGCACCACACATCAGCAAATTGTTAAAGATCCTTCTTGAGAACTCATCCAATCCGTTTTGATAGCCTGTCGCTCTTTGCTCTGTGGAATGCACGAACATGACGGGCCAAGAGAGAACGGACACAACACCCCATACAATTAACGGTCGTGCACAGGTCGGAACAAACCGTTGTTTATCTTTTTAAGAACGCTGCTCTGTTTAACGTGCCATGTCCTATGCGCCTCGTGACCTGCCCCTTCGTTTGCATCTTTCCCACCGCAGGCACACGTAATTCCCTGCTCACCAAAAGCACGTTCATTTGATTTTGCACCACTTCGCACGCGCATACTTTTCGGTCCATTGATTTAGTTCATGGAGCGGATGAGCCTTGCACCGTGTTGCTGCATCCGTTTCTGCCGTTCACCTCAAGGATCAGCACAGAAATGTCATCGCTAATCTTCATGTCCTACCACAGGGAACGACAGTTTCTAATAAATTACTGAACGATCCTCTGCACACCTTTCAATTCAGTTGAACGATGCGCGTCAGCACTCGTATTTTGCTTAATTTTTTGGGCCGAAGCGTATTTAACGGAATAAACAGTTCCTCAGACATAACACGGACGCGATGCGCGTCAGCACTCGTATTTTGCTTAATTTTTTGGGCCAAAGCGTATTTAACGGAATAAACAGTTCCTCAGACATAACACGGACGCGTGCTGATGGTGATCGACTACTCCTGTTTCCTACGTCACCGAGTAATCGGCAATCTTCCCTTTATTTAGAAAAACGCCGGCACGGCACCCTGATGAGCACATCCCTTAGCGCGTACTTCCAAGAGGCAAAGAACGAAATTTACAGTGCCAATCGCATCCGAAAGGCGCTTACTCACACGTATGAATGGATAAACGGTCATGTATTCAGGAACTTTGAGTCAAAATTCTTTCGATTCGTCGGGACAGGCTGCTTTTACATCTACAACACGTTCATCTACCTGGTCGTGCCGGTGTACTACATATATCGGACAGAATGTTCGGACAAAGAACCTTCGCTCCTTTCTGCCAGGCAGGTAAATTAAATTTAATTATAGCGATTCGAGTATTTTATCATCGATTGCGCATCCTTGAGCAGCGCATTTATCGAGGTATTGCACTGCTGCCACCATCTTGGCGTAACCTACCGCTTCATTTTTTCGCAGCTGTATGAAGACGTAGCCGTTAGCTCCAACCACAAATCTTAACTGCTCGTTCTCCACGAAGCTGCTCCGATAACTACCGACAGCACACAGCGGCACAATTTTAAGAACCCCGTTCGTTAACTTACCGTACCGCTCGTTGCGCGTGCTGAGCACGGCCGATCCCACGTTAACCTTCTGTATCTCAGCCACCAAAACATCATCCACATCAAAGAAACTGTGCATGAGCATCTCATCCTGCTCCAGCTTTCTCCTCTGCGCATTGTCTGGCAGTGCTATCGTTGTCAAATTCAGTATGCACTCGAGCTGAGCATTAGCCTCTATCTTCCACCTCTTCACCGACAGCATGGCCACACGCCCAACGATTATGTCGCCGGCCAGTGGAATGTACCGGTACCTGGTGCACGGCTCAATCATTACCAGTTTGTTGATGCGTGTCAGCGTGCCCAGCACCGATGAGTGTATTGATGTGTTGTGGGGATACGTGTTGTGGCTGTAGATGCTATCCTCGATGTCGCACACTTTTTCGCCGGGGATGAACATATTTGGAACGGCCGAATAATTTTTCAAAATATGATGGCCGTATCTGCGTACTGGAAACATGGGCTGGATTGTGCGGGTGGTACCTTCCGTTTCACGTGACCAGGACTGATGACCATGATCTATCCGAGTGTACCCAAAAACGTATTTTTCGTGGAATGAACAGGTAATGCTGAGGCAGGTTCATTGAAAACTCTGCAACAATGAAATATCAAAACAGAACCTGAAAAGACAGAAGAGTGAACGGCAAGAACACAGCTAAATATATTTAAAGCGGTGATGCGTGTTTCCATGCGGAAGGGCGGTTAGTGCTAGAATTCCCTTGGTGCGTGTCACGTGATGGTTAAGAACAAATTTTTTGGTATTGTAACGAGGAGAGCAACAAACATAAATCTAGTGAAAAACAGCTATTAGGTCCTTGTGTTGAGCGTTTAGCAGGTATTGCGTAGATCAACCTGTTTAAAACGAAACAACCGCGGTGTATGAATAGCTTTGATTCGGTTTGATCTATGAGATGGCCATTAAACTGATCCTATAAAGAATCACAAACATTGTTATGCCTGTCTGGCCATGTTGATTAGTGCGTACTTACGGCTCACAAAACGTTTCATCGTAGCAGATGCTTTACACGATAGTTCGGCACCATTATGTTTTTGACACTTGGCTTGTCTTGCAATAAAATATTTGATCAGCGAGGTGCCTCGTTGAAAGTCTTAACCACCGAAATGTGATTGTAAAGCGATAATTAGGCAAAATTTTAACAAGACACTTTCAAATTCGTCTTTTTGACCAAAAACACGTTTACCTCTCTTCGTATACCACAACACCTAAATAACATACTTTTTGCTCTGCCAGGACCGACGCTGGCATGAGCCTTTGGTTCTTGAAGGACCTAGTGATTCACACAAAAAGAAGCAGAACTGTGCCGTTCTGTCACCGCAGGAGAAGAGCACTTTTCGCTACGGTGCCATGTTCCTTTCGTATATCATAGAGCCAGGAGAACACACAGCTTATGTTTATCATGCAAATGGCAGACTCTGCACTACGAGGGCCTGCGCACATTCGATTGCTCGATATGCATGGCGTCTATCGATGTGACTGTGGGGTATTTTACAGCATCATTGCACCGTTCAGCACTCCTTACTGACCAGAGTGATGTAAATGTGCAATAAACACACGAAAACAGCATTCTTTGACATTCTCATTGAGGAAATTCTGATTTTTTATTGGCAATGACGAATGACAGCCACACGTTGCGGTGTATTGAAACATTTGCAGGTATAAAGGAGATACTCAGCATTTTAGCAGTTTTACTCCCGCTACATGAGCAGTGGTGGTTAAAAACAGTCAGTTCGATTAATTTGTGCTCCGACTAGAATGTTTTATATCGTAAAACAGCGCTGATGTTACGGTTGTAATACATCCCCGATCCAAATACATTTAACGCTGTTCGCAATGTTTTATCGGGCAAACGTACTTTCTACCTAAAGTTAGTGCTGTAAATCGGGCAGGCACCCAGGCATATTATCCAATTATGCTCAGAGACCAGTATTAATAGCAATAAATTGACTTTCTGCGCCAGTTGCACCACACCATCTCGTCATTCAGGGCTGTGACCGGCACCGGCAAGAAAATCGTGCTCATCCGGCAGGTGCTACGGGAATGCACGAGCTGTCTGCCGCCCTACAACTCACACAAAAACGAGTGATGAAATCAAAACACTACAACTAAAGATAACACAAGGCATCAATCGTATCACATTAGCACGGTTTACACCGATCACCCGCAGCGCACCCAATAAATTCAATCGCTCTCCCACAAACACATTGTTTCACTTGCGCTTATTATAAAAAAGTGCAGCTTTGGTTCCCGAAATGGATGCGTTGAACAAGAAATTCGGTGTTCCGGATGACTACGTCTTTATAATCGACATACGTTCGGTAAACAATACCATAATAAACGAGAGTGTGCAGGACATGAGACGTGCACTCATTGAAAATGCAAGCGTGGTGTGTGATCGGTCCACAGACAGTGCCCGGATGATGATTAGCAACATATCCCGGACTATCAGGAGCAACTTTTTTTTTTATCTCAGCAAGGGAATCCGTGTGTTCCTTGATGTTGAAGTGCCGGTCTGTCTTTTCAATTATAAGAAGCGGCTCATGGATGAGATCAAAAGGATCTCGGAAGAGACTAACGTGCTAGTGTTTTTGCAGATAGGCAATGATGAGAGTAGAAATGAGGAGTGCAGCGGTACAGCGACGGGACAAGCAGGCATCACTGAGGAGCTCTATGGTAGTTTAGAGTCGCTGAAGTTCGAGACGGATGATGTAAAGCCCTACGGTGACGAGGCCCCGTACATCTACGAGAAAAACTGCGAGAAAACGAACATTAAACGCTTCAGCGAATCACCGAACTGTTACTGCTTCAGGGCCTATGATACCGAAGCATACGAGAAAGATGCTTGTGAGTGCGAGCGCTATGGTCGGAACGATCCCAGATCAGAAAGCTTTCCAAACTACGACTACAACGAAGATCTTCTGTGCTCCTCGCCCCTTTCGAATAACGAATCTTTGTTCTCTGATTCATCAGGCCATGTCGAGGACGACCATGGCGACAACATGCATAGATACAAGAGGGGCACGTACGATCAGCGGAGCGCTTCCATGGAAAAAGGCGCGGTTACGAACAGCACGGATTGTGAGAAATCCGCTGGCAACAACTTAGAATCGAACATCACCGACACGGGTATCGAACCAGGATGCAGCGACGTGCACAGCAGAAACACTGAACCGGAAAGAGAACAGGGCACCAAGGACTCAGGAGCTGACGTGTGCCCAACAAACAGTTCATCGGGCGCGAGCAGCTTGCAGGCAGAAAGCGAGATAACCATCCAGATTAACGGTCGATGGAAGGAGAGCGCGATTGCGCGTCTCAAGATTCTCAAATTTATCGAAAATTGCTTCGGCAACGACCTAAAATTCATAAACTGTGAGCGCACGTATTTCAATTTAGAGAACAAACGGCGCTACTACTATGGAACCAAAATAAATTACAAGCTAGCTATCACACAGAACACGTGCGATAAGGAAATTATATCACGGAGGAACTTTGACGACGTGTATTTCTTCGAAATTGATACTGTCAAGCTGTTCTATCTGTTTTATTACCATAAAAAGCAAATAGAGGATGTGCTGTGTTCATACCACTCATTTTTTGAAACTTCTAAGATCAACAACACGTCTACCACGGTAAAACTGACCGGAAAAAACCACAAAATTGTGCAAAAGGCAATTATGGGAATGACCGAGGATATCTTCAAGGTTTTGGTCTCTGAAGTACCGTATCCTATACCCGATACATTCATTTTCAAAACACATGAGCGCTCCATGATTGTCGGCAAGAAGCCTAACATCATCGAATTGCTCAAGTACAGGGACGTGTACTGCCACGTTCAGATTGAACTGAGCAAGGAGCTCGAAGAGTTTCTCTGCGGAAAGAAAAACGGAAAGATCAACCGCATAATCAAAGATACGGGCACCAAAATTAGTATAACGGTGAACAATGTGATGACGATCTACATATCGGGGCAGAGTGCAAATGTCTCGGTGGCAATTCACGCCGTGGAGAACGAATTTCCCGAGGAGCTGGCATTCCATCTGAGCGAACGGCACCACAAGCGGATAATAGGCTTCGGAGGAAAGAACATTCAGCGCATCATGAAGAAACATGGCGTGTACATCAAATTCATGAGCGAATATGAGCGGAGACAGAACAATTACAGCGGTAATGTCGTTGTAAAGACACCAAGAAAAAACCGGGAAGCTCTTGAGAAAATGAAGAGTGAGATTTTGATGCTTGCGGACGAGAAGGAGTACAAGCGGGAGATAGTGCAGATCAGAATAACCGTGTTCGAGTTTTTTCTCTTTTTTATTGTGCGAGCTGTCGGTTATAGAATGCTGTTTGACGAGGTGATATTGTCGTTTAGCAGAGGCACGGACACGTTTCTGTTCAAGGACTACTTCTTGGAGGTGGACAAGACGCCTTTTGAAAACTTGCTGCTTGAGAGTGAGAAAGTGCGTGAAGAAGAAATTTCATGTGATGCAGAAACGAATGCCACGGATGAGAAGGAGAGTGATACTGAGATAAAGGAAAGGGAGTTGTTGGTGGGGCATGACGAGGAAAGGAAGTGTGATGCAGGAGATGGTAAAGAGAATGGAGCGGGAGAAGCTTTAAATGGTGACGGAGACTTGCCTGAGGACGAGTTTGGTGGACTTGGCCATGGTCCTAGGGACGGGTATGTACGAAATTGTGCGTGGTCCAGCGACAATGGGTCGTGGAGGCCGAGTGGTGGTACGTGCTATGGCAATAAAGCGATAGCGAACGAATACAGAGGAGTGTTAGGTGATCAGCACTACGAAAATAGCCAGGAAAGAAATGTAAAGAATGCCACACCTACCGATACATCCAACATAATGTGGTGCACGCCGTCCCAAGCTGGCGTAACTGGCAAACCAGAGAGCGAGAGAGGCCACAGAGCCGGGAAAAGTATAATTGAAGACAGCAATGAATTGGAGAGTAAAGATCAAAGCGTGATACAGGTGAATAGACCAGCGATTACAGGCAGTAATCCATCTGGAAAATTAATTGATATTATGGACTGGGCTGTTCAAAAGCAGAAGGCTGAATTAAACATGGCGTATCACGGCCATTCTGATACCACCGTGAATAACAAAGGAAAGGACGCCTCCGATCTGAGCGGTAATTCGTTACGCCCTCATACAGCGTGTATGAAAAAGATAAAACTAACTAACACAGAAATAAATGCAGCGGGAGGCACGCCATCGAAAATGGATGGCAACAACACTGCTTTTGATGGTGCATTTGACCGAAAAAAAGTCGTTTGGGATGAAGAAGAAAGGCGATATCATACAAACGGCAGTGTTCCCGTGAACGGTTCACCGGGATGCGGTCGGCAATTACCAATAAGCGAGAAAGCTACGAGCTATGTGGCGAACGATGCGTTCTCCGCTGAAACTGCCGATCAAGATGCAGCTGTTAAATTGAACAACGTTCAAAAAGATGGTACAGACGGCAAGGAGAACGAAAAAAGAAGTCCGTTTAATGCCGATGAGGAGCTCAGCTCTACATCGGGTAGCAGCAATAAACCCGCGAATTCGGCTGAAATGAAGGGCAAAACTGCAAAGCATGCCAGTTCAGCAAAGAATGACCTGGGAAGTGGGGAAGAGCACCGATATTATGATTTGAATGCCGATTGCAGCAACAAAACAGCTGCTGTTATCCCAGAAAGCTCAATTATCAACGCAACGGGCAGCTTCATTGATGAGAATTTACAACGCATGCAGTACGTGAATGACGAGACGATGAAAATCGTTAGCCATATCAACAGCATCATGTCAACAACCGGAAATATCAGCACAATCAGTCTGAGTGGCATATGCACGGAAAGTATGATCAGGGACATTAATGATGTGGTGGGACTCAGCAACGCCAAGAAAGAGTTTTACTTTGATATCTTGGGAAAGAGAGAGAAACTCATAAAGAAGATTTCGCCGTTTTATTATCAAATAGGAAAGAACTACAAGTGCACGTTCGCGTTTGCACACGCCATTACCCTGAAAGACGGCTCCTTTTTTCTGCGCAGTTTCCAGCAGATTGAGCAGCATCAAGACGGTGTGAGCACCCTGATACACATAAACGCGCTGAAATGGTGCGAGGAACGGAAACTAGCATTCAAAATTTTTCATTCCCAGCTTTTCTACTCATACGAAAATTCATTAAATGAGTCTAAGATTGGTGACGAAGCGGGTTCTAGCGACAACGGGCCCAAGATAGGGTCGTTGCTGACCGTTGGATTTGAGAAGGGAAAAAAACAATCTTCGATGAGGTAAGATCCCCTGTATAAATAAATGTAAATAGAATTAAAAGTATTTGGACTCTGAACTGCCAGGCAGTGGTGTGCTTAAAAGATTTTACCACCGAAATTCTTTTTTACCCGTGTTTTGCCAGTTCTTTGCGTATGAGGATTAATCGCATTTTGTTAGAATATTTCATTTGAACAGCGATTTTCTCGGTGAATTAGATGCAAGAATTTTGTTTCTGTGCTTAACAAACATTGATTACACTAAAACGTGCTTTATTGGAGAGGATGAACACAATCCTTGGTACTGAAGTGTTATATCTAGCGTGTCATGTTCGGATGGTTCTTATTTAAATGTGCTCGTCTACCACCTCTTGAGGGCTTGGTGTGCTAGCACATCTTTACGTGCTTGTCTACCACCTCTTGAGGACTTGGTGTGCTAGCACATCTTTACGTGCTTGTCTACCACCTCTTGAGGACTTGGTGTGCTAGCACATCTTTACGTGGCACAGCTACCCAACGAACCGGTGTTTATCAGCATGGTGGCGAAGAATGAAATACTTGTGCTTTTGCAGCAGTTCGCGCTTTGAAACAATTATTTAAGAAAATTATCGCGCAGAACTGGGTACGCTGCCCGTTTTTGTGGCATAGGTTGAGACTTGCGGTGATGACTGAGTCACACTATGATTTGATGGCAACGACCGTGACTCGTATACGCAGTGCTATCTTTTGCCAAATTCCTGTCTCAAAATACTATTTGGTACTTCCAACTCGAAACGTACCAAGCAGATGTACAAACCGCAGAATGTCTCACGTTCATCCACGCATCCAAACATTGGAGCTGTTTAGTACATCGCTATCACCCGGCACCGTTCCTTTTCACATTAATTGTTAATTTTTCCTTTTTCATTTTTTAATTCTGCTCATACAATAGCTTTGTCAGTTTACGGGCTGGCAAAGCACCGGGTCAATTCTTATTCAAGACCCTTTCCAATTTCCACACAAAGTATAAATCGTAAATATTCTGAAACAATCATGTTCATGAAAAATTAAAAAAAAATGAGTCCCTCTCATAACACAAAAATGCACAAATTGAAGAAGATTGCAAAATTGATGAAAACAATCAATACGGTCCCAGCGAAAGAGCGCATATCGATGCTGTACACGTTCCCAGAAAATGCGCTTTGCAACGACTGCAAGAGCATCAATCCGACATGGGCGAATCTGAACTTTGGGATACTGCTGTGCACGGCTTGTGCAGGCAGGCACAGAGAGAACAAGCACTACAAGATTAGAAGCCTCCTGTTTGATAGGATTAGTGACAATGAGGTGTTGCGTGTTCTGGTCGGCGGAAATGGCGATTATTTTGGGGACAGCGACGACACCACAGGCAAGTACAAGGAGTATGAGTGGTATGCAGACGAGTTAGCAGAGAGGATAAACAAAATGAAGGAAATGGAGGGCGATACGACGAAAACGGCAGAACAAGATGTTAAAGTTGATGATGGAAAAGCTGGCATGAGAATAGAAAGAACGCTGGAAATCATGAAGAGCAAGAGGACCTCGAAAATTGGGAGTAAATCGATTGAAGAAATAAAGAAAAAGCGCCAAAGTGAAAAGAAGGAGGATAAAACAGTGGTGAAGGAAGTGCAGAAGCAGGAAAAGACCGTTGTTAAGGAGGTCAAGCCGAAAAACGTCACCGAGACGAAGCCGTATGAACCAACGGTCGTTGCATTTGAGCGCGGAACCGGTGCTTACACGCTAAAGGGACAGCCATCGGGAGATGTAGGCCTTCTCGATACCAAAATAGAGGATGCGGGTGGAAACGGGTACAACTACAAGAACATAAAGTTCCACAGCGCGAAGAAGGAGAAGAGCGTTATCAAAAAGGTGGCAGAAGGGAGTAAAAATGTGATGTCCGGTTTAATCAACAAATTCAATAAATAAAGCTATTCTGTTGTTTATCGCAGGGAATAAACCCGGTTTGTTATCAAACAAGAAAATGTTGGAGCTTTGCGCAAATATAGGCAAATGTTGTGCGTAGGATGGCCGAAGACCTTCACAACGATTTAGTGCTAAACGATTTTATGAAGTGCAAGCTGCACTTTCGTGTACAGGGGTGATTTGTCCACCGCTTGGTGTGCTTTACGACTGATCGCTCGATTTACGGAGCTAACAGCCGGCAATCGGTACCAGCCAACGTTTCTCGGTATTGTCTTTGTCCCCGTGTTAATAAACGCGAAGAACCAACCTGAACACGAGTGCATGCACCACGAACGTGTTATCCACGTCTGTTAACGAAATGAGCGTTCTTGTCTGTCCCCTACACCTTAAAGACCCGTTCCATGTAAATTTATCACTTTATCTACCGATATGTCCTGTAGAAACCAATTAGCAGCGCTAGACCAACAACCATCACACACAACAGAACAAACACGGCAACTCCTCTCTTTTTGACGGTTACCCGCCTGTCAATCAGTCCGTTGAGTGAGCAGTAGTACACGAAGTTGTCCTTCACGGCCACGCTTGTTATCGGAATGGCACACGGGGTAATTTTGTTCACCAGAACGGTGTTCTTGAAAATGTACAGTGTACCAGAGGATGTGCCAACCGCAGTGATAAAGTAATCCTTCCTACTTTTGATGTGGCTGCAGGTTATCCTAACGCAATCTCTACACCTTGCAGGTTTGGCAGTGGTCTCGTTGGTGCTGTCTTGCTTTTTGCTCGTCTCTTTTTCCTGGCACACATTGCATTCATCGTCCGGTTTGTGATTGGAGATGCATGTTATTCTCTCCATCTCCACCTCCTTCACCTCTTCTTTGATGAAGACCACCTTTGACGACTTTTTGAGGTAGAAAACCAGGTGGTCGTTGACAATCTCGGGCGACACGATTTCTTCATCGAAATTGTACTTTTTTAGGTTGAACACGAACGTGTAGCGCTGGTGAGAGCGTTTCTTCTTCATGAGAGCGCTGTCTTCACTCGCTCCTCCGTTCTCAGTCCCTTTCATGTTCGCATCCTGTTCGTCTCCAGCCACGTCCTCCTTCAAAATTTTGTAAATTCGCCTGTTCTTTAAAAAGAACCTCTCCCAATTATCGTTTACGTCCGTGTGTCCATCCTCTCTCACAATCATAACCCTGTCGTCTTTCCTCCCCAGCCCGTAGAAATACTCCTCCTGCCGGTTCTTAATCTTCCGTTTGTCGATCTGCCACGCCACAGTAGGCATATACGCAAATATTTTCTTCTCCGCCAAAAAAATGTTGAAATTGAAGTACGTGTGCTGATCAACCTGTACTTTGTACCGCTCTAGCACGTGCATCTCATCTTTACAAATTTTCACATGGCTGAAACTCTCCATCCCCACCAGTGTTAAATACATGGTGCACTGCGGCAGCAGGGCCAGGTTGTCCACACCGTCACATACGCCCTTTACTATGCTTGTGGGAAGTGGTTCCATGCTTACTTCATCGGCAGAGAAGTACTCAGCCGATGAGTCATCATCATTCTCAGGTAGGGTGATTTGTGTGCTCGTGTAAACCTGTATTGACCTGACAATATCGTCCGTTTTGAAAAAAATCAGTTCTTTCGCTGTTGTACTGTCCATTATGACGATTCCGTTCTTCTTACCAAATAGAGGATCACCTCCACCACCTGCTGCCACTACTACGTTGTGAGTGAGCGTGAGCGTGTACAACGGAAATATTGTGGGCATTTTTTCAAGGGTTGTGGAATCGTATGTTAAATGTTTTGGTCCGGCAGGGACCCGTAGAACAGCAGCGGAGAAGAAATTATTGGTGCTGTGTACCGTGTGTGTTGGAATGAAACGTAAGCTGCCACACTTTTAGGGGGCTGGTGCTAGTCAAAGTGTTTGACTCCGTAATTAAATGAAACCTCTGATTAATTACTGCCTAGCGGAGTGCCACAGCGGCGAATTTGCCGATAGAAACATCAAACACATCATTTATCATTCTAAGGACGTGCTCTGCATGGATTTACACCAATATGCACTCGCCAGAGCACAGAATGTGTATGGTTTTAGATATTGCAGTGGCAAATGAAAATTGCAAATCAAGAAAAACAAATTGAACGTAAACACGTTCTCACTGTGTACTGATCGGGTGAAAATACCGCAAAATGGAGAAATGGTGCTGGCAGCATATCTGAGCTCGCCAACCACTGTTTTAATTAAGACCGATTGACAGGTCGTCAAGAAAACACCCTCATTGTTCTAAATACGTTTTAATTAACAACAGTTGCCGATGTAGGAGAAGAATCGTTTAATTTTCATATGGAAATGGACAAACGTATTTTAGCGAAAAAAAAGGAATTCACATATGAAGGTGCATTCCTTAAATGGTAAACCTAGAAATACTGTAAATTAATACAAGAGGACACGGTTGCACGGCACTACTGCGATATTGGGGAAAGCACTGCGGTTTAACACAACGAGATTTGCTAGCGCTGATAAAAGTTGAACGTTTTTACCGTGGAACATTCTGTACACACCTAATCGCTACGGGATAAAACCAAATGAGCACCGATACGGCGGTTGAACGCAAAATTTCATACAAAATCGTTAAGATAGGAGTAATCGTTCCGTAGGATGCAAAGACCACCAAGCGTGCACATTCAAATGGCTGTGCGCAATGACGTATAAATTTGTGGTCCAAGCATTACATGGCACAAAACGGATACCAAGCCACTGCACGCTTGAACACGGTTCCTCTATTCCAAAGGTAGCACTGCACAGTGCGTGCGATAAGCAACACAAGAACGAAAGAATGGTCAAGCAATCACTTTAACTATCTTCTCGACCAGCTCTTCCAAACGGCGCCATTTAATAATAAGGATGGCCGTGGTGCAGTAGACCACCTGCAGCAGAAAAAAAAGATTGCAAAACACGCCTTCATTCATAGGACCAGTAAGCATTAAAAGGTAATTTAGCAGCGTCATATTCATTTTGTCACTTCGGAAATAGCTTGGTTTGAGAAACGTGCCATCGTATCCCGGCATCCTGTGCCTTGGGCAATGATAAAAGCCCAAAATTTGTGGCAAGGATACTGCAAAATTCAGAATTTGCAGACCATAGAACAGCAAAATCAGCCTCTGTTCCAAGAAAATAATGAGATAGCCCGCAAAAAACAGATACGCATTTCCTATGAAAACTTTGCTTGGATAGGCGTTCAAATAGAGAAGAGGCATCGAACTGCTCAGAAAAAGAGTTACAAGAAGCTTATCAACGTTATTAAGCGTTGTTAATGACAGCATTATTATGATCACCTGCCCAATTTCTACGCCATTGATGCCGCTCAATATATTTATGCAGTTACACGAAAACACAGTTATCACAATTCTGTACAGAACGTATGCAACACTCATCTCATTCAATTTCATATCGTTGCATGCCAATAGCATCGGAAAAATAATTTTTTCTTTCCATGGCATCTCTATAATGTCGTCTAGCACGGCTATGTAAAACGCTACAACCAGTCTACTGTCCAGTTTATTGAGAACACCCAGGTGGAGCAGGAAAGATACGAGGGGGGCAATACCGGCACCCTCGGGTATTTTCTTACAGCCATTCTTGTGCATGTCCATACCTGTGAAGTTTAGCATGGAAACTGCCTTTATCAGGATAAGCGACAGCACAGACGAAGTGATGATGTACGTGTACATGGTATAACAAGGATAAAATTTTTTAATTCGTAGTATTTTTTGCTCAGGATGGTGTTAAATGCTTGGGCAAGGAGTGCCGTGTTGTAAATCGTTTACCTGAATGTTCGAGGTGCTATGACATTGGCAATCATGTCCAGGTATGTAGCACACGTTATTATATCTTTGTTGAGAGACTGTGAACTAAAATGGCGATACTGTCAGAATAAGATGTTTGACATGTTGGAAAATTGGTAATATTCGGGGATCAGATGGTTTGCCTGTCAGTACTTATGCTTTTCATAATGGATCATCTGTTCAACACCGTAGCTGCGTAGTTTAGAACTGCTGTCCGCTCACATCTTCGTATGATAGTGCCTTTTTCATATTTTTTTAGAACATGTTTTTATTTCTTTACCAGCGTCATTACCTAATCAAACACGTCTTTCTGACTCGCTGTGGTCTGCCAACCCCATACCTCTGGCGTATTTGTTTCATGGTCCGAAATAAAACCTCGTTTATCATAATTCTCTATGATCAGGCCCTGTATCACGTACAGCAGCCGTAGATTTATTGCGGGTAGCTGCCATCTCGCAACAGACCTGGATATTAAAATCTTTTTTGTTGTTGTAATTCACCAATTAATGAATCTGCCTTGTTTCTTCATTGCAAGAAAGCGTTTGCATCGTGTTGCTACATCCTTTATGGATGGTAAACGTGTAGTGTGCCCTATTTTATACTCCCATACCGGATTTAATACCATTTATAACTGAACATTGAGGTGAGAGGTGATAATCAAACAGATCCGCGAGGAAAGGGATAATCAAACAGACTTGCAAAAAATAATTAAATACCACACATTACCACTACTCCGTAGGCTTGCTGGTAGTATAAGTGAATTACATTGTCTTGTACCGTTGAGTAACTGTGCATGCGATCCCTTACGGTGCAAGAGCCTGCTTGTCAACCACCATAAAGGGCTTTAACGCGGGAGTGTACGTAAATAAAGGTAGGATAATTATTGAATAGTTGTGTTTGGACTAAGATATGCCACCATTTCTCTATATTATGGGGCTGAACATTCGCATGGAGTGGTTTTCTGTTCCACTAATCCTTCATGAAATAAATCAAATTCCTCTGTCCCCCAGCGATGAAGCTCTTGTTAAAAATTGCATATGATGGCAGGAAGTACCATGGACTGATCGACCAGCCCGAACAAAACACCGTATATTCACAGATCAGGTCTGCTATGCATCGCCTGAAACTGCCACACAGTATCAAAATAGAATGTAGCGGTCGCACGGATAAAGGTGTATCGGCTGCCAACATGGTCTTATCACTTCCAATCGACAAGCTTGGCAGCTATGATGTAATGTTCAACAATGTTTTACCCGATGACATTAAGGTAAAGGAGTATGCCATCATAAACAGCGATTTTTCAGCGCGTTTTGATTGCACGCGCAGAGTTTACCGGTATTTTTTTCATTGCGAGAATGTGGACGAATATGAAAGAGCCGGAAAAGCTTTGAAGGAGGGATTGAACAGTGGTAAATTTCACATCAGGGATTTTTGTACCAAATCAGTTGAGAGGAATTTTATAAAGAAAATGAAGAAACAAAGCTTGAGCAGGATGAATGATGGCGATGTGGTGAGTAACACAAGGTGCAAGGAATGGATAGAAGGCTCGAAACGTTTAAAATGTGATAAAATGGATCTCATGCATACCAAGGAATTACCTGATGGTCGAGTTTCGACCACAATAACCGAACACTACGCTGAAAGTGTGAGCAATATGTGCTCATCGGTTGATGATCAGCCTGCTACGCAGTTTGATCAGAGCTTTTATGACAGAAACATTGATTACCTGAAATTTGAAAAATTGAACGAAATCTATTACATGGAAATAGCCAGCAAATCGTTTTTGCACAACCAAATAAGACGCATGTTCTATTTCATAAAGAAGAACGTAGGAAAGAAGGAGGTTATTTTTTACGAAGGATTGGCAGAACCGGAGTATTTGGTGTTTTATCAAGCGCACTACGATAAGGAAATTGAATGGAAGAAAAGCCGGAAAGACAACTTAATTTTGTATGAAATAGAGAAGGAAAAGCATAAGATGATGTTTTTTGAGTGACAGTGTGTATGAATTGAATATTTTTGAAAATCTAACCAGTGCAAGAATTGAAGCTAGCATGAGATTGCTTAATTAGTTATATTATTTTTTAATGACATCTTACCTCCTGTGGTACAGCCATATTTCAACTTCTAATAAAACTCGAGCAATCCTACGGGAGAGCTGTATAGGCCTTCATTGAAGAGATTTCGTAACCGATGCAAAGCATAGGAAGGATATGGTACCAAATTGCAATATAAAGGATGCGTGAATGTCACGTTATACTTCATAAATTCTAACAATGCAACATACCCTAACAGGAATATCTGATTTTTCTTGCCACTAGGTATACAAACCATCTGAACTACGAATAGATGATTGTGTCAACAAAGAAATAGGACCTGGAATTGTTGTTGTTACGATACCTTAAACACTCCATCGTTTCAACAGAGATCACCTCGATCATTTTATGTCATTAAGTAAAGTTTGGATACGTTGAGCCATAATGAATCCAGCGATTCATGGGTACTTACATAAATTAAGATATTTTGATATCGACAATTCTATAAAACTGTTTATCGCAGACTAACACTCATAAAAAATGCTTTTAGACCACGATAGATCGATGTTATCAAAACATTGCCTCTATCCAATCATAGACTGACACTCGAGCTAAAAATTGGATCATAGTATCAATACCAGATATCGTATTCCTTGTAATAATGATGTTTAGATGCTAAAAAGCAGGTTATTAAATGAATTACATCACCAAAAAGCAAATTAAATTACGGTATTAGGTAGAAAACTACAGAATCGATGATTCCATTCATGTTTTATCCACAAAGTTAACCAAATTTAATGTTTAGAACTATGTGGAGTATTAAAGACGATTTTCAGAAAAAGATAGACTTAGAGAAGGCCTGCTTAGCTCTCTCGCCAGAATACATCGAAGGGCTTGATTTTCTGGGAGACAAGTGTAGGATTGATCAATGCGGGCATTTTCCGCTCGTAATTTTCTCTTTTTTATCCACTTTATAATTAAAATAGTTGCTAAGACAACCAATACGAAACAGCAATAAGTGGTTATTATGATGGCAATAAGCTCACTTAAATCGTACTTTGGTGAATAAGTAGTTGTGCCAAGCCTAATGGCATTCTGTTCGTTATCGACAGAAGGCGCTTTCGGTGTTAGTACTGGAAGTTCCGTTGAATTTTTGAACTGTTCAGATGCAATGTCAGACATAGTAACGACCATCACCAAAAATATTATTTTATAACTTTGAATCAGAATGATCTGCAAAGACTTTTTTGACAGATGTCAGTTTTTAAAGCAAATAAATGTTTAGGGACTTTTTCCAAATACTGACCAAGAAACAAACATGTGAAACCATAGTATAGATGTATAAATATCTCGTAATCCAAATTATTATTCATAATTATGTTTGATATGTTATAATTTGGTTAATTACACATTTGTTTCGATGTCGCTTTTACTAATTTTTCAAGTCAGAATAGACGAGCTGTCAAACTTTATTTTATTTATGGAATATTTCCGTAAAAAATATCAACAGAAACTCCAAAAAATTTTCGTAGAGGATGACAGTCGGCATGCTGTGCGATTTTTGGGACAGTAAAAATTTGCCAATGAAGATTCATACAGTATTTTAAAGAACATTTAACTATAAGAAATAAATTCGTGAATGTTCTTGTCGGAGTTTCTCTTAATTTAGCATACTTTAATGTCATTTAATAGTCTTCCCAAAAGATCAGTTTAAATTCTTATATTTGGTTCAGAATACAGCGAAATAGCTACTTATTATCATACTGATTCTGTTAAGAAATTCACAACTTTTTACTTAACACTATGGATGCTATCCTGTTTTTCAAAAACGGGTTTATGAATGGATAGAAGATCAAAACAGCATTTTGAATGTCACATCAACAGCAATTTAATCCTTTCCATAAGCTGTTCTACGATTACAGACACTGTGAAATGTCCTTCCATCGATCAGGTCTGCAGCTATGCCTGTTGTGGCCGTTGCAATGACCGCCTTGTTTGTCCCTTTGAGATAGCTGATGAGTGCACGGTAGACAAATGTCTTTCCCGATCCAGCTGGACCATCTAGGTACAGTAGCCTGCCTCTGTTCTCAGTAACAGATGCTATTATTTCGTTGAACGCAGTCCTTTGTTCATGATTGAACATCTGTATCAGTGCATCTTCTCTGTAATGTCATTTATTTGAACAACGAAATAGCAATAATTTGATAATCCATAGCTTTCTTGAAAAGACCACAGATAGCGTGTTGTATCATTTGATCTATAAACTAATGATATAGCAATGATAACAGCCAAACTTATCAAGTACATGCATTTCAATATGAAGATAATTTATTTAATGTTTACGATATGCCCTTTTTCTTTTAGTACTTAATATTTTGTTATTTGTCATCCAGCTAAAAACATTGATGCTCATCAATACGTATTAAGGTATAATTTGGTACAATCATCCATGGCAACCAACAGATTATTGCATTTAAACAGTGTCATCCTGGTAAATATTATTTGCATCAAAATATATAAAACATTTTGCTAAGCTATACATTTAATAATTACGCATATGGAATCATACACAGCATCCAACCACTTTACCAACTATTTCATTAACCTTTCGTATAAACCTGTACATAAGTGGTTCCTTCATCAATTTACAATTACAGTGCTCATCAAATTTATCATTTCCAGCTGTTGCTGTTTGTACATTATCAGCGCTTTGTACCGAATACGCTTCTTTTACCAGAGCATCTAAATCAGAATAAGTATCAGAACAGCACCTATCCCTAATCACAGTCTTACATTCTTTACCCTTCTGCTTTATTTTTTCCTTCATGTTTCTTATGAAGGTGCAGTATCCACTCTCATTTTCGAACGGATCGGGTGGTGGCCTACCTTCTTTCTTGTTCTTCTCTGCCACCCTCTTCATTTTTATCTGGTGTGCAAATCCACGCAGATTTAGCCATTGCACACCTGTTAGCCGGGGTGTCGGCACCTTCCGAGCAAATTTGTTTATGTCGAGTTCCTGCTCGCACCCCGACTCTTCCTTCTCCTTCGTGGCCTCAAGGCATGCCACAGAAGGCTCTTTTACGGTCAACATGTTGTTGCCCGTTACCGGTACAACTGTTTGCAGTGCCGGTTTATCGGCCGACATCTGCTCAAACATTCTTATTAAATCTTTAACACACATGATCCCTTCCTCTTTCGAATCATATTTATACTTTTCAAGTTTGTTTGCTTCCTTAATTACTCAATCCACTTATCGTACTTTATTTGCATTTTGTTTGCATGCCTTCCTTAAAAGAAACAATTGAGATTTAGACAGCTTATTCTCTGTGAAACACGTTAATACGCATCTTCAACACTTTCAAATATTATGTATTGTTCATATCATGCGTGATCAATCGTTAATATCCTGATAAATAACACTATTCCTACTTTTGATAGGCATTTTGTATTATCAGTGATGTGCCATCTATTTTTAGTATTCCTGCTATTTTTACTATCAGCACCAGCAATGCACCTTAAACATTTCTATCATCTCAAAGTACATCATTTACTCTTCTGTAAACTCAGCGGCATACACATACAACGATAATTTGTAGTTATGCTTTAATTTAATCACAGACTGAAACACCAAGCTCAAAAAAAATTTACTTGAGACACGGACCGACACAGAAACATCTGATGGAATACAAAAGACCAAGAGAATCATTCTTGTGGCAAATAAAGAATTTAATGTCATCAAACGGATGAGATAAATGAACACGTTTTTGATAAAAATGCTACCGTGTAAAGATGACGGCCATAATTGCAATGAATACGATCTGCCTGCAGCAACAGCACGGTCAGTGCTTGCAATAGCACCCTACAAATAAAGTTATACAACGAGTTAAATCGTAGTTTAAAAGTTACACCGGTGTATCAGTGCTAAAAATGGCAGTTGATACCACGCACTCCCTATTTTTTAGAAAGTGTGATCACTGCTGGATAAGGCACCGGTACGTTGACCAAGTTTCTATTTTTTGGTAAAAAAAGAGTATCTGTGCCCCAACACGCTATGTTAGAGCACTACAGTACGATAAAGCTGTACGGTGCACCCCACCAACATTCGTACCATTTGTAGTAAATTAACAAAAAGAACGCATAAGAAAAACGGAGTTGTTGCGTGGAAGGTAGCAGGTAAATTATTTTTAGTGTAAAAAGTATGAGAAAAGCACATTTGTTAAATCAACAGTGAAATGTACAAAATGAGGGATTGGTTCGTGGTTAAACAAAAGCATGCACATTCACATAAAGAACGCACACAAGCAGCAGCTACTTACCGTATCGATGCGTTTAAAGTGCATGCACACGAAAACGTGATTGCTGACCCCAAAAACGGTCAGGCCTGGCAGACCAGATGGGTGTGTCTGGTGCGTGGAGAATAAACTAACGTACTTTACGTGAAGAGAAAACGAATTAACGCACCAACACAGTTTTAAATTGATATCGAGCCCGTGCTAAAAAACGTAAATGAGCAAGAGCAACCAAAATTTTGGAACAAATAAATTGCACAGACTGACAATCCAACATTCCTTACGTTCTGCACACAGCAATAACGACTCATCTATAAAACGTTTTGTGTTAGATCAGCACACATTATAAAAACAAACGATCAAACAAACAGAAATGACACTCATGCCCAAAGAACGTGAGTATTCCGTGACAGATTACCTTCTTTATTTCGTTATCCTGTTTGCTATTCTAATTGTTATGTACCTGCATATGCTCATCAAGAACTTTTTTTATAAGAAGGCGAGAGGCAAGGGAATTAATCTGTGAGTGTGGATTTGTAGCACGCACATTGCAGATGAACCGGCTGAATTAAAGACTATTATTTTGATAACACGGTGTGATAGCAGTGTTTTAAATGGTTGGGCTATTATGACGTGCATGTTTTTGTGTTACGCGTGCAAACCAATTTATTACCATTGCTGGCAGTGTATTAACTGATAATGACCAAGGAGCCTTTGTACAGCACCTCCACACTTCTTTTGAAGTCTTTCTCTTTCACCGAAGAAAACGCACAAAAAATATTTGTGAAGAGTACAAAGACGTGCAAGCAACCGTAATAGCACCACAGTCTGTGTTTGATACACTTTTAAGTTTTTAACTACAATTATCGCCAGCTTTTCAAGGTGTGATGGCCGAGCGGTCTAAGGCGCTGGAATTAGGCTCCAGTCTTCTCGAAGGCGGGGGTTCGAATCCCCCTCACACTACGTTTTTCACGTAACCAAGTGGTGCCAGCGCACCACAAGAGCCAATCTCAGCACATATCCGTTTTATTAAACAAATCTTTTATCCACCGCGCAGCGCCAGCACCATCTGTATCACACACCCATCGTTAACATTGTAGTCGCTCAGCACCTTTCCATCCTCCGTCAATATTTTTCCCGAATAGATCAGTCTCTGCTGTTCCGGTGGTATTGTCTCCAACATTTCTATCTGCTGCTTCAGCGATAGTACGGTAGCACTGTCTTCAATTTCTATCTGCTTTTCTACGCCTATGAGCGATTTGATCTTTATGTTCATTTCGGTGGGGGTGCGGTGGTTGAACGTGTTTTGTGGGGATAGAAGGAACAAATTACGTTTTATACCCGGTAGGGTATGTAAATTGTAATAAATTTATTTTATTGTTGGTAGTTTCAGTAAATCGTCTTCATTTCATACAATTGCCGGTTCATGCCTACCACCGTAATTTTCACTTATCTTGCACCGCGCACCTCTCCTCAAATAACTACGGCTTTCATCGCAAGGTAGAACATGCCATAACTCACGAGAACAATCAATATTTTGGTAGCAAATTACACATTACCAGCTATTTACGCTGCTATTTGCCCTCAACCACCACGCATACGATCATTTTCGCAATGGAACTGATTTATTTGAAGCAACATTAATTGTTGTGCTGGGATTACTCACCTTTCCCTACGCTTGCAGTCCTCGGTACACCCCCCGCTATTCCGTAGCATAATTAATGTTTTGATGGAACACCAAATTTAACTTACGGCCGTGCCAACAGGTACGTGGTACACGGCGTACCACATCCTAAAATTCAATTTCTGTACCACACCCCCCATGCTAAGAAACTACTTGAAGGGCCTTCTAGCCTACCCGTTCACGAGCAACGAAGAGGTAGAGCAGGCTCTCTCACCGTACCTCACACACATAAACATAGAGTTGGGAGAGAAGGATGAGTCTCTGCCGCTGGATACGCCGGTATCGCTCCATCCAAAACGGTACACCGTGGTAAAGAAGGAAGCATTGAACGATAATTGTGCTGTAGAGGAGCAGATGAGCGATGATATGGTGGTGGTTGACGGTCCTTACACGGACATAAAAGTAGAAAACATTGATTTGCATGTTGATGGACATACTCTGCTTAAGGATGGCGTGTTGTGTCTGAGACGCGGGGTTGTGTACGGACTGGTCGGCACTAACGGAGTGGGTAAGAGCACGCTGTTGAGGTGGCTGAAGAATAGGGGGGTGACGAGCACGTACTTGGTACGACAGGAGAGCGGATTTATAGGTAAGCACGCGCGTAGCACGTTCAGCGCCGATAATCGTTGTGGTAATCGCCTTGACAGCACGCATGATGATGGCGTGCACGATATCACCGTGAAAGAGTACTTGAGCGAGTACGACGAGCGCGAAGTAACCAAAATGCTGGTGCGCTTCGGTTTCAAGGACCACTCGCAACGTGTAAACGAGCTGAGCGGTGGCTGGCAAAAGAAACTAACACTGTTAAAGGCACTGCTATCACCAACCAACCTGCTACTGCTGGACGAACCTACAAACATGCTTGACCTGCCATCCATCCATTTTCTTGAAAACGCACTGGCCAAGACCAACAAGACCGTGCTCGTGGTATCGCACGACATAGCGTTCCTCAACAGCACGTGCCAATTCATAATTAGAATGAAAGACGGTCTTAAGGTGTACAAGGGCAGCTACGATGAGTATGTGCGGTTGGCGGACATTGAGAGGAGGAATGCGGAGAGGGAGTATGAGAAGGGGGAGGATGCACGGAAAAGGATACAGGTGTTTGTGGATAGGTTCAGGTGTAATGCTAAGCGTGCTGGGATGGTGCAGAGTAGGATTAAGATGATGGAACGGATGGATAGGGTGCAGCTTGAGGAGGTCGACAGGGACGTATCTTTTGGGATAGGTGGCGGTATGAGAGGTGAGATTGTGAGGATCGAGGGAGTTGACGTGAGTTACAATGATGGAGGGGATGCGTACGATAAAAATAGCAATGCGTGCTGCAAGTCTGAAGAGGAGCAACGTGTCATTCTAAAAAACCTGAACATGATAATCAGGGGAGATTCAAAAATTCTTGTGGTAGGTCCGAACGGTGCAGGTAAATCAACACTGCTTAAAACCATCCTATCAAACACCAACGTATCTCGCATACCAAACCTTAAAATATCCTATTTTGCACAGCACCACCACCAAAACTTCTCGCCAACCGACCGCGTGCTGCCGTACCTCATCACAAGCACTCGTCAGCCCGAGCAGCTCATACGTTCCGTGCTATCGTCCCTCAACCTCAAAAAAGATTACCAGTTCATATCATCGCTCTCCGGTGGTCAAAAAACCCGGTTAATGCTGGCTAAGATAAGCCTAGACAACCCTGATCTGCTGCTGCTTGATGAGCCCACGAATCACCTCGATATTAGCAGCATTGTTGCACTTAGGAATGCTGTACGGGAGTACAAGGGTGCTGTTGTGTGTGTCAGTCATGATTTGTGGTTCGTGAATGGTCTTTTTGCGGATTTGTACGTTGTGGATGGGTCTGTCAGGTACTTTAGGGGTACGGTTGATGAGTACAAGAGGGGGTTGTGGAGCGTGGAGTAGTAGAGGTTAGATGCGGGCAAAGGAGAGTGGTTAGGGTTAGATGCGGGCAAAGGAGAGTGTTTAGGGTTAGATGCAGGGATAATCAAGAGCGCATCGTTGTGATACGAAAGGATGAACAGCTACGCAAAGATGATAAGTGCTAAATTAATAAAAATGAGTAGAACAATAAATAAATGGTGAACAATGTTCAAATTACCGTTCATACTTCACGTACATGTGCACTACGAACGATATGCCCATTATCAAGGAATGCTTCATTTCCAGGATATGATCAACAACGCTTAAATACGTACCATGACCGGTAACAGGCAATGCAACACATCGTAAACATTGTTAGGTGTAACCGCAGTTCAAAGTGGCATTTCCTACTTACCTGAAAGAAATGAATTGCTAAACATTCTTAGCTTTTACCGGATTGCAACAGCAGCATCAAACTGCTGTTCATCACCAGAACCGGTACTTAAAAGAACGTAACCACTCATCAACGAGTTTATGATTGTTGTATTATACGGCAGTTTCAGTGATCTAAAACACGTGCTGTAACAATGCTATTATTTCTTTTCTTGCTGTAGTGATCTGCTCTAATTATAGATAGGTGCAGTTTGCATGTCTTATGTAAATTTAGTACATTTTGTGTTGAAAGAGTGGTGTAGCTTGGTACGTTAATCTAAGCTATCTATTAAAGGGCATACGGCTCATTGCAACGTACTTGATCAGAAAAGCGTTGTACTACGTGGGTATATCCCTTGTTGATACAATTACCTCATTAATATTTTCACTCATTAATATTTTCACTCCTTAATATTTTCACTCCTTAATATTTCCACTCCTTAATATTTTCACTCATTAATATTTTCACTCATTAATATTTTCACTCCTTAATATTTTCACTCCTTAATATTTTCACTCCTTAATATTTTCACTCCTTAATATTTTCACTCCTTAATATTTTCACTCCTTAATATTTTCACTCATTATTCCCCAATCCTATTCTTCATTCCAAATGTTCAACCCCCCTAATAAACATCTCATCACAAATCCTAAACACAAGTATCATTCAAACAATGTTTCACTACTCGATTAAAAAGAGATACACCTCACAAAAACATGTTGATCTACATTCTTATGACCTACCAATCACCGCTCTCCCTATCACCGCTCTCCCATCCCAGCAAATACCTATCACTTACGAACAACGTACCCGCATTCACCGACTGTGCATATCCCATAGAACTAACCGAACACAAGGGAATAACACTCGCTAACAATCAGCTGTGTGTAAACGGTGAGAGCATAACGATCCATTGCACCGATAAGAACGTAACAGATTTTAAAGTGGAGAACTCGAATAAGTACGTAATGCTAAAGAACAATGGGAAATGCTTAACGATTGTTAAGATGATTGATCAGTACTTGCCGATATTAGATGAGTGTAGCTTTCTGGATTCGCAGCTGTTTGTGGTGGGTGATGGCACCATGTGTGAGAGTGAAGGGCGCAGGTTATCTGAGCCGGTGATTACCTATGGAAGCGGTAAGGGAGTGCAGTACTACGAAGATGGAGGATTAACGGTTGATTGTGATAATTTGGATGAGGCGATGAAAGAGAGGTATAAAGATAGGTGTAAGGTTGCTGGTGAGGGTGGTGAGAAGGTTGTTATGCCTAGTGGGAGTGATATGCCAAGCGGAGGTGCTATGCCAAGCGGTGTTGCTATGCCAAGCGGAGGTGCTATGCCAAGCGGTGTTGCTATGCCAAGCGGTGTTGCTATGCCAAGCGGAGGTGCTATGCCAAGCGGAGGTGCTATGCCAAGCGGTGTTGCTATGCCAAGCGGAGGTGCTATGCCAAGCGGTGTTGCTATGCCAAGCGGAGGTGCTATGCTAAGCGGTGTTGCTACGCCTGGTACCACAGGTGGTAGCACGCCCGCTAACATTAATAATACTGGCAATGCGACTGGTGGCACTGCTACCAACAATACAGGAAGTGCTAATACAAGTGGTACTACCACTGTTCCTGTTACTGCTCCCAACACCCCCACAGCACCTCAGAGTGCACCATCCCTTCCACCCGTACAACCTTCGCCTTACACGCAATTACTGCCAGTTCAACCAACAGCAACGGTTACCCTATCACCAATTAATACTCCCTCCTTTACCAGACCAGTTCAAGTACAGCAGAACAAACCTAACGAGTGCCTGTCACCGTGCGTATTTAGAATTGAAATGGGAGGAAGGGGCGTGTGCATTTGTTATAATGCTGGTGGTAATGGTGTGTCTGGAAATGGATCAGCGGTTGGTATGCCTGGTTTTGGCATTGCTAGTTCTGTTACTGGTCCATCCATGGCAGGGGGTGTCAATACTCCTGCAGCAGGCCCATCCATGGCAGGGGGTGTCAATACTCCTACAACTGGTGCATCCATGGCAGGAGGTGTCAATACTCCTACAACTGGTGCATCCACAGCAGGCAGTGTCAATACTCCTACAGCAGCACAACCAAGCAGTCCTGCCATATCTTATCCCGCGGCACCAACCAATCCCACCCCTTCACTACCCTTTCAACTGCCTTTCACACCCTCAAACACAAACATCCAGCCATTCAAAATACCAACGATCTACTTAGACGACGAAACATTCAAATCCCTGAAAATGAGTGCGCCATCCCAGCCCTTCCACATGCAATGCTGTTCCACCATGGCATGTCCGTGCATACCAATTATTAACGTGTATCCTATCATCAATTTGGACGTTGAAGGACTGTTTAGAAAGTTGAAAGATAGAATGAAGCAGTAGATGTGGTAAATATTATGATATGATGATTTTTATGCAACTTTTTACTGTTTATATACTTTAGTGTTCTTATGCGTTTATGCACTGTGATTATGCATATAAAGGTTACTTCATATCAATCAGCTACGCTTCAACTTTTTATCATTTTTAATCACACTTTCATCTCAGCTCTAAATTCGTTTTACCAATCAATGCATTCCTTCTTAAATCCATACCAATTAATTCTCTCCCGTCTCATTCATATTTCTTGATCCAACAGTCATAACACGTATTTACAACATTACTCCATAAATTATGCATTAATTCGCCCAACCCTGGCAATGAGCCGTAAGAGCAAAACAGCCGATAACAAATCAAAAAATGGTAAGGATGCGTCCATAAGCACAGTTACGGCTGCCCTTGATGAGCTAGCACTTGGCAACCATGATAGCCGTGCTGTTACTAATACTGGCACTGTGAATGATGGCGATGAGAGGACTAACGGTAGGAATGCCGGGGCTAGCACTGATGCTAGCAGCGGGGTTGGTGCCAAGGACAGTACCAGTGCCAAGAATGGTGCCAAGGCTAACATTAACATGATAGAACACCTCAAGCATCGTCTATCAATCCTAAAAGCATCGCTTCCCAATCTCAAAGCATCCTCAACAACAGCCCGTCCAATCTCGCATTCCCCCTTCAAACTGCTGCTCAACTCAAACACGTACAAACAATCGGACAGAATACGCGTAACAGGCAAGCACAGCGTACAGATGAAGATTAGCAAGGTGAAGGGAAATGTGGTGGAATGTGATGGTGATTGTATGATGGATGGGTTGTTGAAGGTTGATGATGAGAGATATAGAATGAGAAAAAGGGTGATTGGTGAGATTGAGAGGGTTGTTGGTGAGGGGTTGATGGGGTGTGTGGATGTGTGTGGGGATGGGGTTGATGTTTATGGGGATGGGTGGATTAACTGTGATGAGGGAAAGGATGAAAATGAGGGTGAGGATGAAAATGAGGGTGAAAATAAGGGTGAGGATGAAAATGAGGGTGATGGTGAAAATGAGGGTGATGGTGAAAATAAGGGAGAGGATGAAAATAAGGGAAAGGATGAAAATGAGGGAGAGGATGAAAATGAGGGTGATGGTGAAAATAAGGGAGAGGATGAAAATGAGGGCGAAAATAAGGGTAAGGATGAAAATGAGGGTGAAAATAAGGGTGAGGTACATAACGAACAGCAGAATGGAAATAAAACTAATGAAAATACGATTATGCATGAACAAGTTAGCGATAAAAAAGCACGCTTACGCATAAAAAATGTACAAACCGATCACTCCCATCAGATGAACGCATCTCAGCGCAAAGCGCTCTCAATGTCCACAGCATCCCTAAAAATACTTGGTCCACCCGGTACAGGCAAAACGTACACCTTGGTACACATCATTAAGAAGCTGTTAAACGGTGGTGGGAGGGTGCTTGTGTGTGCTCCTAGCAATTTAGCATTGGATAATTTGAGGAAATGGTTCAGCGAGGATGAATGTGTTAGGATTGGTGGGAAGAGCAGGTTTAGGAATTATGAGGAGATTGTTGGGAAGGAAAGGGGTAGAAGGAATGGCGGTAAGATGGTACGAGGGGCCGGCGATAGAGGTAGGAGTGGTGATAGGGGGAGAGCAAGTGTAGGAAGGAGCAGAGTTATGAGTACCGGTAGAGAGGGCAAGAAAAATAGGGGAGGTAAAGGGAACAGAAGTAAGGAAGGCAGAAAAGATGAGGAGAGTAGAAGTAAGGAGGGCAGAAAAGATGGCGAGAGTAGAAGTAAGGAGGGCAGAAAAGATGTGGAGAGTAGAAGTAAGGAGGGCAGAAAAGATGGCGAGAGTAGAAGTAAGGAGGGCAGAAAAGATGGGGAGTGTAGAAGTAAGGAGGGCAGAAAAGATGGGGAGAGTAGAAGTAAGGAGGGCAGAAAAGATGGGGAGAGTAGAAGTAAAGAAAGCGTAAATAGCAAAGAAAGAAAATGCGCCACAATGACCAGGAAAGGTAACAAACACGGTAAGAGGAGCGTAAAAGAAGAGAATAATAAAAGAGTGGACTACGCCTTGCTTAAGAACTATGATCTGATATTTTCTACGCTGTACTCCCTGTACAAGATAAGAGATGTGTACGATACGGTGATTGTGGATGAGTGCTGTCAGGCAGATGAGGATGAGCTGATGATGGCGTTCTTTAAAGGAAGAAACGTTATTCTAGCGGGTGATCCCTATCAACTAGGACCTGTCGATGAGGAAAGAAGGGGTAGTGGTGGTAAGGAAAATGAAAAGGATGATGACCGTGCTAGTGAGGATGATGTTGACGATAGCACCACTGCTACTAGCCCTGCCACCAATACCGAAAAAGATGATCGTGGCGTAAAGGGTCGTACCGGTAAGGGTAGGAGGTACAAAACAATGGCACAGGTAAGAATGGAAATCAACAACTGCATGTTTAACAGGATTAGATTACCTACCGTTCTACTGAACGTACAGTACAGGATGCCTGCAAATTTGATAGATTTTTCTAACAGGTTCTTCTACAGGAGCATGCTACGCAGTGCACTGCCACTAACATTCAAATTCTTTGATCACAGCAACCTTCTGCTCATAAACACGGCAGGCAGAAACTTTCTGGAGCAAAAAGACGTAAGCATTATAAACGTGGAAGAGGGCAAGCTGGTGATGGCATTGCTGTCATTTATAGATCGTACGTACAACGTACGATCTATCGGTGTTATAACACCGTATGCTGCGCAAGCGCAGCATATAATGCGTAACATTGACATGAGCACGTTTCGTGCTCATGTGCACATCAGCACGGTAGACTCGTTTCAAGGGCAGGAGCGCGACATCGTGATCATTTCGATGGTACGCAGCAACTGGGAAAGGAATATTGGGTTTATGGATGACGTAAGGAGAATGAATGTGGCTATGACAAGGTGTAAAATGGGAATGGTGTTGGTTGGTGATCGGAGATGCTTTGAATGGGTGTTTTACCGCAGAATATTTGAGTTCTTCGAGCGAGGTGTTGTTTTAGGACCGGAGCAGTTCTATTCTCTGATTGAGCAGTAGGGTGGAGAGAAGAAGATGCGGAGTGTGTGCACTGAGGAGGTGTATGGATAGGTGCATACGCATTAACGGTACTCGTACTGCCGCTACGTACGCCAACACCAATCTTAGTACCGGTGCGTAATACCAACACATAACCAAGCACGCACGCAGCACCCCTCTTCACAATTTACATTCCCTCACCCCTCCCATGTTTGATCTGTACAAGTCATTCATCCGCAGACGAATAAAAGTAAAACTAAACGATAACTCATCAATAGAGGGTGACCTGATATCGATAGATGGCTATCTCAACCTAGCACTGCAGCATGTGCTTTTCTATGAGGAGGGCATTGCTGAACCTTTTGTTTTTATAAGTTGCTTGGTGAAGGGAAGCAATGTGGATTACATTGCGTTGCGATGATGGGGATGGGTGGCAAATGCGGGGAGTGTATGAGCAGAGGATGAGTTGTTGGTGTGGTAAGGGATGCGTATTGAGGATGGGTAGATGGCCTATTGGGCGGTGCAGCTGGGTTGAACTATCACATAAAAATGTGGGATGGTGCGTTAAAGGGTGCGTAGCTGTTGTTACCGTGTTAAAGTACTTTGTTCGCTGTTAACAATGCACAGTAATTCGTAGCTACCACGGATGTGCCATGCAATGTAGGAAGGTTAGTTAAATATTTTACTGTGAAAGAAATGCGGGCACTAAAATTGTTGCCTTTCTTTCACAAATTAATAATCATTTGTTGTGTCGGTCCTCCTAGCGTGCGTATTACCTGCTTTGACGAAGGCGTAGAACACTTCGTATCGAGCCCCACGTTTATACATCGCTTGGACACGTGTGCACTGCACCAATCAGCACGTTTGAAAGTGCTGATTTAATTGAGTAGGTGCATAGGAACGGGCATATTATGCTTTAATTATGCGTAGGTACGCCTTACAGGACTTGCACTTACCTTTCACACGTATTGAGCGTGTAATAAAATACCATACCTGTGATTATGCATTGAATGGGCGGGTAGCACCGCATTTATAAACACGGACCGGGCACATCTTACAAGACTGTTTCTGTGATGCGATGGACTGGACATGCCGTATTGAAATGCATTCTATCGTACAGCACTAAAAATGGTGCTCCTCGATCACGTGCCCGTGCCAGCCCAAGATCTATGAATCCTTCTGCAAGAATATTAGCGATCCTATAGGCGTGCGTTGATCGTGTTTCTATGTTTAATTGATAATTTGCTCATCTGCCAAAGTATTGGACATTTGTATGAATTGTTTGATATCAGATCCGGTGAGTGAGATGATGGCGTGGTGACCGGATGGCGCTAATGAACGAGCTGGGCGGTATTGCGGGTTGTGTGGGATGGCTGGTCTGGGCAGCTCGTTCCTACCGGTTGTGCGATGCGGTGGTCGGTTGAACCAGAGAAGTGCGCGGTGTGGGAGTAAACGCGTGTTTGGTGAAGTGGCAACGTTCTGAGTAGCGCATTTTAACGGTAGGTGAAATGCTATTATAACCGGATACGTAATAGCAGTGCAGCTATGCACGGATGTGCTTGAATGAAAATGGAATTGATTGTGAGCACTGTCTGAAAGATTGTCTGCTCTCCGGACTAAACGTAATGCACCAAATTTATTGATCTTGTGATTAATTCGTGTTTCTTCCTTCACAGGGGTCTAAATCTTGGAGTACACGGCTTTTAATTCGTATTGCCGTTTTAAGACGGAGTTAAATGCCAAAAAACGGTGCACGATGCGATGTCTGCAACAAAAATACTGTACGAACAGATTTATTGCACGTTAACACCGGAACAGTGCGGTGGGACAGTGTTGCGGTATCGCTTGCGCACTTTGTACGTTCTGCCTGTGCGCTGCAGGATGCACCCTGTGGTTCAGCCCGTACAACATTTTGCACGTATTGGTGGATGCACGTACATTTTCTGTTTCATGGTCCATCGATATGAACTGTAAATTTGTGTTTCACACGGTGGTTCATCGGCGCTTTCTGATAGATAATTGTTAATACCGTGGATGCTTCTGCTCGCAACGTGTGCGGTGCTGTAGCAGCTGTTGAGCGCTCTCATCCGGATGGTGGAACGGATCGATAGAACTGAGTGCCTTCGTTTGGCAGTATGCTGGGCTATTGGTGGAGGAGATGCCCGAGATATTAAAAATGTGCCGATATGATCCCTCCGTATCGCATCTGTTGGTCAAACTGTAATTTGCTGATGTGTTTGATTATTTTTGCCTCGAGTCGGTCGAGTACCGTATCGTGGCCGTGGGCATTTTTAGGACGGTCCTGTGGAACTTGTTCGGAGATACGCGGCAATGCAACAACCGATTCATTATATCTACGGCAAAACAGATATTTGCACGCCATCCAATTGACATATTTCTCATCAAAATGATATTATGGAGATTACGTTTCATTAGGGATCCTCATCCGGATCAGATAAAAATGAAACATTTCAAAACTATATAAAGACATTTACACCCGCCGATATGTTCATAATCGTAAATATGGCATTCGTGGGGATGGTGTGGTCGATAGCTAACAAGTATCTGGACACTAATCTGCGTATGATGCCGTTGGCCGATCCGAGCTCAACATTGGCCTTGGAAAGAAGCAGGCTGGCTGCCTCAGCCAGACCAACACCGGGCACCGATAACATAATCCTGCACAAGGAGAGGGGAAACAAGCTTTTTAAGAGATGGGCCTCCAGCAATATGATGGTGAATGGCGCACCTATTTGTGTCATGTCGGACAACACACTGGGTGCCTGCACCGGCGGTCTTAAACCGGGCAAATTCGATATTGAAAAGCACATTACCCAGGACGGCGGGTACACCATCAGCACAAAAGTCAAGCTAGGATCACGCAAGACCACATTATGTCTTACCGGACCAAGCATGACCTTGCAGAGGTGTACTAATGACATAGAACAGATGTTTAAAGTGGAAAGATATAACGAGCCTAGCGATATATCGAGCAGCGACGACAAAGAGCCCGATCCTGACGCGGGTGCAAGCGCAGAACCATCATCAGATGATGATGGAGAGCCTGCTCAACCGACTGGATCTGGATCCTACTCGTACTGTGTGGACCCTTATGGCCGGTTAAACTACACGTACACACCTCCTGCACCGACTTCGGTTCCATCGCTTTATCCTACTTGTCCAAGCACACAGTCACAATCTACGCCATGTATGGACCAGTACGGTCGTTTGCAGTACGGAAGTGCACCGTATCCGTATCAGTATCCGCCTTGCAACTCATCGAGCGCTCAGCCTGTTCAGCAATCGCAACCAGTTCAGCAGTCCCAACCAGTTCAGCAGTCCCAACCGGTCCAGCAGTCTCAGCCCGCTCAGCAGACATGTGTAGACCAACACGGCTCTGTAAGGTATGCTACTGCACCTGTCTCATCCTATCCGTCGTGTCCTGTGCAGCAGTCTTCAAGCCCGTACCAAAATACGTGTGTTGACCAGAATGGAACCGTGCAATATTCCGCCGCCACTATTGCATCGTATCCGCCGTGTAGTTCAGCATATCAACAGACCCAGCCTGTCCAGCAGTCTCAGCCTGTTCAGCAGTCGCGACCAGTTCAGCAGTCCCAACCAGTTCAGCAATCGCGACCAGTTCAACAATCTCAACCAACACTGCAGGCATGTATAGATTCGGCTGGAATACTGAAGAATACAACCGATCCGCTTTCCTTATCATCATTCTATCCACCCTGTGCACCCACCCAGTCTCACGCGTATCCTTCATGTGACTCTGTGCACCAGCGAATAAATGAGCTGTGCAAGCCCTCAACCAATAGTTCAGCAGCCAATAACACCAAGAATTTGCAGTGCGTGGACAGCACTGGCACAGTACAACAAGTGGTTGTCGAGAAGACCACGCAATGCGTGCCTCAGAGCACACAGCCAACCTACTCCACATGCCCAGGAAATGTAACGCTGCATTTCGCTGGTAGCGGTGATGCTTTTGGGCCTGATTGGACGCCATGCACACAGCCAACCGATAATAACGTGTATTATTACCAGCCTATTGATACGGAAGTTGAGGTCTTTGATCCGCAAGTCTTCCAGCCGTCAGCTCCCGAAAGGATTGTTAGTTCGCCAAGCACGGCAGTGGTTGATAATCCACAATTTTGCACATCATATTGCCAAGACAGACAGAAATCACCCGTTTTTGCTGAGATAAACAGAAGTGGAGGCCCCAATGTATATAATATTAATCCTGGATCGTGTATTAGCGAGAGAAAAGAGGACTGTTGTAGGTGCTGACTTCAAGGCAGTAAATAAAAAGTTTTATTCTATTTATTTTCGATGAACGGCACGGTTGCAGTTTCTGGTTCAACTGGCTCGGACAGCTTTTCTCCTTCGTTTAACACCGAGAACGTTTAATGGTGGCTTTGATACAATCCAGAGTGCTTAGCACGTGCAGTATCAATGTATGGCATGGTAACAGATCTGTGTTGGTATTTTGATGGAAATATAGTGTTTGCTGTTCTGTAGCCTTTCTTACGCAATTGAGCTATTCTGTTCACCACAAGAGAACCAAAACCCTTATACCGTCTATTACAGCACTGTGCATGGTGTGCAGTACACATTACTTGCTACTTAGTTGCTGTACACATCCTGTACCGCCATTTGATCACCTCTGAGGAGTAAAAGGATGGAACTGTTCTTCATGCTGAGTTTAAAACAGGTGGGCCTGCGTTTTTAACGCAGATATGGACCTTTTGGGCAAATAAAAGCACAAAAAACGGGCAAAGAATTTATCAGGTGAGATGTATAGGGAGATTAAAGGAGATGGCTTGTGGGAATACGTAAGATAGAAATAATTAATTACGATAGAAATAATTAATTGAGATAGAAATAATTAATTGAGATGGAAATAATTAATTGAGATGGAAATAATTATAGCGGTATGAGTGGATTGTAGAAGGAGCCTCCTTGAAATGATCAGCTAAGCTATCAAAATATTTTGATGAACGAAATGGAGATTGAACACACGAGTTGGGAACGATAATTGTTTTAATGAGATGCTGGTGGTGGTGGATTGGGGGCACAATACGAGCAATTTTTTTGGTATGAAGAGCTGGGATGGTCGCATCCTGAAGTTGTAGACTCGTCGATGGCGGATGGCGCACAAGAAGAAAGTGGCGTGTCAGGAATTGATTCATTAGGCTGTGATTTCAGTGAATTGTCGGTATCACCAATGTGCGTGTTCTCATTTAACAGATGTTTTTTACCTCTTTTAAACGTTTCCATGAAATCATTGAACTTTTTAGAGATGGTCAATTTAAATTCTTTTATTCCATCCCAAACTTTTCTCAATCTCTTAGGACTATCATCGGTTTGAGTTCCCAAATTTGGTAAGCTTTTCGATTGGGAGATGGGTTGATCTAAAGTATGAGCTTTTGGTTCAGAGTCATCTAAAAATTTGGAGTGAACACTATTGACAGGTGCTGTTATACATTTCTTGGTGACCTCACACGCATTTTGAGCATTTCTAGCACCTTGTCCCATATTCTCTTCAACGCGACTTAAATTACCTTTAGGCAAATTTTGTACGACTTGATCGCTCTTTTCTTCCACTTTCTTTTTCATTTTGTTTGTGCTCCGTGCATCTTCTCCGAGCATCTCGATCCGTTCCGTCTCGTCCTTTTTCCTCTGCTGTTGCAGCAACTCTTTGCCGGATTGTTTGATGCTTATATTGCATGGTGTAAGCACTATAGAGTTGGCGTACTGGTTATAAATATCTTCTTGTGCACACTGAGTGCCCTCACTCACCATGTTATTATATTCTTGAGTCTTATGCAACTCTGCTATGCATGCACAGCTGTGGTTTCTCCTGTGGGCCATTTTTTTCCGTTTATATGGCCCTTGTTGCCACGCATAGAAATACCTGCAATACAAAACAGAAACGTAAAAAAATGCATAGCTGTGAGAATTTCTCTCCTATTTATATTTTTGAACAGGACTTTCTTATCAATTGTTTTGTAATGATAGCTCGTTTTTGATTCATACACGATCATTGTGGTGTATTATTGACATGGCTAGATCGCAATGTTTAACGAAATAGCACAACAATCATCCACAAATCGTGATCTGATGCATTGCTTGAGTGTCTGCCCTGCACAACCATCTTTTCACAGAACAACGAATAATGCCAGTATTTAAACTTGCCGGCCTTTTCTGTCCCTGTACCAGCTAAACTCATTTAATATGCCACCACGCTTTTTTTGTTCTGCTATCGATGGCATCGAGGTGCCCGAATAGCGTTAGGGCAAAAATAAAAAAATTGACCCTGCTTTGTGGCAAATGACAGCTTTCGGAACAATGGATGGTAACAGCCGCCTTTGGATGGAACAGAAGTGTTGAAACTGTAATTGATGCCAACACATTGAAAAATGTGGTAATTAATGTAAAAATGTTACACGGTTAGGCATTCCTTGCATAAAAAAGAAGAATTCGTGGTTTTGCATCTAAATCTACCGTAAAATGGTATTTCAAAACATTTTTCTCTACCGTTTACTCAAATTTCTATAAATACATTTTTTTTCAGCGCGCTCTTATGGTCATAGTAACAGCAGCATACACAGTATTTGATATTTTGTAGGATTGTTGAGTGGCACAGGAAATAATTTACGTAACGTGTGTATGCGAACTTTCAAGTGCGGTCATGACAGGACGTAATTTTATACGTTTTTAGCATTCAATTTTAAGCCCTTTTTTGGTGCCAAAAGTGGATATTATCCTTCGTAAAACTCATTAAAGCAAAAAATTCTCAATTTGGTGATCCTAGTCGTATAATTAAGCTAAAACATTAAGTTATCGGTGCTGACAGCGATTTCCAGCCTTATTAACTTCTTTTTAGTAGCAATCCCACAAAGTTCTTAAGAACCAAAACCGAACAAACCACTGTAGGAGCAATTACGGCAATCAAATGGTAAAAGATAGCGTTGCAAGAAGTATGCAATTCCCTTCTCAAACACATTTCGTTAAAACCAAGCTGCTACAAGTAAAACTAAACCTGTCAACGCTGTAAAACATCTACTGGTCCTCATATCGACATGTTAGGACAGTTCACAAATTTTGAAGAGGCGCCATCATTCTAGTAAGCATGAAACTGCGGAATACCAACGTATTACAGCGGTTTAAGTGCGGGCAGATTACAACAGTGCTCATATTGCAATAATGATAGCGAATTTGGTTTGATGGCGCACTTCGAGTTGCTTACCCTACAGCACTTGCACTCAGTGCAGTGAATCAGACAAAATTGCATTTGAATGCTATCCGTAAAGGAACCGCACAACAAGCACGTACGAGCATGTTTATAATGGGTCCTTGCTGAATTGGAAATGAAATCGTTGTTGCTCAGCTACTGCAACGTTTATAACGATTAAACATTTTGCTGCTATCTCTTCAAATATATTTTTTATTGAGATCAAAGCGAATATCACACCAGTTTTGAAGGGTAATCCAGCACACAATGCTTTTATGTTCATTATAGCTTGTTGTGCCGTTCTTCGGTGCAGAAATAATGTAAATCACGTATTGCTACACAGATCGTTACCGTGGGTGTAACACAACGATTTACTCAAGGCTAACACGGAAAGATTTTTTTAGTAAATAGCAAAATAATGGATCATATGGTAATGTAAGAATACAGATTTAACGAAATTTGGTTTGGTATTAACGAGTAAGAGAGTTTTATCAATCGTTAGAGCGATCTGTGCCACACCTCATGACCCGTTCATACCTGCAACCAGGTGCCATTCCGGTATCGTTTAGAGCTAGGAGATCGCTTATGATCTTATCGGCATCCACAGCATTCGGGTTTTTCAAAATCTCCTTCATTTTTTCATCCGTCTTTTTCTTTACATCTTTCAACAGGCTGTAGACGTGGCGGGCCTTCGGATTTAAATTCTTTGGTTCATCAGGATCGATTTCTGAAGACCTGTAATCGTTTGGCTGATCAAGGTCGGACACATGACTGCGGAACGATGCCTTTTTTGGACCGTGTTCGTATGCATTATCAGACGGCGGTCCATGCTGTTCCATTCCCTTTTCTTCAGCACCGCCATTTTGGCTGTCTCTGTCCGCTGACTTTCCGTTCCGCCCTTCTTCAGCCACCTTATATCCATCATCGTCATCGTCATCATTTTTCGCATCAGCACCTGCTGTGTAATGCGATATCTCAAATTTTTGGTCATCATAATGCGGACTTCTGCACTCCTTCATGCCTATTTTGCCGCCACTTATCTTTGTCAGGCATAACCTTTGTCCGTCCTCATCATCATTCGTGAGAATAGCGCTTCTCTCGCCCAACATTTCCATGGTCCAGCCCCTATCCACATTTACATTCCTTCGGTCATCGTCACAGTTACTGATTCGTTCATCGCCTGTTGCCTTGAGGCACATCCAAACCCTGTTCACTATTATTTCGTCTCTACCGTGATCCAGCGGGTTAATTACAACGATAGATGATTCGGTGTCCGTATTGTCTGGGCTGTTGTCCGTTGCAGTTACACGAAATCCTTGGCCTATGACATAGCGGAGCATCTCTCGCCTGTTGGTCACCAACGACAACTTTACTCTTCTGTTCTTGTTGACATATTTGAGATAACTGACCTGTTTGCCGTACTGTTTCTGCGAGGTGTGCGCTTTTGTTTTGTTGCTGCTCACGGATCGTCTGCCAGTTCTGTCGGAGAGAGTGCTGGACAGGTTGGCCAAAAGAGAAATGATAAATACACCAACAAACATAGAGCACGCACTTTATCAGTCTTAAATGTGGTTTGATCTGAGATGCGTTTCACGTATTGTCCAATAATTGGGTGGAGTATCGCGTACTAGTGTTTGTAATGGGCACGAAGCGTTCTTCAGATCAGCACTTCACTTAAATGCACGCTGGTCCGTTTGCGATGAAGTGGCAGTTAATGGGCACGAAGCGTTCTTCAGATCAGCACGTCACTTAAATGCACGCTGGTCCGTTTGCGATGAAGTGGCAGAAGGCACACAAATTGTTATTCAGCACTTAATTCGTTTTATCCGGTACTACTACCGAGCACTCCATGAAGAGTAAGATAATGACGAAAAGATCCCCTTGCAAAACGGAAAGGATCAATCGTGGTGACACGAATAAGCAGGTAAAAATTTTTTGCACTAAACATTTTATTCATCCTCGCACAGGTTAGAATTTTGATGGAATAGCACAGCGATAAACACCTTGCTATTCGTTGAATAGGACCAAAGTGTCTCATGGTGTGCATTTCAGCGCTGAAACACGGTAATTGATTCAACCGTTCAATTGCTGGTCATAGATACGGCTTGGTAGGTTGCATTGTAGGGCCCCACCCGAGCATTAATTGATCGAGAAACGATCAAAAACCATGAGCCTGCTCGATTAGTCAATTGATGCATTTCATTAACTCCTTGCTAAAGCATCAAATGAAGTACTCGCCTTTGGTAAAATAATTGTTGTTAGGCGGTTCGATTAAGTACCTCTCGATTCGAGCAATCCACGCCAAATTATTTTTCGTTATCGGTCATTTCTCCAGTGTTTATGACACTACGGTGTTTTAGGGGTAGCCTAGAGAGGTGGAAGGACGGGATGAGGAAACGTGGCAGAGGGGTGAATAAGACTGATAAATAAATCTTTAACTCAAAATTTACGCCCATTCAACCACAATTTTCACTTCTTGTCCGCCATTTTCATTTCTTTTCTGCCCTTGCCTCGAATCTCCTTTAGATCATCAATCAGTTTCAAAAGGGCGTTGTCAGCTTTATCACCACCAAAATTTTCAACCAAAATAACATTCTGTCCTTGGACCGATCGCGTAGCCATGTCCTCGATGAGATAGATCTCTTCCAAATTGATATTATGCATTGCACCGACCACCGACAAATCCTTTTTGCAAATATTGTCGATGAACGAGCAGTGCTGCCTATGCAGCCATGCAACAGGCTGCATGCCCTCCTTGATCAGGATCTGAGTTATGCACTTCGCATTGTGTGCCAGGGCATTGGTCCAGAACATGTACTCCATGCCGTTGGTGTGCAGAAAGTCTGTGAGTTCGCGTAGGTATGGCCGTATCACCACGTAAAAATTATCATACTCATGGTCATATTCCGTTCTGGCACCGTTTGGTTTGTAAAAACGTTTGACAAGCGTACCGTTCAGATCAAATATTAGCATGGGGGTAATGAAATGGCGGTGTAATGAATTACGGCACAACAGAGGTGCTGTGTTCGGTACCGAGCGAGCATTTTTGCCTGAAGGTGCTCAACCGCTACCATCCCATCAATATTTGCATAATTATGGTTGCTCTTCCCGTGTTCACCCATCAAAATGCGATTTCTGTGCTAATGTAAAGAAATATTTTGGATTAGAGGTAAAGAATTTAGCGAAATTTGCATGTGTTAACCGGAAAACGCCGCGCTGCCAAGAAACGATACGCCGATCAGGGCTGTTAAACAGGAGGGCCCTCAAAGAACACCAACCACGGCACTAAACGAATGCTAACACCGGTGGAACAGCTTAGTACCAAAAGATTGCGATCAGTTTTTCATGAGTAGGCCTCGTTAATACGGAATTAGTACTTAAAACACCAGAAATATTCTACGTAAGAGATGAAAACGGTATCAAATGAGTGTTGGACGCATCGTAAATTTCACATGATCTGGTTTGTACGCTCTTTCCGAGTAAAACGTGCTTAACTATTAGCATCACACGTTTACTCTGTACGTGTCGTGTGTTGATTATGAGACTGGCCCGATAAAATTAGTATTTTTTAAAACGGGAACAGTTTGAGCAAATGAATGATCGAGGAATAATTGAAGAGATAAGTTCATTGAAGTGAAATGGGAACTGCTGCACGATGCACAGGGTAACGTAGCATAGAACATAAGATTCTTGAAGAACACGTTCTATACCAGGCAGCAATTCGGTTCAAAATGTTCGGGTGTCAACCCCGGTACCCTGAATCAAGCCCTATCTTGTCAATCAAGATGACCTGCTGGTGAATATGAATTGCAGAGTACCGAGCGATAAGAAAAGACTGTCACAATGTAAATTTTTATCGCCTGATGACTGCAAACACAAACATAGGAGTTGAAACACCAACACAATGTTATCTGAACTCATAACAGGAGTGAACTGCTTTACAACCCGTATTAACGCTGGTATTGTGAGCCTCATGAGCAACGGCCGTTGTATGTTTCATAAAACGTTGTTCCCTTCAGACCTACACGAAGACGTGGTAGTTTGAAAATGCGATTCGTTCGTATGAACTTTTGTTAAATCTGCCCGTGCTTTAAACAAGCGCACTCGAGTGAAAGGAAATATTTTTACCGTGGGTTTAGAGACATTTATTTCTTCAAGTGCAGTAGTGCACGGCTCAAGAGTTAAGCAGGCTTTGAACGATATGTTATCCGCATACAGCGCTAATATGAAAATTAATTTACCATACACGGATAAAACGATGCTCTTTTCTATTTTGATACGTATGTTACGCCGTATTTGTACCATTCATTAAAAAGTGTTTTATTCCGATAGAACGGTATTCCCGTTTTAGCGCAACACGTCTTAGTGAACGAATTTATTTTCATTTTAAAAAACGGACTTCGAATTGAAGTACGTCAACCGCATTTAATTTTACATTAAAAAAGTTTTGAAAATTTTTACGTTTTGAGCGATGGGCGCCGTAGACCAAAAAATGTTTGTAAGACCGGCCTACCCGTTTTGGTAACATAAAGATTAAAAAACATTGCACATTTTAAGTAAATTATGTTTTGGTGCACTTAATAATGGAAAGAAGCCTTGTACAGGTACTGTACGCTATTCTTGCCATGATAATATCTAAATAAAGAAAAAAAAAGGATCCCTATGGAACTCAAATGGATGAACGTGACAGTCGACGTAAAGAACAAGAACGAGCGGAGAAAAGAGAGAAGAGCACGATTAGTTAACAATGCGTGTGGTTGTGCCGCGCAGGGCCTGACAGCTGTTATGGGACCGAGCGGATGTGGGAAGACAACGTTTATCACGACATTGGCAGGACGAATATCAACCGGAACTAAAACAACCGGTTGCGTGCTCTACAATGGACAGGAACGCGAATTAAAAAATTGGATGGGCAGTATGGGATTCGTTGACCAGGATGACAGTTTCTTTGAGAAGTTGACCGCCTACGAGACGGTGTATTACGCAGCACAGTTCAGGCTGAAAGAAAAGAACGTGGATATAAGGAGTAGGATCATGCAGCTGTTTCGGAAACTGCGTATCTGTGATATCATGGACTGCAGAGTGCGGGTTCTTTCAGGCGGTGAGAGAAAAAGGGTGATGATAGCTGTTGAGCTTATCACAGATCCGCAGGTCATATTCCTGGACGAGCCCACCAGTGGGCTGGACAACGATGTGGCGTTCAGCATTGTAACACTGCTTAAAGAGTTGGCCAACGAGGGAAAGCTTATATTTATGAGCATACACCAGCCGGATGATCGTTTGGCTTTGCTCTTTGACAAAATCATTTTGATGTCACGTGGCGAGATCGTAACAGCAGGTACGATGCAGGAGTGCAATGAATGTCTGCTGCAGCAGGGATATGCTCGAAAAGAAAATACCACCTTCTCTTCGTTCGCAATGGAGGTGCTTGGCAATGCATCGTGTGGGTACAATGAGAGTAGCATTGATAACAAATTGACCAGGTTGGCAGGTTCATATCGCAAGCAGTTCAACTGCGAGGGCAAGTACCAGAATGTTAGAACGGGAAACGATTTCTATGTAGATCTGAGTCCAAGCCTGATGGAGATCGGACTCCTGATTCACAGGAAGTTTAACCTGGATTTGTTCAGGAAGAAAACGCTTCTACTCTACGTCGTAACACTTGTGCTTATGGCAAGCCTATTTTACTTCGGAGGAGTAGAAACCGTAGTTAATCATATGATTTCAGAGCAAAATACTTCTGAATCAGTTGATAAATCGTTTGTGGTGGAAACATTCAAATGGTTTTGTGTGAAGATCGCGCTAAGCCTAGGTTTCTTGCTTTGTATAATTCCAGCCGCTGTGTCTAACACAGTTTTTAGCAGCGAGAGGAGAGTAATACAGAGGGAGATAAACGTGCAATCGTATACGGTTACTTCGTACTACCTCTCAGTCCTGATATTTGAATTGTGTTACAACTTTCCGCTGATCCTGTGCTATCTAACCGTTATGTTGTTAAGATTCTGTCCAAAGCCAATGCTTGGTCTATGCATCATCTGCCAAATATTGGAATACTGGTTTGTTATGTGCCTCGGTCTAATGCTAATATCCGTGTTTCATGGAGAAAAGAAATCGCTCATGTGCTCTGTTCTTGGTTTAATTGTTCATTTCTTAGCGGGTTTGTTCTCCTCTACTCTTTTGGTTGCGGATAAGCAAGCTGGAGATACTAAACCGTCCAAAATGACCATTGCTCTGTCCATGCATCCAAGCGCCATATTTAGGAGTTTCATGAGAATGATGATAGATTCAATTACCAACGCAAATTTGAGGAAAAAACTACCACAAAACGCTTTTACGATGATTGGCAGGAATTTTGATCAATTGCGTTATTTTAAGTGTGCGAATTTGATTTATTTATCGAAACATATCTGTTTAGCGATCGGTATTATATCAAGCTTAGTGTTTGTGTTTCTCGGTATTGTTTTCCAGTTGAGATTGCTATCACCGAAGATAAGGATGAAGTTGTGCCGATCGAATTAAACTTTAATTTAAGTATGAGTGTTTACATAGAACTTTGTTAAATTGCATGTTTTAGGGACCTTAATGGATGAATTGGCGGTATTCTATTGCATTTTTTGCCGTATTTAAGGTTATTTTTCAATCTTTGCGATTGCTACTCTATGAGTCCTGTAGGAGTTCAAAATATTTCAATATTAGTACCAGCTAAGCTATGTTTGTTAATAAATGGGATAAAAGTTCGTCTAAGTGGTCATCGAACTCTATTTGTTCACCCTACTTTCAAACTTTTGTATGTGCATTTATGACGAGATCAAAACTAATTTTGAATAAAAATCACGTCTACCGTGCGTAAGAAATGGATGAAAAGATTTTTTATGGTCTATCACTGGATAAACACGAAAAAACAAAATTACAAATAAATTTTAACACGTGAAAGCATTTGACGGAAGAGCAACATACAAAAATACGGAATATATAATGTTAATGGCTGGTGCATGTGCTGGGCATAGTACATTCCCACAACAACCGCATCAGGAGCATAACCATTATTGGCACCATACACAACGATCTTATACTCCAGCACCATATGCTTTTAGATCGATAACAGGATCTACAATACTATTTATCTATTATTACGCACTTAACACATTCATTTAGAACAAATCATGAGCTTTCATTTTCTTGTCTAGGTGTATTCAATCAGGGATCTAAATTCGACTTGATTCGTTCTTAAAAATTACTCCCTTCAGCATTTACCAAACTCGGACCATTCCTACTACGGCTATGAAATAATTATTTTTATCGACTGCTTTTATGGTATCGTACTTAAATACCGATATGCTGGCAGCAGAACTTGCGGTCTCATGCTGTCATTAACTCATAGTTATCACCGAGCTTTTAGACCCCATTTTTTCTGTTAACTGGCGTTGAAAGGTGCTCATAACTTAAAATTGTCGTAAACATCTAGCAAATCGTTTTTTAGCCGAAAAAACAATTCTCTACCACGAGAAAAAGAATTAACATAATTATTCAATTTTTTGTTTGTTGTAGCTCGATTAATTGATAAATAAATTTCTGATCTCCCATGATTAAGTTTCATACGCGCAATAGTTCTTTATGCAACCACATATTCTACGTTATGTGAACGTTCTTATCGCCCGGTATATACTAACACGTATTAATTACTATTTTTTCTTCATTTTTTTCTAATTTATTTTTTGGATACTCCTAAAGTGGAAATAACCTTCTTGCATGTCCTGTTGTATGACACCGGTAAATTGGTCAACTACACCTTCTAACTGCTGTTGCCGTGATGTGCGGAAATGTATTTGATTTAATAGCCATTTTTGCTGGTCATGTTTTCAATTTTGAAACTTTCCTGAAAGAGGACTAATTGTCTGATTTTTTAATTTAATGTCATGAACGGATGAGACGAAAGAACAATAAAGCATAAAAATTGCCACACTAAAATGGAGGATCAGTGAGTGCGTTCATCGTCGGATAACCAACATAAAACTATTTTTGAAATTGAGTTATTAATAAAAATGTTTGGATATGTATTGATGGATTGGTCGCACGTTTTGATGTCACAATTTCATTTTTTTTGTTTCGTAGTGCTGGTGCTGATCACAAACTAAATCTTCGTATGGCATATTTAGATAACACAAGACAAAAAATGGTGAAACAATAAAACACCACATTCTTACACACTCGATAATTCATTTCAATGGATATCTATTTTGTTCACTGTTGCACCGCCAAGCAGAGCATTCTCGATCTGATGTGCAGCGGTATAAGGATCAAGTTCGATTATTTGTTAGATTATATACAAATTTTGCAAGAACTACTGTTAATTGATGTTGTTAGTGCTACAAGTATGCAAACTCACCTCTCACACTTGGAATACCCGAGAAATAATTTAATTTGAATTTAATTACATTGTACGCTAAGAAATGCTTTGAGACGACAGACATGCCAGTACGCACCTAGCGGTTCGTTATCAACATCTGGAAATTTCAAGAATTGATATGATGAGAAGAAAGCCACCAATAGATGGTAGCTGTAATTTTTTTATCGAATGCTGCCATACCAAGAGACATTCTCGTATGTCCCTGATACTCATATTTCTATAAACAATTCGTGTTGTACTTTACAAAATAGATCTTTGATAGGTTATATCTTATTGCTAAAACAAATAGATGTCCTTGTTATACTTGCATTGTGTTCTTCGTTACTGTCCATTTTTGTCTACTATTTAATTCGAAGTTGGCTTCGACATTGTCATTGATTATCTGCACTGCTAAAAATTAGGATTGATTCGTTGAGGAGAAATGCTGGTTTGAAATAAAATTGTTGTGGCAAGCACTCTGATTTGTGATAAATTCTCTCTTTTTTAATGTTTCCCAATAGAGACCTTTTCTTATTTACGGACATTTCCTGTATCGATCACATTATTTTCGTGTCTATGACCAAGCCAGCTGCACACAGCCGTGATTGAATGCTAAAATGAGTGCAAATATTATTTTCTTATCGAAAGTTAGTTATCGTATCTTCTCAAATGACTTCTATGCAGATACGAAACAAGTATATAATAAAACGGCAACGGTACCCATCGATGGATTTCCGAGAAACGCAGGGAGCAATTAAGTTCGCGAAAACGCTTTTTGAACAGAAACTGTCGGATGTCTTACATCTGGAGAAGGTGGTCAGCCCCATATATATAAAGGACGAGAGTTACCATGACACATTGGATGGAGCACAGCGACCCATCAAGTTCGACTTTAAAAATGGAGAACACGGTATGATACTGCATTCGCTGGCAAAATGGAAGCGTGCAATTCTATCAAAATACGGATATAAGGATGGAGAGGGCATAGTTACGGACATGCTGGCGATACGAAGAGATGAAGATATTTCGAGGTTGCATTCGTACCTGGTCGATCAATGGGATTGGGAGATGACGATCTCAAAGCAAAAGAGAGATCTTCACTTTTTGCATGAAGTGGTCGAGAGGATATTTGGTGTGTTGAAAGAGGTTGAAAATGAGGTTAATGCGCGGTACCCGACATTATCTAAGAAGTTGCCGAGTCATATCACGTTCATAACTACGCAAGAGCTCGAGAACCTATATCCCGAAATGACCATGGATGAGAGGGAATATGCAATTGTGAAAAAGCACAAAGCTGTTTTCATATCACAAATTGGAGGTAAGCTCATGTCTGGGAAAGTACATTCTGTGCGAGCACCAGATTACGATGATTGGATGCTAAATGGTGATATACTGGTTTATAACGCCAAAATGGATTGTGCTGAAGAGCTTTCCTCAATGGGCATCAGGGTAGATGCAGAGAGCTTAAAGGAACAGTTAGCGAAGCGTTCTTGTGACACGATAACCGATTATCATAGGAGGATTATGCAGGAAGAATATGTTTATTCTGTTGGTGGTGGGATAGGACAGAGCAGGGTTATACTGTTCTTATTGGAAAAGGAACACATCGGAGATGTACAGGCAGACACTGAATTTAATAATAGTAAAAATTAATAAAATTTAATGCCCTCTCACTTATAACTCGGCTGAATGAAGCTAACGGTATATGTTTAAATTCTTTTGCATGGGTGCTGCAGAGATCATTAAGGTCCCTCCAATCAGATGGATTCATTGAACATGATTGGTACACCATAACATCTGAGAAATAGTGCTTAGGAATGATTCCATAAAATGTCTCGCGAATGTCGTGATTTGCATCATAAGGTCTTGCCTTGGTTTCCACATACCTTTCTGTTGTGCGGTGTGTGTTTACGTCATGGGTAAAGAGATTTTTCAAAAACAGCATTTTGCGCTAAATGCGAACAAAGAAGAGAACCTAGCTTCCAACGAGAACAAAGATAATAAAACTGGGTCTAAGAATCCAAAAAAACTATTCATAGCTAAAACTAGCTACGCTGCTTGTTTTTCAAAAACGGGTGTCTGAATGGATTGTATACCAAAATAGCGCTTTTGAATACAACTGTAACACTAGATCATTCCTTTCTACCAACTGTTGTATAGTTTCGAAATCAATAAATATACATTCATTTCAGTAGCTCATT